ATTTACATACATGTAGGGAAATAATACACATAGAATAAATTCAAAACCTTTAAAAAAGATTTGTGCTCATTAATTTTGGATATTCTGGGGGCAAATTTTCCAAAATAATTTATTTTGCCTTATGACTGAAGCAAGTTTTTATTTTAATAGTAATTACTTTTATACAATATATTCTGGTCACAGTTTCCCCTCACTGATCTCCTCTAAGATCCTTTTCACCTCTCTACCCATCAAGCTCCATGCCTTCATTTTCTCTCTCTCTCTCTAGAAACAAACAAGCAAATAAAACAAAAAAAATAGAGTTAAAAGAAAAAAACCCAAATAAAAAGTGCAGGAAACAAATAGCCCGAAGACATATAAAACTAAAATCAATAAAAAATAAAATCTGAAACCATAATATGTAAACAAAAGACAGGCAAGATAAAAAAAATTTCCCAAAGAAATATGAGACAAAAAAATCTACAGAACTATCTCGAGTTTGTTTTGTGTTGGCCATCTTACTGCTGGGCATTAGGCCTACTCTTAAGTGGTTTATATAGCCAGTGAGACTCCATTAAAGAAAAAAGATTTTTTCATTGGCAAGCAGCTGTCAAGAAGCAAGCAGTTCCTTGGCTAGGGATGGGAGCTCCTGTCTGCTTCTCCACATGTGACCCCACCAGGCTTGGACCTGTTCAGGCCTTGTGAATGTTACCATCAGTCATGTGGTGCCTCTTACAATCTTTCTCCCTCCCTTTGAGAGAGTTCCCCAAGCCCTGTGGGGGGTATGAATGGGTGATGAAAATATCTCATTTAGGACTGAGTATTCCAAAGTCTCTTACTCTGTAATTGTCCAGTTGTGGGTCTCTGTACTAGTTCCCATCTACCATAGGAAGAAGCTTCTCTGATGATGCCTGAGTGAAACACTGATCTATGGGTATAGCAGAATGTTGTTAGGCGACATTTTATTGCTATGTACTTTTAGCAGAAGGTATTTGCTTTTAGCTATGCCCATGACCTATCTAGTCTCAGATGCTTGGCGATGAGCAGTGTCAGGCAAGTGTTTCCTCTCAGGAAGTAGGCCTTAAGTCCAATCACGTTGTGCCATTATTTCCCCAGCATATAACACAGGCAGGTCACCATTGTAGATTTGAGGGTTTGTAGTTGGCTTGGTTTTTACCTTTCTCCAGGACCATGAACACTAGTTATCACATTTCCATTATCCATTCATCTGTTAATAGACATCTAGGCTGTTTCCAACTTCAGTCTTGTATGAATAGAGCAGCAACAAACATGGATGAGCAAGTGCCTCAAGGATGTAGAGTCCTTATGGTAAATGCCCCAGAGTGGTATAGCTGGTTCTTGAGGTAGATCTATTCCTGGGGAACTGCCACACTCTTTTCCAGAGTGAATGTACCATATTACACTCCCACCAGCAAGGAACCAGTGCTCCCTTTCTCCTCATCCTTGGCAGCATGAGCTGTCATTTTTTCTTCTTGGCCATTCTGACAGGTGTAAAAATGAACTATCAAAGTAGTTTTGATTTGTACTTCCATGACTAGGGATGCTAAACATTATTAAAGTGTTTTCAGCCATTTGTGTTTCATCTTTTGAGAACTGTTTAGTTCTATACACCATTTTTTTTGATATCCAGTACTTTTTTTTCAGTATCTTATACTGTCTTAGATATTAACTCTGTCTGATGTGTACTTGGTAAATACCTTTTCCCATTCTGTCATTGTTTTCTAAACTAGGTCACAGTGCCTGTGCTTGTGCCTGTACTACCAGTGTTTTGCGATCCCAATGAAGAAACTTGCAGGTGTTCAATTTTGATTTGACTGTGTCCCATCTCTTCATTAGAGCTTAGTTCTTCCATTGAATTCTGGCTGCCCTAGCTTTTCTTTAATACTGAACCAATCTAGGCCCTCTGTATATATGTAACAGTTGTGTAGCTGGTCTATTTGTGGAACTCCTGGCAACAGGCACAGGGTTGTCCCTGGTGCTTTGGCTGGCTCTTGGGAACCCGTTCCTCTTGCTGGACTGCCTTGCCCAGCCTGAATACAGGGGAAGGTACTTGTTCTTATGGCAGCTTGATATGCCATGCTTTACTGATGCCATGGGAGGCCTACTCCTTTCTCAGAGAATATGGAGGGGAATAGAGGGAAGGCGGGAGGAGGAAGTGTAAAATAATTGAGAAACATTAGGTTATCAACTTTACTGCTCTTCTTGGTTTATAACTCATACCTTTGGTTGCTTTTAAGATGATTTTCAATTTATTTGGTTGAAAACACATGGTCCAAGATATGCTAAACATTTGCATTAATAGATTGATGAAAGTTTTGGAAAATAGTTGGAAAATAGTTGGCAATTACGTCTTCAAATATTGTTTTTGACTATTCTCTCCTGGAACTCCAATTAAATGAATTCAAGTTCATTTGTCTCTCTATATTCTGTCCCCATCTCTGCATTTTTTCCCCAGTCCATGATGCCAGCTGGTACAGTTTATGCAAGTAGTTAGTATGTCTCTGTTTACTAATTTTATCTTCTGCTCTATCCAGTCTAAAATTAAAAGTTTCTTTTTTGCTTTTCAGTCCTAGAAGGTACATTTGATTCATTTTCATAGAATCCAAATTTTAGATTTTTCTCTTGATCCTTTTCCTAACTCCAGCAGGAAAGAATTGTGTCGGTTTTTTTATTCTATTGGTTACCCTCCCCCATATCTTTGGATATCTAGCTCAGAAATCAGGTAAAAATATGTGGAAGAGATTACACTAGGTTTAGGTATTTTTGATGGCAGGGCTCTCCCTCTCTTTAGGGCTTTGCCACCAAAGCAACACAAAAACATGTGATTTTTACTCTACTTTTCCAGGCAGTCTCAATAATCCGGGGTAGTGCAGAACTCAGATTACACCTAATGGGAAGAATCTAATTTAATCAATAACACACAAAGCTGATGACTTTGTCACTAGCAGCAAGTTCCCTCTGCACAGAATGAGTCAAATATGTACTCTATACAGAACTCAAAAATACTCCAAAAGAAAAAAATGTATCCCAAATTACTTCTTCTAGGAAGGCCTCCCCCTCAAATCTGCATTCTAATCTTTATGATTCTTGCTACATTCACAGGTTTTCAATATATATATTCTTTTTTATCATTTTTTATTTTAATTTTAAATAGCTTGTTTTACATGTCAATCCCAGTTCCCTCTCCCTCCCCTCCTCCCGCACTCCCCTTCCCCCCCCAGCTTCCCACCCTATTGCCAATTCCTTCCACACAGGGGGTATCTAGAGTCTGTCATTTCACTCAGGGTAGGGTCCAGGCACTCCCCTAAGAGTCCAGGCTGAGAGAGCATCCCTCTTTGTGCTATGGGCACACGATGACTGTTTGTATTCCAGGGATAGACACTGATCCACTGCTCAGGGCCCCATAGGTTGCCCAGGCCTTCTTGCTGGCACTCACATTTGGGGGTTCCAGATCAGTCCCATGCTGGCCTCGCAGCTGTCGGTCTGGGGTCCAAGAATATTCTTAAGTCCTTCATGTACCCCCTTTCATCTGTAATAGTGAATACTCTGCCTCTGTACATAATCCACATTTTGGATATTGATTTCTAATGACATGTTATGGATGTTCAAAGAACTTACCAGCTTAGAATTTAGCAGTTTCCTTTAAGTTATATTATAGGTTGGCACTCATACATTCTTCATGGCTATCTTCTTGTTACTCAACCAATATGCAGTTTCCTTTTCCCTCATTCACTGTGGCCTTGAAATTTATTGTCATGAAAATTGTTACAGTAGCTTGCTTTTTGTTCACATTTCCTGGTTATGGTGATGCTTTACCTCTTATTTCCTCCAATGTATTTTAGAGGCAGACTGATGGAGCTCTTTATTTTTTAACATTTGAAGAGCAAATATTGTTAGAATGAAAAATTAAACCTCTAGTAATTAGGTTTAGTCTATATATTTTGTAACCTTGCTATTTTAGCCATTACCTAACAACTTTGCAATATTCTTTTTGTTTGCCCTTCTCTTCATTATTCATTTTTTCTGATAGACTAAAATGATACTTTCTTTTGCAATACTTGTTTTTAATATGAGATTCCTAATGTTCATTTCAGCAGATTAATTAACATCTTAAACTTTGTCAATGTCTTGAGTAAGTCATCAGAGAGCTTTCCTACCCCTTTGGATTTTCACTAATCCCCTGTGATGGCTAACCTTACCTACTTGATGGAGAAGTTAGATTAGGAAAGCAGATTTCCAGAGAGGATATTTTAAGCAGACAGTTATAAGATCCCTTGAATGTGGGCGACACTATGCTAGACTGACAAAATGGGAGAAAGAGTCCATAAAGTCTAAGCCTTCTCTCCCACTGCTTCCCAGCCACCACGGATTTGCGTAGTTATGAGCCTGAGCTTTGCCATGGTGGACTGAAACCTGGAAATCCTAAGCTTAGATCAATCCATTCTCTTTTATTCCTCAGGCATTTTTCCTAGTGGCAAAAAAGTGGCTGGCACCCTCCTTTTCTGCTTCTCATTAATACTAGATTTCTTATTCTTGTACTTAGCGTTCTTAAGTTTACCCATTGGCCACTGGTTTAGAAGAGGGTGTGTACGTGATTACCTGTATAAGTGCTGTTAGTAGACAACTGGATTCATGGACTAGAGACTTGAAACTTTGCTTCTCTCCCAAGGTCAGCCATCTGACTTCTGACAATGCATCAGTATCTGCACCATGTACACAAGTGGCTTTGTTGTAGCCAGAAAGCTTTCCTAGGTATTTCTATTTGTTAGAGAATAGCAAAAGAAACTCCTGATCACTGAAATAGTTCTCTGCTGTCTGTAATGTACAAGGTAATCAGCTCTTTTGACTTTTGAGATTGTTAGAAGAATCTACCACATCATTCACAGTCAAAGTTTTGCTGAGTCACTTTTTTGATAACCCAAACCAAAGGCATGGAAAAGATAACGGTAAAAGTTACTGAATTCTGAACGCTGAAGTCTTTAAGAAAAGATAAAGTACAATCATTTTTGAGATCTACTTTATTGAAAGCAGAAATAGAAAGGCACCAGATTTTTATAGAACATAAATTCTGTTTGATGGGAAATACCTACTTCGTTATAAACACAGATACGTTTTTGCTGAAGTGTGTTTTAAAGAATTTGTTCTAGATACAGTCTTGAGACTTTTTCGAATTATCTTTTGCTGTATCCCTTATAGCAGTAAAAGAGCAATGTAGTACAGTAGTGCAATTTTAGGCTTAGTTTTCATTTTAACTTATCCCAGAATATCATTTTCTTTAAGTTATCTCTGCATAAGCATTAGTGTTAAATCTATTAGTTTACTGTTAGGGCATCATTGATATGTATGCTGACAAGTTGCATTTACCCAATGGAGCTTAAGTCTTGCATTTATTCTAACAAATCTACTAAGAACTTGAAATCTTTACTGTGCAATATAAGCATATCAACTCTTTAAAAAAAACCTTAAGAAGAAATAATTTGCATACAAGGAGACTGAGGAAACAGGTAAACAACTTACCCTATGTAAGGGTGATAACTTGGATTTGAACCTGGATAGATGCAGAAGTAAACTTTATATAAAATTCCAAGTCTGAGTTTAGTGTTTTTATTTTCTTATTTTGGCTTCTGTCACCAATGGTTCAAATTTATCATTATCAGAAATTTATAATGTATAATTTTGAAAGGTTACTGCTAACAAATTACATGTCAGCTCATTCATTTCCTTCTGTAAGCAGACCTGTTTTATACAAAATTTTGATTTCATTTTAACATCAAAAGGCAATCAGGTTGAAAGTTTTAAAAATTAAAAATTTAATAATGAATATTTAGAAACGTGCTACACACAAACAGCATTGTAATGTAAAATGCACACAATTTTAAACTACTTTTAAATGAACCCTTAGTATGGATGGATGACAAGTTTTGATAGTTACCAGATATTTTGAGGGTTCATTTTAAATATCATTTGATCATGCAAATAAAAAAATAAATATGACAAATATATGGATTTTTGAAGTATAAATTGACATACAAATCTATATATTCTTAATAGTTTCCATTAAAGCATCTTTGAAACATTCTATTAACATGAAGTTGAGAACTCAGATGTAAAGAAGAGGCATAAGGTTTTATTAGAATTGTGTAATTCACATACCGAATACTTACATAACAGTAAACACAAAATTGTTAAACAAAGTGATATATTTAGTTATTTTATTCTCCAAGTCATTGACTTCAGAAAGTCACACACAGGGACTGGGCAAGGGTATACATGCCAGTAGTCCCAGTCATACAGGGAGTTGGGGGCAGGATCCCTTGAGCCTTTTTCAAGACTTGTTTGGGCAACAGTCTCAAAGAGGAGGGGTTGGTAGGTGGGGCTACTCACTAGAAAAATTAGAAAATTCCCAATGTCAAATATTAGCAGGGAAACAAAAACAGGTATAGGAGCAATTCAGAATTGAACTCTATTTCCCGAGAAGCAGTGAAGGAGTGATAGATAGGTCACTTCTCCTTGAAGATTGTCAAAGCTTTGCTAGAACTTCTGCACAGTAGATTTGTAAAACATCAGAAATTGAAACTATCCTTTTCTCGGCACACAAACCTGTGATAAGTCTTGTTTCCTTGATTTAGATGTCCAAAGTGCTAAACCACAGTATAGTAAATTGGGCTTTAAAATGTTCACATTCCCACTTCTTCAAAAGACCTCTTTGAGGCAGCTGGGGGGGGTATCTATTACCTTTTCTCATTTGAATAGCTTAAATAAAATTTCATGCATGAGAAATATTAATTTAACCATAAACAAACTTGATAAAATTTACTATTTAAAGTTTCATGGAATAAATACTACTTAGAACATATTCTTTACTGGGATTTAAGTCATTAAAACTTAATTGGACTACATTGCAAATTTAAACTTTCCTGACCTAATTTAGACCAGTAGCCCTTAACTCTAAGTACAAATCAGAATCACCTGAAGAAATTGAGGAAACTGAAGTTGGAAGTTATATTTAATTGTTATGGATGGGTGGGAAAGTTCCCATATGGTTCTACTATTAAATGGAGTTGAGCATCACTGATTGGTAATAATTAATTAATAATTGCTACTCAAGATAGATTTGATTTAAATAAATTAAAATTCAAGTAAGAGTACTTTTTTGTGACAGACATTATTATGAGTGCTAATAAAAGGATTTTCCCATAAAAATTATTGGATAATATTAATATTTATCCTCATCACTCAACTATCTATATAAATTTACTAAAATAGTCCTTAAATTTCTATTATGCTTGCTGTCATAAAGGTTTCCTTTGAATTTACTTACTCAATTGTCCACTTGGGATTTTTACTGTAGTGATTATAAGCAAAACCTTTTTTTCTAGAGATATAGAGAGCATAACAACTTCATTTTCAAGTCATAACATATGAGGTATTCTCCACTTCATATCTGAAGTCACAAAGCTATACTCTAAGAACTGAAATGAGATATTGCTTTGATGTTTAACAAAATCTCCTGGGTCAAGAATTAACACCCACTGGCATCAGTGCTGGCATTAAATTATCTTAAAAAAAAAATCTATGTCAGATCCTCTGGGAAACTAAAAGGGATGGGTCTTTAATGCAGAATATGTTTCTTGTGACCTATTTATAAAAGATTTCTTAGAAAACATCACAGAAGCATGGTTTCTAAGTCATCTATAATTAGAGATTAGTTAACTCAAGGGAACTAACAACTTAACCTAAAAGCTTAAAATTTTTATGAAAGATCAGTAGTTAAAATAAATACTTAATAAAATATATACCACAACATAATTAAGAATTTAGTGTTTAAAAATAAATGTCACATTGTTTTGTCAGTTAAACAAGCTGACTGTAGTGGCTTAGATACCTAAGAGTGATTAAGGTGTGACTTGAGAAACAGAAAATTGATTTAAGGCCAAAAGAAAATAAGATGAAAGAGATTGCTATCATTACTCTAAAGCTTAGAGTTAGAGTGACTAGAACTTTTCAGTATGACAATAAGTCAAGAAGCAGAACACTTTAGGGAGCAAAAGTCAATGAGTAGTGATGATTATGTAGCTCATGGTAGAATACTCGGTGTGAAAGAGAAAATACAGCATTAGTGAGCACCACTAGGAATATGTATAAAACTTTACCTGCCTAATGACTGCATTTCAGAGTGAACTTAAGGACAAGTATGAAGTTATGGAAATGCATTCCTAAGCTAATTTGTCATAAGGAGTGATGTATGAGTATTTTAAGATGTTTTATCCACTATTCCTTCTAAATATCTATTAGAGAACACAAACAGTATGCATTTGAGTTACAATGTCCCATGGTTAAAGAAAAGAATTACTGAAGAAAAAAGAATGTCTTCAATGAACACCAATCCATTGCTGGAACTAAGAAAATAATGAGAAGGGAGTTCCTAAATGGGAATTCACAAAACCCAGAGCATACTGGATTAATCTCCAAGGGTTCAGCCTTGACATCCCGTATTTCAATTCAGGTTAGTAGATGGACCTGCCAGCTTTCCCCACTTCCCCCACCTCAAAAAATCCCATACCCTTTCTTTGTATAGTAAAAGTTTCAAATTTGTCACCTGGAATTTATGATTTTGCCTACAGCCACCAAATTTGTGCCATCTCTTATAAAACAATATATCCTGGGGCAGATAGGTCTTCAATGAAAATCTTGTTTTGACCCTATATAGAAGATCTTACACAGTTTCTGAAAAAACAGTGTATATATATATATATATATTCTTGATATTTTTCAGTTTCCAATACAAACACATGATATAGACTGAAAGTCTTTGATACTACTGTTACATGATAAAGAATAGTATTATTCTCCATTTAAAATACGTTCAATCTCTTCTAGTCTTTTCAAAGCAGCAACTCTTTTCTTCTCAATTTCCTTGATGTCTTTTGCTGTTTTATGGGGGGCCTCATCGTCTGCATTTTTTGTTGATTGCTTGCTGGATTTTGAGTTTTTACGATCATTTGCTTTTATGGTTTGTGTTGGACTGGATTCACTTCTGATTTCTTTTACAACCTCAGAAGGGATTTCATCTCTTTCTTCTGTTGTACCTGATGTCTTATCAACTGGAGACACTGGCTGCTCCACAATACCAGAAGAGGAAATTTTATCCCTGACTATACTCAAATGGCGTTGAATATATTCCTCATGAGGTGCTAATGCCAATGTTTCCACCAGGCATCTTTCGGCTTTTAGTAAGTCCCTCTCTTCAAAGTACACCACACAAAGATTGTGCTTTCCTTGCACATTGCTTGGATCCATTTCCAGTATCTTTTCAAAACACTTTTTGGCTCCAGGTATATCCTTCTTCTGGTTCATCAGAATATCTCCTTTTAAAATGAGACCCTTGGTATGGTCAGGGTAGTATCTGAGTAGCTCTTCTAAAATTGGCAACGCCTTTAACTCCTTAGCAGTCTGTGAATACAGGAGAGCCAGGTTAAACAAAGCACTTCTAAAGTCAGCTTGTAATTTGATGGCTTTCTTCATCCAAGCTTCAGCTTCAGAATCCTTTTTGTCATCCATGGCAAGCATTCCCAAATTGAAATAGCCATTAGCATCTTGTGGCTCTTCATTTATGTAACTCAGAAGTCGTTTTCTAGCTTCAGGTCTGAGTTTAACCTCACCTAAAAGTAATTTTTTTTAAAGGAGATAAACAATGAATGAACCATTTTCAGTGTTTTGTTATATTACAAAATACAGCAACAAAACAACTTATTTCTGTATCTAAATAAATAAGTAGAAAGCAAACACATCTTTCCTTGTAGGAAAGACAATGAGCTTGAAATACTAAAATGATTAGCTTGTTTCCTTGTCAATCAGTACACTGGAAGCCAAGAGGAGAAATTTCTTTAGTTTGGAACTAATAGGACATTACAGAGGAAGAATAGATAAGAGTTTAAGACATGGGATTTCCAAAGATGTGCATTCAAGCACAGTTCTGTTAGTATTTTGTATCTATACACCAAACAAGTTCTTTAATTTCTCTTAGTTAATTTACTGAATTTCCTAAGAATTATAGGATGTGCATGTACATGTGCATATATACTATATTTAAAAACTTAAAAGTATTATAAAACTATAAATATCTCAGTCAGAACTTTTGGTATGTAAGCTCAAAAAATTTAGGAAGTTTCATTGTAAAAATACACTATAAAGTTTAAAAATATAAAATTGAAGTTTTGAAAACAAATACTGAAATAATTTTAATTAGAGTTTTTAAAAGCTCTTTATTTTCATACATTTAGATGAGAACTTGTGTTGGATAATGAGCAATTTTCATAATTAGTAAGATTCTAAAACTACTAGTTTTCAAATTTGTTTTTTATATTGTTTTGAGTGTATTGTTAATAAAGACAATCTGAAAATAAGTCAATAGTCTCAGATAATAGATAAGTTACTATCTTATCAGCTATATGAATTTGGGGTATACATTAGGTCCTTTTGACTTTATTCTTTAGTCTATCAAATGGAAAATTTGGGAAAGCAAGGTCTACTTAAACTATAGAATATTTCTAATTTTATGTTTCTTTCACTTCCCCAAAAGTTTAAAGAAACGTTTTCAATGCATAAGTAGAATATGTAAAAGAAACACTTTCAACATAAAAATTAGAAAATTATGCTGTCTTCTGAAGGAAAATATTTCTAGATAAAACATAGTTCAAAGATACAGATTTATTGTGATGGATCTTAGTTTATTAAACTATAGGAAATAGAAGAAATTACAATACTATTCAAAAAACAAACTAAATATATATAAAGATTGTGGTTTGAAAAATGGCCCCCAAAGGAAGTGGCACTATTAGGAAGTGTGGCCTTGTTGGGGTAGGTGTGGTCTTGTTGGGGGAAGCTGGGGTGGGCTTTGAGGTCTCCTATGTTCAAGCTATGCCCAGTTGTCACAGTTCATTTCCTGTTGTCTGTGGATCAAGATCCAGACCCTCAGCTCCTTCTCCAGCACCATGTTTGCCTGCGTGCTGCCATGATGAGAATGGACTAAACCTCTGAAACTGTGAGGTACTCAAATTAAAGGCTTTCCTTTAAGAAGTTCTTGTGGTCACAGCGTCTCTTCACAGCAATTTAAACATTAACTAAGATAAAGGTACACAAAGAATTTTCTTGTAAGTGAAAGTTAACTAACATGAAATAAAAAAATATTATAATGTCCCGGGATCCTCAAACATGATTACAACCCCACCCCCCACAACTGTTGCACTATTTGGACTTTATACTTACTATACATGAAGTTTTATTATGTTTATATGAATAACATGATACCGTATACTAGTTAGGTACTGGTTGCTAGAGTATCTAAAGAGTTTTAAAACACTCTAGAAAAATGAGCACGTAATACTGTCACACATACCTGTTTGTGGTACTTGCAAAGACTTTATGTCAAATATTTTGATATTCTTATTATTGTCTTATGTACACAATTTTGTTATAAGCAGCCTTTCTAAAAGATGTTTGTTATGGGTTTTGAAAAATTCTAACTGATTAAATATAGACATATTTTTAGGAAACTTACCTGACTCCTGCATTAAAATAGCAGAATTGAATAATGCTAGCTTATGTTTGGGATTTAGTTCCAAAGCCCGATTGAAGTTCTTCAGAGCTTCATTTGGTTCTTTAAGTTCAATATAAACAATTGCCAAGTTGTACCACAGGTCTGCGTTGTTTCTGTCCAGTTCTAGGGCTTTAAGATATGCTTCCTTTGCCTTGAGAGGTTTATTCATTTTTAAAAGCAACTCTCCCCTGTCGGAAGGAAGTAAACAGACAAGGTTTACCTTACAGTCTTAATATGCCATTTCACAAATACCACTTTGGACTAGATTTAGGCCTTCCTACATAATGGCTTTATTTTCTTCTTTTACCTTACATTTTTAAAAAGTCTCTTTCAAAAATCACTTTTTGGAAATACCCTTAAATCTGAACTCTAGCTTATATATTTTCAAATATTATATAACACTGCATATCTGACTTTGGAATGATAATTGTAGAGAAGTAATCAAGATAAGGGTGACAGAAAATGTGTTCATAGATGAATCTTAAAAAGAGGCAACTGACTGCATGACGACATAGTAGCTAATTACAGTGGCAGATCAGTGAATCAGATGATGACATTTGAAACACTTGAGAAAATATGGTCATTACTGGGAATTTTGGGTCTTTGAACCTAAGTCTAATCATACAAATTAGCAGAGATTTCAGAAATGTGAAATCTCTCTTCGTGTATTAACTTAGTCTCCTTCAAAGCAGTATAGATAATGACTATTTTAAAAGGGCATTTCCAAATGGTTGGTAGAGAGCACTTGTGCCATCTGCAGGCGGTTTTCAGGAACATACTGGAACTGACAAGCTCAAAAACCTAGCAGTCTTTCCAGTATGCTTCCATTGAGTTTGAGAACTTTTTTTTTTTTTGCTTAAAATATGTGATGCTGTTTTTTACTAAGATAAACATAGCAACTTCTAGGCATGAGACAAAGGTTATTATTTTAATGCAGAGGTTACTGAGGGTCTTTATGGAATAATATGACACACTGAGGACTGGATATGAAAAAAAAAACAGTATCCAACTTAGGAACAGATTTTTATCTTTAGACCTCAAAAAGTTAAATTCAGAATATACTTTCTTGGGAGAAACAATGCTTCATGTTTAGTATATAAAACAAAGCTTAACATGCAATGTCTCTTAAGTATAAAAATGATAACATTTATATAAGAATATACAAAAATATTAGCATGATGTCAGGCTTATTTTTTCCTTTACTGTGAGCTAATAAAAATGCTTTGTGGCAAAGGTGACAGTGACAGAGAGATTGACTAATACTGTTTACAAGACAAAAATGGATCTAACATGGAGCTGCTTCTAAAGCTCTTTTAGCTATTAAGATTCCCTTGCCAATTTCAAATTACTTATCTGATTGGTAATTTTGTTGAAACATACAGACAGATACAGCTTCAATTTTACAGTGGTAATTCTAAAGTAAACTATGATACCTGCTAATGTAAGCCTGCTTGAAGTCTGGCCTCATGCTTATCGCCTGTCGGTACAGTTGATCTGCTTCCTCCAAGCGGGACTCATTTGCTCGGATGAGGTTGGCAAGATTGATATAGACATTTAGATGATTAGGGGCAATTCTGGTTGCATATTTTTTACCAGGAATAATCTGTTTAGGAGAAAAATGTGTTTGCATGTTTAATAGTACTGTAGCAAATAAAAATAACAAGTTTTCCTAGTGGCTCATTTCAAGTAATATAGAACTTAAGGTTTTACTAATATAGCAAAATAAATCATAAAAATATGAAAAGTAAGCAGGACCTGGTTGCACATGCCTCTAATCCCAGCACTAGAGAGGCACAGGGAGTTCTGTGAGTTTGAGGCCAGATTGTCTACATAGAGTTCATTCAAAACACCCTCATCTGCCCCCCCCCACAAAAACCAAGGGAAAAGCAAGTAGTTAGAACCCCCTGAAGACTAGATATATTTTTTTGACACTGAAAGACTTATATTGTTTTCATTCAGGCCAGCTCTGAATTTTTCTGGTTTTCTGTTTACACTTCTCTTTGTATTAAGTCAGATAGACCAAAAACTTTTACAGGTCAAGGTCTCATAGTTTCCAACATAATATAAAAACCCATTTCAGCCCAACTCTGTTAGTTCTAATGCTGTCAAGAAAGTCATTTCTTGGCTGAAACAGTTGGGCAGCTAGTTTTATTTCAGAGTCATGTTAAAACCTAACTTGTTTTGTAAAGTTAAAAAATAAAATGCTCTGAATACTGAAATTAAAGTATTATACGTAATATAAATATGGATCTTTTGTGCTATATATCCAATGACCTCATACCCGTATCACTGCAGCAACTGATTAACACAAGTAGAGGCAGGTGTAGCTGCTGTTCTACTTGTTTTAATTTCTCTGATAAGAATAATTCTGAACTTACTGTTTAAAGTACATAAATAAAATTCTCCTCATTGTGTCATTTACAGCAATTTATAATCAGCATCAGATATCTAATGTTCTAAGACTCAGCATTTGCATGTGAACTATATAAGGCATTTAAAAAATCAATTGAGAAAGAAATTACGCCTAGTGAGGAACCGATGGCTGGGGATATATTATAGTTTACTATCATGAATTAAGTAAAATTTTTTCTACTTGAGTAATTCTTACTTGTATGGACATCAGAGTAAATAAGGCAACTTACTTGAGGCATCAGTGATTTAGCCAACATATAAGATTCTTCTGCTTCTCTAGTTCTGTTTAAATTTTTGTAAGTTCTTCCTACATTCATGTGGGCACCAATATCATCTAAAACAAAGCAACATATTTAATGACAAATAAAGTAGGCAGTTTTCATTGTAACTTGAGAAGGCAGGCTCTCAGAAACAAGCAAGAGAATGTGAGAACAGACTGGCTCTGCTCTTTCTCTGAAGTTCTACAACAACTCGTTATAACTTACAACTGACACGACTGATGGAACACTACAAAACAACCTAGCGCACTTAAGGACACAAAGTGCATGAAACATGGAAACCTCTTGAGTGCATATCTGAAAGCTAATGAAGAGAGATATCTTCACCACATTTTACTACATCATACTATATGTTTCTATTTCCTTAATCTCACAATTTTGAAATTCACTAAAAAATGTAGCTCAACTCTAAGTGAAATGATTATGGTAATTCCTATAATTAGGACATGTGTTTAACTAACAAATATGCACCATGGAAGAATTAAAGCCAAGTAAAGGAAAAACTGGTAATGAAGAGAAAACTTTGTGAATGTGATCAGAGTAGAATGTCAGGTTGGTAGGTTAACATAGGATGTTGTGGTCATTCTTTTTAAATGATGATATATTCTATGTTACTTGAAAGAAATTTAAAGTTATGTTACTACCAGAATGTCAAGAATTTCTACCTCATTTCCTGATATGGAAAACAAAATGAATAGTACATTTACCTAGGGGGTAAATAATATGCATCTTTAAAAAATGATGACTAATTACACAATAGTTTAAAAAAGATATGTCTAATAATTATTTCAAAGATTTTGAATAAAGATGAATGGAAGGGAGATCTTAATTAAATCAGACAGTTTTTTACAAAACATCAATATCTAACAGACATGACAGGGTTCCAATTACGATTACTACTTGCCTGCAACACCGATGATTTTGCAATTGAGGAACAGTAGTTCTCTGAGTGCAACTCCCAGGACACATAGGGGCCAAGCATATATATCTTGGGCATTCCCCTAGGAGGAGAGCAACAGTCCTAAGATCTTGCTATGTGATGTTCAATATGTTTCAACTGAGTGCACTGCATAAAAACTGGCAGAGGAGTAAGTTTTGAGAACTGGATGTTCCTAACAATTTTACTTCTAATAGCCCTGAAGTACAAATAATCCATCAGTCCGTGAATTTATGAATGGATGGACAAAGTGGCATATCCACATGAAGTGCTACTCAGCCAAACAAAAGTATTTTTTAAAATTCATGACAACGTTGATGAGTATCAAAATAATTATACACATCAGAAATAAAGGGAAAAAATGAGTCCCTAGAGGATGATTTTGTCGATATACAGTTTTAGAAAAAGTAAAGAAACATATAGTAATTGAAAGCAATTTTCTACTTGGTGGAAATGATTATAAAAGGATAGACAGGATTTGGGAGACTGATGGATATTTTCATTATCTTGGTGGTAATGGTCTTATGGGTACAAATACATTAAATGTTTAGATTTCTAAAAAGTAGGTTTCTTTTTTTTATGTAACTATTCTTTGTACAGCCAGTGCTCTTCAAAATTACCTTCAATGATTTATACTTATAAGGAATTTTAATTCTTCAAGAGCCATTGTCTCCTATTAATTCTAATTTCTATGCTTTTTATTTTTATATTTTAACTATTCATTTCAAGTATTTAAAACACATGAATACACATGCACACATATTTTTTGTGTATATTTTTTTTTACGTATCTTCTATACCTTATAACAAATATATTTTTTGGTATATTTTGAGTTGGCTAATCAAAGCAACTAAGGACCCTAGTAAATCAATTTATTACTATTTGTTTTAGTGAAGTAAAGAGCAAGCAGAGAAAAGAGTTTTCTGATATCCTTCTACTTGCTTAGGGATACTTATTCCAAATAGGAAGACACTAGGAGCCTGATATCTGACAGACAAAAAAAAAAATCTCAAATGGTTGTTACTCAGGAAACTTCATTAGTAGATAGTCCTGCACATTACACATGGCTCCCCTCTTCCACAAGGCCCAACCCCCCTATTCTGTAGTTATACCTATATAAGGTTCAGTAATTATTGAAGCTCATATTGTATTATGACTCCCATCCTTAGGTACATAATAAAACCTGCATTTTTTTCCTGTTACTTGTCTGTTGCCAGCTTATGTGACCAATTAAAATGATCAAATATCAGAAAGAATAGAACAAATTCTAAACTGCATTTCTGATGGGAGTCTCAAGGCAACAGTAAAATTGCTCTACTCACTGCTGGTTTCCAAAAGGTAAGACAGCACCTGACACATGGTTAGATTTCCAATATACAGGTGATGAAGAAACTCTTGGCGCCATCTACTATTATTCTCCTTTTAGTCTTCCTCCCCATTGTAAACTGGTTCTGAACTGTCAGTCATGCATACAGGCCTTATGCTCTTGTGAAGTGGTGGGACATTTAAGAGGTAACTAGTTGAAGAAGTTAGGTTAGTGCAGGTATGCCATGAAGGGAATATTTGAACTCAAGCCCTTTCCTGTTCCTCTCTTTGCTTTCTGGTTGTCCTCAGGTGAGCAACCTCTTCTGCTGTATATATACCATCATGAGTACTGTCAACCCAAAGGCTCAAAGCAACTGATCAAGTCACCTAAAACTTTGTCTTCTTTTACGTTATCATCTCAAGGATTTAATACAATAATGGAATTAGGAATAGTCACTGTATTCCACACCTGTAAATTATCTCATTTCCTAGTTTCATTGAAAATTATGTGTTAATGTAGCTTACATTTACCAACACTACTACTATGGGTGAGACACGGGCCTAAGGTTTTTATAATAAGTATTTAATCTATACAGAAAGAGACTTGGTTACTTTTTAAAATGTAATATATAGAAAATTTGTGTTGAACTCATTTTAATATAAGGCCTACCTGATTCTGATACTAGGTTCTAAGCATTTTTTTAAAGGTAGCTCAGTTTATCTTCATTTCTAAGAAAAAAAATATTTAACACACAAGTGCCTTAATCTGCTGAGGCCTCTCTTGACCTCACAGCCTCAAATTCTTGAGATTTTTGCCCCAGCCTCTCAAGTGCTAATATTATAGGCCATGGGCATCACAAGTGGTTTCAGAGTCCAAGCTTTTAAGCACCAAACAGTTGCCTCCTGCCTTACCTTGGTGATTCTGTTACTTTCAGCAATATCTAGTAATTTCATAAAATAACATGCTATTATATCTGTCAAGTGACTCTGAACAAAGCAACATAGCAAGACATCAAAAAGCACATCATAAATGTTGTATTCAGAGTTTCCAAGTCTACACACTTATCCAAAAGAAACTATAATGATGTTGATCATCTATCTTCCTAGACTATGGTTTATTAAAACCCATTTTTGAACATGTTGATGGAGAAGGCATACATGAGCTATATATATGCTGTATGCTTAAAATAGAAAGGAGTGAAAGCTGAAGGGGAGTGACTTAAGGCTGCGTGCTCACACCTGCAACATTGTGTGATACACTACACCATTCACATATGAAAACTCATCACTCCAAAGTACATTTCACACATGTATTTGATTAAGTTGTTATAAAAATGCAGACACAGAAATCACTACCCAACACAGAAGTGAGGAAGACAGAAGTGAGGAGGCTTAAATCTTAACTGTTTGAAATAAAAGTGATAATGTGAGCTGGCAAGGGGGGTTATTTCTATTTTTTTTTTTCTTTGAGGCACGGTTTCTCCATGTAACAGCTCTGGCTGTGCTGGAACTCACTTTGTAGACCAGGCTGGCCTTGAATTCACAGAGATCCAGCCCCCTCCTCCTCCAGAGTGCTGGGATTAAAGGCATGTGCCACCAAATCCCAGCATGATCGCTCATTTGTAAAGGCACCAAGCCTGACAATCTGAATTCCTTTCCTTGGACAAGACTGAGGGAAAGAACTGACTCTCCTAATTGTCTTGTGACCACCACAAGCACATGCTCACATACACACAATGCAATACAAGTTTCAAAAAGTTAAAAATTCTAGAATGAATTAAATGATTTAAAAAGAAATAAATTAGAATTACTACACTTAGTGAATTTTGCTTGTGTACAGGACAAGTAAGATGCCAGTGTAAAACATGAATCAGATGTTAATGTTACTACGAGGTAGCTCCACATTTTCAATAAACAGTATTTCAAACTAAGTAACAACTAAATTAGCAAATATAGCACAAGAAATAAGTATATGTGCGTATCTTGCAGGAAAGATATGAAAAGAAACTTAAGGGGTTTACAAATAAATGCTTTTGCTTAGCTAGAAGGGAAGATGTTTGGAAAAGAGGCCATATGAAGCTGGTTATAAAAGACAAATAGTGTATATAACAGAAGTATGCTATTGTAGTACAGAAGGGAAGAGAAAGGGAATACATTCTATGCTCAAGAAGATACACACAGTAAAGAGGAGATAAAGAGTACACATCCCATTCTAAGAAAAACTAGCCTACATTACAAGTTAAGGAAGATGAATTAGCAAATTACATTTCTATAACTTTTTCACCATTTTCTAACTGAAATTTAACTTTTTCTTAATGACACAGCTACTTTGTACCTCTTACTGTGGTGACTATGACTTTTTCTTATCCTTTCCAACACTGGTACTGGAGAAGACTAGGTATTACCATTAATCCCAGTTTTTAATTCCAGACAATTGTGAGTTCTTTTAAAAATACCTCTCAATTCTGATGATTATTAAACTGCTTATCCACATTTATTTTTACAGCTACCAATATTTGACTCGTAGACACTGGAACTCTTGGGCTCTATCCAATATGACAACTGTCAAAAAGCTCTTGGACCCCAGACCGACAGCTGGGAGGCCAGAATGGGCCTGATCCAGACCCCCTGAGTGTGAGAGTCAGTGAGGAGGCCTGGGAAACCTATGGGGCCCTGGGCAGTGGATCAGTGTTTATCCCTGGCATGCAAACGGACTTCGTGTGTCCATAACACAAAGAGGGATGCTCTCTCAGGCTGGATTCTTAGGGGAGTGCCTAGACCCTTCCCTGAGCAAAATGACAGACTCTGGATATACCCTATATGGAAGGAAGTGGGGATAGGGTGGGAGGCTGGGGGTAGAGGTGTGGGAGGAGGGGAGGGAGAGGGAACTGGGATTGACATGTGAAGCAAGCTATTTAAAATTAAATTTAAAAAATTCTTTAACCTCTCTCTCTCTCTCTGTGCGTGCGTGCGTGCGTGCGTGTGTGTGTGTGTGTGTGTTTGAAAAGAGTCTCTCTACGAAGCTCTGGCCATCCTGTAACTTACCATGTAGACCAGGCTGGCATTGAACTCAAGAGATCCAATTTGCCTTTGCCTCCTAAGTGCTGGCATTAAAGTAGTGCCCCACCATACCTGGCATACACCTGATACGTTCTAACATTGTGGTCTTGGTGTGCTTTCTTCCAATAAATTTCACCTCTCTCCTATCATAACACTTAGTCTAAAGGACATAATTTTACAAAGCAGGGAAAAATGAGGCACTGCTCCATTCATGGGATAGTTAGTATATGGGGATCATCCCGCTTGTCTCTGATTAGAATGGAATGATGATATCTGGTGGTATTGGAAGTTGGATAAAACTTTTGGTAAAAGAATTCTGCATACTTGAAATGTCAGTAGCACTCTTTTGAAAAATACTGCTGTTCCAGCTGTATGCTACTCAGATAGCAACATTTCTTCAGATATATCTGATCATGTCACTTTTTTCCCACCCCTTTAGAATCAATTTAGATGATAAACATCGAATCCTTAGCCTTTTCTTTTTTAGCAAAAGAAAAAAATTCTAATCCTTATTAACAGAGTACTTCATGCCCATAAGATCATCACCTTAGCTGGAAAGTAAGAGCTGGTTTAATTTTCAGTTATTACTAATCTCAAGCAGAGTACTAATGTTGTTGGGCAACTGCAATGTTTTTCCAGCTGCCTAGCTCTGCTTCATTCTGATAAATGAGAGCTTATAAGACATGTCCACCTTTAGGCTGCATCTAACCCTGCACCAGAGTGTCATGAGAACAAGAGCTCTAGGAGACTGACTGACGTGCACACTGAGGCTGTCTTCATGACCACTCTGCACTCTCTCCTGTTCAGACATCTCAACAGTCCTCTCCTTTGATGTCTACTGTGATCTTATGTTCTCACTGAGGCAACAGAAGCAAACAGAAGGCAACCTCAGCTTACTCCATATTATTTACTCACCTCCTAGCCACTGTCCACACTGTGCCTTCTTTGTTACCTCAATTTATTCTAGGCCTTACAAGTAAGGGAGTATGTATACCAGATCCTGTCTATCTTCCCACAGATGTATTATTACTTTTCTCAACTACACTGGATACAATCGACCTCTGCCTTGTTTCTCCCGCGTAAATGAAGCTCTGTCATCTGTCATCTTCTTTTCGCTTAGGACCACAGCTTTTAGTGCCTTCAATAATTCTTCCTCTACTCCCTTGAACTTAGCTTAATCAGCTATGTGCCCCTCACTTCACCTAGTGTACACATTAGTACCATCTAACAACTACAATTTTAGTTGGAAAATAAGCTATTCATTAATTTATTAATGAACAATGGTTACCTGGCTGAACATAGGTAGCCTGCAAGAAGTATTTCAAAGCTCTCTCAAAGTTCTTCTCATTTTCCAGAGCATGACCCACATTATTCCATAATTTGGCATTGTTTTTATTCACCTTAAACACAAGTGAAAACAGAATGAGCTATACTCAGAAAACATCAAAAATCCAAAAAAAAAAAAAAAATCTTCCAGTTGGTTCATAGACATTTGGTTGGTTAACTATTGGGAAAGGAATGTTTTATCGAAATACTCCTAGAAATGAGTCAGAAATTTATGCAGTCACCATTTCCTCTAACATATTGTAAAACTACGGCAGTTTGACTTCATTTATTTGGTTAGAGCATAATCCTATTTGAAAACTCCTGCAGTAGTATTTGTATTTTGTTTAGGAGAGAAGGTAGTAGAATACAAGAATGTACTTTAGATTAGACATATTTAAAGCTATTTACACAGGTTGTTATAGAAATAGAAATGCTGCGATTAAAGTTGTGAAATCCATGTGTGTGTTTAGAGTTCACAGATGGGTACAGCATGATACATAAACAAAGGAGGACTGGAATTACAGGCATTATTCAGTTTTCTGAGAATAAAGGCAAGCAAGATTTCTAATAATCATGGGACACCTTCAATATACAAAAATTATGGATCATGAGCATGGTAACGATGCTTCAATTATCTACACAGCAAGGAGGAAAGTAAAATTGCATGGTACAAGCATCAGCATCCAATCTTAAGTGAGTTTATATAAAGATATCTCACAGGCTACTACAATGAAGCAAGTCATTCAATAAAGCTAAGTAATTGAGAATAAAGAAGGTGTCACAAGCAGGGGCTGGAGGAATGGCTGAGCAGTTTAAAGCATGGATGACACTCACAGAGGACTTGAGTTTGGTTCCTATCACTGAGATCAGGCAACTATCAAGCTTTCGAGGAGTCAACACCTCTGTCCTCAGTGAGCACCTGAGCTCACATGCTCCCACCCCACCACAAACATCTGTGCACATACACACACACACATTTTTTTTTTTAAAGAGTCAAACGGAATTATGAGCTTAGAGATTTGGAAAGGTTAAGAGAGGAGAGCTTGGGGGGAAAATTCAATTTTTAAATAAAATTCTGTCTACCAGTGATAGTCCTTCACATAGTAGGCTGACACTTTTGTTATGTATTTCATCTCACTGAATTAATAATGCATTGATTATAGAACTCACTATTTTATATACCAATTAACTGTGAGATATCATATCCTATACTATCTTGTTATTAAGACATTAGTTGTTGCACCCAAAGAACTAAGATATGGATAAGAAAAAAATTACCATATGACTTTCACGTGAATTTAGTACACCATTCATAGAACTATTTATATATTCTTTAGACATATAATTAACCAGTACCTAGGGAGTTGGTTATGGTGTATACTACATAAAAACAATTTATTGCTTCTTGGTTAAAATGGAATTAAAAGTCTACCTAGAAGTATAGTAAAAATGGTTTCCCAAAGACACACTTTCCTGTCTTCTGAATATAATACTTTACCTTTAATGCTGACATAAACAATGTATACTCAGACTCCCAGTCCCAATTCCTATGGAGTGTTTTCAAGGCATGGGTTAATATCACCATGGACAGACAAATCCAAGAGAGTTTTTTCAATACACTGTTTAAAAACATAAGAAGAAAAAACACCGTCTTCATCACCAAAAGCATTTTGTATCTTAGAAGAGGTAACAAATAGTATTAGATATTTCCAAATTATCATTTTTAATTCGTTCTACTGATTTCCACATTTAGAGAGCACGACACCCCCAAATTAAATATTATGAACATGGCTCTCCAATTGAGACTTCACTTATATTTTATTCATTCTTTGAGTTTTGCAGATCTATTACAAAATTCCCATAGGACATCAAAGTCTGAGGATGCTTACTTAAGTCTTCATCTAAGGTAGTAAACATTTGTATAGAGCCTACACAACTTTCCCATATACTTTAAGCAATAATTAATGTCTATGCAATAGTTAATACTTTACAAGGAACAACGAATGTAAATAAAGTCTACACACATTTGGTACAAATGCAATTTTTTTCTAATATATTGCTCTTCTATTTTCTGAATATTTTTATTCATACTTTAAGTTCAGAACTGTTTTGTTAAAAAATAAAACCAAAACCAAAAAGCGGAAAACCTATAAAACAGATGCAAATTCCAAACTTTAGGCTACCTGTTGACACCTAATTCTTCATTTACACAGGATGGTCACTCCAACCTCTATGACCTCACTTAGTTCATATTCTGAGGCTGTCTGCGCTTTGGGTCTCTAACATGCTTCAATATCTTGCATTTCGACAGATCCCCTTATGAAGGACAAGACAATATGGATCAGATCCCATCAGTGAAAGAATTACAATGTAAACTGTAATCAACATTGCTGTGTGACCTCAGGCAAGTCAGGTAACTTGTATGAGCTTCTATTTTCATACTTGCAAAGGAGGGCAGGTATGTTAAAATTAAATGAGAAAATAATCCTAAATGTCTACCAAAGATAATCCTTGGCACATTGTAGGCCCTAAAATTAGGGGTGATGATAACTGGATACACTAGTAGAAATTACAAGAAAGATTTGGTAGATGTGGATGAAAACATAAACTTAAGATAAAGGCTACTGAGTACATGTCTGTCAAGGAGGCTAGATGCAGAAAAAAAATGGAAATACACAAAAAGTAGATACAGCAAGAAAATTCTGAGATACAATTTATGAGATAATTAGGTGAGTAAGTTTATAAAAATTGTGGAAATAACTTTTAAATAAAAGTCCTGGACAATATGTAAGAGATGTTAATAGTGATGTAGAGAGTCAGTGTAAATCAAAATAGTATCATCTTAATATTATTTAATATTGGAAATTTGCTTGATTTGACAATTTTATTGATATAGTAAATGTACATAATTCCTATGATTAAGTCAGTTTCCAAGCATAGTGTTCCTTAACTGTTAAAGCAACATGGAAACCCACATTATTTCATAATAAAGATGGTTATAAGAAGTTACAAATGCTTGCTAAAGACATTTTATATATACTACAAACTCAATATGACTCTAACAGGATGACCATATCTTAGTCACTGCATATCAAAGTGGAAATGGTCATTTTTGCTTAAGTTTCAATAATAGTGTCATTGTTTTCATTTGGGTCTGACTCAGTTTGTGGTCTTGGGCTGTAATATAAATTATATCGGGAACACAGAATGAGTAGGTGATGAAGAGCTTTTCTAACTTGATTTATAGCTATCAAGATGAAAAGACAGGGGGCTGGAGAGATGGCTCAGTGGTTAAGAGCATTGGCTGCTCTTCCAGAGGACCAGGGTTCAATTCCCAGCACCCACATGGCAGCTCACAACTGTCTGTAACTCCAGTTTCAGGTGATCTGATACTTTTACAGACATACATGAATGCACATGAAATCAAAATAAATAAATTATTAAAAAAAGATGAAAAGACAGAAAGTATAACTTATAAAACTGAACACTAAAATGCTAACACATTAAATTTGATAATCATCGGACAAACTAGCATTTAATTCACCTTTTATTTGAAATTTTTTGCCATCCATGAGCTACTAAAATACAGAAGCCCATGCTAGGAACATACAGCACTCGCTCAGCAACAACGAATCCAACAGGGAAGAAAAGATTTGATGCAGGAATAAATGGCAATGTCATTAAACAAAGTGCCTAGAATGAAAAAGCAGACAGCATGTTAAATTTAAAAAATACATAGATGACAAATAATAAAAGGTTTTCTAACATGAGTAAATTAGTTTGTAGAATATTTTAGATAATACTATCATGAATAATGAACATAAAGGCAACACAGGGCAGTAATAATAGCCACCAGTGTGTACATAAGCAAGATAAGAAGGAAGGTTTTTGAATTCTAGAACTTTGTGAGACTAGTTTCAGACTTTATGAGTCATCATTTGAAATTAAACACTATACCTTTTATAGTATTGGATATGAAAAACATAATTAGCAATACTTTACTTGTTCTGTGAGGAATGCAATTTTTAGCAAAATTTACTACCAAGGTTCTCTTAGTCAAATTAAAAATTAGTTTTTAAGAGGATATTTTGAAAATAGCAAAAAATCCAATAAAAAATGGGTGGAAAAGACATACAAGCAACCAAAAGCTATATGAAAAAATGCTCTAGGTTACTAATCATCAGAGATATACATCTGTGTTAGAATGCATTGTCAGAAAGACAACAGAAAGCACTTGCTGAGAAGAGTGTAGAGAAATGTTAACCAACATGTGCTTAATGGTGGAAGCTGAGTTAGTAATGTTATTACGTGCAACAGTATGGGAATACCTCAACATATTAAAAACAGAAGTATATAATCTAGCGATCCTACTCGTATACATCTAAAAGAAAGGAAATCCATACACTGTAACATATCTGCACTTTCATTATTGCAGTATGATTCACAATAGCCAGTAAATGGAACCAACTTAGGGACAGGCAGAGGGTGAAAAGATAAAATAGGGCACATATGGACAAGAAAATCCTATTTAGCTTTAAAAGGAGGAAGAAACACCAGCAATTTGCAACATGGGTAAAAGTAATGGGCATTACGTGATATGCCATATACCTGCTACTTTCATTTGTATATGGACTGTAAAAAATAATGATATCAGAAACTGAGAACAGAATGATGTTTACCAGAGCGACGCAGGAAAGTTTGGGGAAGTGTCGGCCAAAGGATATAAACTTTTGTTACATAGGAAGAATGAAAGAAAAAGAAGAAAAACATACACATCTAACTTTTGTGCATGTGGCAACAAGAAGTTGAGAAAATGTCAATAGATTTTTTTTCAGCAAAACAAAATAATAAAGGTTGGTAACAGATAAAAATGTTGGTTTCCAGAACATTATTACAACAAACTACAAGATACTAGGGTCTGAAAGAATGAAATAAGGAATGGTTTAGACACCAAACTTTTCTGGTTCTATAGCTTGTATAGCATTTTTAAAAAAGGTTTTTTCTAATTTTTTTTCATATTTTTATTTTATGTGTATGGGTGTTTTGCTTGCATGTGCGTGTATGTGTGCTGTGCCCACAGAAGTCAGAAGAGGGCATCAGATGCCCTGAGAATGGAGGTACAAATGTTTGTGAACTGAAACATGGATGCTTGGAATTGAATCTGGGTCCTATTGAAGAGCAGCTAGTAATTGTTGAGTCAACTCTCCAGCCCCATCTTACAATCTAATGGTTCACATATATTTAAGAAGAGGTTCATACTATGTATATAAAAATAAAACTGTCCCTTTCAATCAGTAGCTTATTCTTTCTTTCTTTCTTATTTTTTTTTTTTTTGAGACAGGGTTTCTCTGTGGTTTTGGAGGCTATCCTGAAACTAGCTCTTATATACCAGGCTGGTCTCCAACTCACAGAGATCTGCCTGCCTCTGCCTCCCAAGTGCTGGGATTAAAGGTGTGCGCCACCACCACCTGGCAGCTTATTCTTTGGGAGAATTACTAAAACATCAGCACTGCATACTGAGAAAAATGTAAGGATATTCAGATTTCCTGTCCTTCAGAAACTGGGAAGACATGTGGTTCTTCGACTATAAAGTCACCCATGGCTAAGCATATAAATACCCTGGGCAGATTTAAGTTTGATACTATAGGACTGTAGCTGTGAACATTTGCTTCTACTTTCCTTTCTCATTTTAACTTTTTGTTTTGTTTTTGAGATGGGATCTCTTGTAGCTTAGGCTGGCCTTGGAATTGCTGTGTTGTCAAGGATGCCATTGAGTTTCTGATCTTCCTGGCTGTACCTAGGGCCTCATGCACATCAGTTAAGCAACATACCCAGGCAGCTACATCCCTAGACCCCTTTGTTTTGTTTCATAGCACTTACTTGAATATGAAATTTAACGCTTCCAGTTTCAGAAATCTGAAACTTTCCAGAGGACTTGGGGGAAAGAGTGTCTATTATTAATATACTTCATTAATGAGATGGAGATGAAGATATATCATATCAATCTATGTGTCTGAAATTTCAGCATTTTTTTTTTCAAATGAAGGCAGGAACCATTAAAGATATTTGTTTTTACTTCTTTATTTCTTAGATATGAATGATTAATAATAAAAAAAAACAACCCAGTAAAGCTATTTAGATACAAATAGTCCTAACCTGTAGCTCACTGAAAAAAAAAATTAGGGTGTCCACAAACAAATTTTATTAGAAGGAATTAATAGTATTCATTCAGATATACTATAAGTTAATGACTAAATTATGTAAACAATGAAAATGACCACTCAATTAAAGTCTACCCATTCTATGTCTTTGATGAATAAGTTCTTAGAAGTTCTAATTACTGGAGTACTAATTAATGTGTGCCAATCTCATTAACTATGATTAGCCTATAGTTTTCTTCTCCTAATAATAGAAGGATCTTTTAAGGGTGGGGCTTTAAAAAAAAAAGTCCTTTAAAGAGGAATGTTACATGCTGGAGAGAGAGCAATTAAAAGCACTTGTTCTTCAAGAGAACCTGGGTTTCGTTCCTAGTGCCCTCAGTGGCAGCTCAATCTGTCTGTAACTCTAGTCGTAGGAGATTCAATGCTCTCTCCTGTCCCCTGCAAGCACCAGGTATACACATGGTGCACAGACATAAATAGAGGCAAACCACTCATTTGTAAAAAAGAAAAGAAAAAAAAAACTAGGATTGTTAGTGGTAAGAGCCAAAGTTTAAAGGTAAATGCTAAACCTAATTCTTTTGTAATATAAATTATTCAATTACCTTGAGAACACTTCCTTATAAACAAAAATGGGGACTAATAGCTATTTGCATTATGTTGTTGATATATATTTAATAACTTAATAGTTACCTAATATGAAAACTCTTTCCCTGCTTCTTCAGACATCTTCAGAAAAGTCAACATTTAAGAAAATTAGCATGACTTAGAGTATACACAACAGTTATGTCCAAGGCATAACTTTTCTTTCGCATATATGAAATAATATATAACTTATATCATTTTTTATTTGCCAAACTTGGATTCTTCTATCTTTTCTCATTTAACTGTCCTTTCAACACAAGTTCAAAGGTAAATATATCATTTATCTATTTTGTGTATAAATTTACTTAAGCAACAATGGACTCTTAGAAAAATTATGAAGTCTGGACTGAGAAAACTCATCTCATCATAAACTCAAAGTCACCAACTTTAGATCAATTCCCAGACTGCTCAGGATTTCTAGCTTTCTCTTGATTTGTCTGATTCCATTCTCTTTGGCTGTTTTGGATCTTGACTGCTTTTATCAAACTTCTCACCCATTGGTGAGGAAACCAGGAAACCATTGGTTTTTCTAATTTTCTGGAGGGTTAAGACTGAAAACCAACTTTCTGTTGCCTTTACTAGCCTTACTAACGCTCACATTAATGTTCCTTCTTCCATGTAATAGAACAGTTTATCCTTTCAACTTAAATCTTTGCTAGGTGTTCTGCTGATCTTCACAAACCTATTTTCTTATTTATCCTACCACTTTCTACATAAATTTAAACATGTTGCCTCTTGAACCTAACATAGCATTTTGTATACTATATTTTAATCTATTTCCCCATTTATTACATCCCTCATACATAAAACAATTGTAGGACAAAACTTTGAAAAGTTGTGGTTAAAGTACTTGTTTTAAAACCACTAAATGAAATTACAAAGCCAATCCATTAGTGGTATCTTTGTTTCTAAAAAGTCCCACAACACAAATGAAATGGTTTTTAAAATATAAATCAGTGGTCTATCTGATATTCTCTCATGTCCAATAGATATTTTGTCACTTTCTAACACTTTCAAATAGATCTTATTTTTATGTGTAACAATACCTGTTAATGTCAACCACTCACTCTTTCCTAAAACATTCACCTTTTTTTTTTTTTGAGTCTGTCTCCTACCTAGATTGTTTTCTTCTCCATGAATGATCTAAATATGAGAGTTTCCAGAATGCAGTGGTAATTTCGCTTCTTTTACGCTAACCAGCTACATTAGCTGTTTTCTAGGAGAGATTTAACATTAAGAACTCCACAGCATCTTGTAAGTTTGAGTGCCCTCTACATGACTTGAATGACATGAAGCAGCAGCCTATAAAGAACTGGTAAAAACCTGTTTGAGAAAGGCTTCTGCCAGTCATAACTCCCCACCCCCCGCCCCTGCGCAATGTGCACCTATCTATCCCCTGGTTTCAATTAGTACTTCTAGACTAAGGAAAACTTTAAGTGTGGCCTAAGCATTCTGAACTTCAAAGTACTGTTCAAAAACTCCAGTAGGATGTTTTAAAGATACAAACTCGCATGTTTAAGCCAACAGATCTTTTTCCTACACTCTGTGTTCTTTTAAATTTTTTCTGAATGTTAGCCATTTGTCATAAGTTTCTCAGACTGCTGTTTGGAAACAAGGATCTTAAAACTCTTCTTATCACAAAGCCTCAAATGCTGCCAGGTAAATAGGTTGCCACTGTAAGTCTATTAGTATTTGTTCGGTAACAAATGTGTTAATCTAGTGGTGCTAGCCAGAAATGATGTACTTGGGAAACATTAAAATATTTTCCAACATACAGTAATAGCTGAAGAAAATAGTACCTTCAACAATTAAAAAAGAATGAGGAAAAATAATTCTTGCAGTCGAGGCTAAAGGAGGAAATTAATAAAACACATACACAAATTTTTTTTAAATAATCAGAGGTCTCTGGACATAGTCCCACTCAGGGAGTAATTAAAATCTTGTTAATAGAAGTTAAAATCTACATTACTTTTAGCTGCATACTGCATGACATTATTCACAATGCCAGGGAAACAAGTATACAACATAATCATTTTTTAAAATGTAAGAAATGTAGAGAAAGAAAATGAATGACAAAGGGCTTTGACTGTGATTTCATTGTTTCTATCAAATTAGAAAAAATATTATTAACTCTGCTTTACATGGCTGATTGTGCATGCTAAAATACGTCAGCAAATTGTTATTAATTTAATTAATAATTAATATTAGGACAATCTAACATGTTCATAAATTGGGAATGATCGACAAAGAAATATACCTCTAGAAGCATACACTGGATAAATTACAGATAATGTCACATGTAACTAACTGACCCAATGTAACATTTGAAAAGTTAAGATTTCTTACCATTAGGACAGTCTTTGAGGAATCACCAGGGTATCGGAGACTGAATATTCCCAAAGCCCCCAGAAAGCTAAAGAAAGCAAAAGTGGCAAGATTTCGAATATCTAGAAATGATTCTATAAGTGGTATTGTTCCCATGGTCCAATCACAGCAGAGCTCTGAAGGATTCAAAAGAAGCCAAGCATTCACGGGAAGGAGGTAGTTAAAAGTCAGCTGCCGTGTAGGGGTTGGGCTTACAGCAGCTGGATTATCAAACCTGTATAAACAACAAAAAGGCATTAAAAATGCTTTCCCCCACTGCTGAAGACTGACTAGATAATAGGCCAGCACTCTATACTGAGCTGCAGCTCAGCTGTTGGTTTTCTGAGACATGGTTATTGCTTATATAACTCATGCTAAGCTTCAACTCAGGATCTTCCTGTCTTAGTTTTTCAAGTACAGCAATTACATATGCACGAACTAAATAATTGCAAATAACAGCTCTGATTCTAAATGTTGTGAGCTTTAATTTTTTTTTTAATTAGGAGAGGGAGGAAGGGAAAGGGAATATGAATAAGGGCATGTGCATGACACTAACACATGGGGAAGTCAGAGGACAGCTCATGACTCAGTTCTTTTTCCATCATTTGGGTTCCTGGGAATTGAACTATGGTTCTGAGTTTTGCCAGCAAGGGCCTTTACCCAATGATCAAGCTCAGCAGTCCCTGACCCCACTTTTTAATACAAATTTTACTTATTAAATATATAACTAACATACGCAATTACTTTATATGCAATACTCAAACAAAAGAATAGCTACATTGGGACTCTGTAGTTAAGAGTTCCTGCTGCTCTTATAGAGACCTGAATTCGGTTCCCAGAGCCCATGTTGGCAGTTTACAACTGCCTGCAACTCCATCTCCACGGTATCTAACATGTTTTTCTGTCCTCTGCTCATTTCAACACACACGTGGTATGTACATAAACATAGTAAAAATAAATTCTTTTTTTAAGAATGAAAAATGTTATAGGTGCCTCAGAATCTTGCTGTTTAATTAAAAATTTCAACCTGCTTAACCTAAGTTAAATGTCTAGATGACAGAAATGGCATTTATGGAGAACCACTTTAAGAGAAATCAGGTCAGCTCTTCTCAGTAATTATAAGAATAATTCAGACCCGAACGTAACATTCTGATAGCCTGTAAAAGTACTTTCATTAAATCATGACCTTCGAATTAAAGGTCATAAACAAGTTGTATGTGATTCAGATTTATGTGTTGTATGGAAGCTTCTAGAATATCTAGCAGTGTTGTCCTGTATGAATCAAAAGTTTAGGAGTAAGTACGAATAAAAATTATGACTCCCAGGGACATGTGTCTTTGTCCTCTCACTACAGACAAAACTGCATCACTTAGAGCTATATTCTTGCTGTGACACAAAACTGAAAGTCACGTTTCTAATAGAAAGTATTTAGCATGTTAGCCCACTCAGTATTTTGTATTCTAATTGTTCTGGTAGTAAATACTAACATTTCATATTTAGTTTTCTCAGATTCCTGACATATGGACTATGAATTTAATTACTACAGTCTACATTTTGCAAATTAAGTAAAATAAAAAAATAACTATATGACAAAGGAGTACGTTTACATATTTGGTTTTGAACCCAAATACTAAATTTAAATGACTGTATTTACAGTTAGCTGTTTAAAATAAATTAAGCATCTCTCTTCTATTTTAGTTGATTTATTTTGTAAACTATCAAATGGCTAAGAAAAATATCAACAGTGCATGAATAGACCGTATCATTTACAGCTTTTATAGATGATTTTATATGAAAAGTAACATGTCTTTAGAGTTACAGCTTGAACTGTAGATAAGCAAGCAGAGGTGAACTTGAAGCTTTTTCCTCTTTGAGGAAAACACTATTCATTTTAAAAAATGATCAGATTAGAACACTTCTTTTATGTGTTTAAACAAACCAAACCATAAAATCAATTTCTCAGGGTAATATAATAAAATCTAATTTATAAGCACATTTAAAAACATTTTATTTTAAAAATTTTACTTATAGGCAATGCATACCAAATATGCACTTATATAGCACATGCACAAACAATTTTCTAGAATGACTACTGGAAAATACTACAAATTCTTTGGCATAGATAATAATCTGAATTTTTTCCTAATCCATCTTATGCAATATGAATCTGAATAAGAAAAACATTTCCCAGCCAGAACCTGTAATGTACCATGGGCAAAAAGTCACTATGTGGTTGTCCCCTCTCACTCCCACTGCCCCCCAATTATTTCATGTAATACCAGTCGCTTAAAATTTATGGGGGACTAGTATAAATTTCATTTTGAATTTTAAGTATGGTTGTTTAGTGGGGGAAAAATTTAATGTTACAGCAGACAACCATGGAATGCAGATTTTAATTTCTTAAGATAGTCACACTAGAGTGGGCACTCTGTTGAATGACTTAGGGCTCTTTACAAGGTGAAGACCAACAGATACTTAGGCAAGGCTATGTAAAACTGTGAAAAACTTGTATGAGGAAGCTACAAGTAAAGGAATGAATGCCAAAAACTATTAGCAACTACCAGAAGCTAGGCAGTGGGTATGCCGTTTCTAGGTTATCTAGTTTGCAGTTAATTTTCTATAGCTGTTACAGCAAAGCTAATAGTCAGGAAACAATGTCTTGAAGAAAATCAGATTTAAAATCTGTTAATAAAAACATAGTGGTTGGGTATATCCATAGTTTAGTTCCAAGGTTGAATAGCCAAAAAGCTCTATCCTAAGGCTTATTATGGTTCCACAAATAAAATTTAAAAGCAAAAATTAAAAGATAACATAACTTTAAAGAACTGAAATATACCCCAGAACAAACCTCAAGAATATTTACGAAGATATATTAATGTAGTTTTAATGCTTTTCATACATTCAAAAACTACCAGGTATATGACCAATAAATATAATTCATATTGACAAGAAAATGTATACAACACAAATAGACCAAAAATAATCATACATGAAAGAGCGTACAATTAGATATCACAAAAGACAAAAGAGCATGTAGAGATATGGGAGACAGAAGAAAGGCACTTCTGAGTACACTTCTGTGCAGAAGAGCATATTTAAAAACACAATCAAACAAAATACAGTCTATGAAAGCTATGTACGCCAGAAGATACTGAAGCCAACTTTGGAGCAACTCATGGGGATAGCTGAGATAATGTTTCCTATTGAGTAAAAGTAGTTTTCATAAGCACAAGTGAAATAAAGTTATTTCTAGAAATAAAATTTCAAGGAATTTGTTGCTGATAGACCAGGACATGTCAAATAAAATCCTTCATGAAAAGTAATAGTGGCACAATAGGAAAATGGTGGTATAACAATGGAATAAAAGCCACTGTAAATAATTTAATATAAAAGATTTATTTTAAATTCTTCCAAAGATAAACATTCCAAGCAAAAATGTATACCCAAGGAAGTTATATGCAAACTGCAGAAGTTGAATCTTTAGAAGATAGACGTAGAGAAGAGATGAAGCAAAGAGAAAAATCATAACACTGTAGATTTACATTACATATACCAACATATTAAAAGCAAATGGAGAAAACACCCCATCTAGAAGATATGAAAAGACAAAAAGACCCAATTATATATATTCTATAAGAAACCTTCATTAAGGCAGAGAGATAGGTAAACAGTGTGTGTGTGTGTGTATGTGTGTGTGTGTGAGAATCACATCACAACAAAAAGACAGCTGGACAGTTAACTTCTGAACAGACCATTACTAGGGATTAAAAAAGCCCACTTCATAGTGATAAAGGGATTAATTCATCAAGATGCCATAATTTTAAATGTTTTAGACCTTTAAAAACACATGAATTAAAAATTACCAGAACTGCAAGACAAATTTCTAAGTCTATCAGAGGCTTGAACATTTTTCTCTCAGTGTTACTTGATAAAGCAGACAAAAAGCACTCAGGATATGAAGACAACACTACTGTGATCTTTGCTGTGGAGGTTTCACATACATTATACGCCAGAAATAATATCTATTATAAATAATATGTAACTTTACGAGTATATTGATATTTCAGTAAAGCTGTTGAAAAATTACGTATAAACTAAAGATCTTCTGGAGCATGGAAGCATTTATGATGACCTAAAACTTAAGTAAAAAACCAAACCAGAAAGAAGCTAAAATGAAGAACTTCATACCTTGTAAACACTGGAAGTTGGGACTGAATAACTTGGACTCTAATCACGACAAGTAATAATGTACTGAACATCAAGACAATGAGTTTTATTAGTGTCTGCAGCATAGAAAAGGGAATACTACCCTTTTCACGGAGAAACTGTCCAGCAGCTGTACATAATAATGGCAACGTATACTGAAAAGAAAAAAGCAGTTTCAGTAATAAATACAATGCATGCTTTTAATAACGCAGTAGTTATAAGTATACACTGTTAGAAGCAAAGTTCAGAAGAATTGTAAAGTAACATAGCACAGTTTGTGGAACTGATAAGGAATGAGACCAATCTTGGTAACCCTGGCAAATACTGAGCTGCACTGTCACAGGATCACTGGAACTGCCACAAATTGTCTAAAGGTTCTAGTCCTTAAAACATGTCATAATATTTTAACAATTTTTTTTGGTGGGTAAGAGTGCAAAATTCACTATTTCTAACATATATTGCTATTATTATAGTAAGCATAATGTTTTATATGTTATGATATATGTAGAGAATAAATAAGGTTATCAAAATCTGACTTAGCTAGAACAAAAAAAGAAAATGAAAAATTACATTTTTTCCTTACCCCTTGGGCAACAAATACTTCATATACACAACAAATTCCAACAACTGTGATTCCTTGTTCTTTACACAATGTTGCAACAGCCACTAAAAGCACTGTCAATGCAATCGGGCTCCACACTACAATTTAAAAATAGAAAAAAGAAATCTATACAAAAGCTTTATAATGTCACAAAAGTATATAAGTTATTCTTGAAACTTTCTATCAATATTTTTTTGTTTCTTGTTGACCAATATCTTATATTTTATGATACATTTAAACTGTGCACCTTTTACACTGTAATGTCAAAGCAAAATATCAAGATGCATAATTTAACCTGAAGAGTTTTGTGGAGATGAAAGTTGTCTAGGCGAATACTAACTTCTAAAATAAATGTAAATGTGGATAAATTAATAGGCGGAGCATGGTAATTAGTGAACAATCAACTGGAAGCAAAGATGAATTATCTGGAATTACACAGGTACTAGCAAGGATATGGAGGAAATGGAACACTTTCAATATTGGTGGTGGAATGTAAAGAAAATGGTATAGAAGTAAAAATTAGTACGGGCAGCCTGCCTTAGGCAGTGAGTAGAAAGCATGACTCTGCCCAGCGTCATTACGACTGAGCTCTCCCACTCATGACTTAGGGCCCACTCTCCCACCTGCCACAGGTGGTGAGGGGGAAGCATCTTTCCCTCACCTACACCACCACATGGCAAATGAGGGGGCCAGGGCTAGGTCTCCCTCTCTCATGCCCTCAGAGACCACATAGACTCCCAGTCCCCAACTTGGGCAGCAATCCCTGCTGGACCAGAGTCCATCCAGGCCATCAGAAGCCCAGTCCTGAACTTTGGCAGAGACCCACTACTCAACTACAGGCCGCTACAGTCAGAAGACCAGAGAAGAAACAGGAACCAAGAAGAAAATACCCATCCAACAGACCTATAATCACTCCAAATCCAGATGCCTAACTGCCAGTGTAAGAACACAATCAACAATCTCCAGGGCAATATGTTACCACCAGAGCCTCCACACCCCACTACAACAAGCCCTGAATATTCCAGGACAGCAGGGAGATAGGGGCTCTCTCTGACTTTTTTTTTGCTGGTTTCTGGGACCCTTTTCCTCATACTGAGTTGCCTTGTCCAGTCTTAATACAAGGGCAGGTGTCTAGTCTTACTGCAACTTGATATGCCATGTTTGCTGATATCCATAGGAGGCCTGCCCTTTTCTCAACAGAACCAGAGGAAGAGTAGATTGGGGGGGTAGGGGGGGTGGAGAGGTTGGGGGAAGGGCTGGGAGGGGAAACTGTAGTCCAGATACAAAAAATTATAATTTAAAAATCATTAAAAAATAATTGAATGGAAAAAACCTATAAGGAACTTTGAAATTTATCCACAAGGAATTCATATTTAGGAAGACAGATATGTTCCCATTATATATACAAGTATTGTTACATCATGTTGTAACTGAGGATGACCTTGAGCTTCTGATCTTGCCTCCACCTCCCAAGTGCTGGGATTGAAAGTCTATGCCACTATACTTAGTTTTATGGAATGCAGAGGACTGAACCCAGGGACTTGCAAATGCTCAGCAAGTTCTCTCACCAACTAAGCTACATTTCCTGGTCCCATTAAGTTCAATTAGAGATAGAAAATATTCATATTCATAGTACCTTGGTATTCTATATTGAGATGCTACAGCCAAAAGAAAACAGGGAAAAACTTGGGAATTTAACATCAACTAAATACAGGTTAAGGGCCGGGCGTTGGTGGCGCACGCCTTTAATCCCAGCACTCGGGAGGCAGAGGCAGGCGGATCACTGTGAGTTCGAGACCAGCCTGGTCTACTGAGCGAGTTCCAGGACAGCCTCCAAAGCCACAGAGAAACCCTGTCTCGAAAAATCAAAAAAAAAAAAAAAAAAAAAAAGTAAATACAGGTTAAGGTTATTTAGGAAGCTTTTTTCCTGTCTACTATGCCTATACTCTTGGGGGGGGGCAAGCTAATGTTTAAATTATATTCTTGAGTAAGCTACATCATTAAGCAATATTCAACTATGATGACACAAATTAAATCCAGTAGGCTTCAAACTTTGCCTAAACAGTATCATGGGTCATCAGCTATTACTTATCAAAGACAACTGAAGGGCTGGGGCAATGTTTGAGTGGGTAATGCACTTGTTGTACAAGCAAGCTGCACAAGTTCAGATACTTAGAACCCCAGCATGCCAGGCACAGCTGCATGCATGTAATCCCTTTGCTACAATAGCAAAATGGAAAGAGACAAGAAAATTCCCACACGCTGGTGGCCTAGTACACGACAGCGAAAGTGAGGAACAGTATCAGAGGCTGCCCCCCAACAGTCACAGGTATGTGCCTGTATTTTAACATAGCACTTGAGTGCACGCGTGCACACACACACACACACACACACACACACACACACACACACACACGTGACATGCAAGTGAAGAATTGGTATTTGCATTTATTTTAATAGGAAAAACAGATGAAATTTAGACTGACTCTGAAACTGACATTTTAGAGCTATTTGATCACAGAGAGGAATCTGCTGGGTAATGACAAAATATAAATTATTAATATTTTAAAAATATAGACAGTGTTATATGTCTTATATTTTATACATGCTAAAGCAGAACAGTAACGGCAAACCCAAAATGTTATCTTAATTATGAAGAATTTGGAATGAATAAATAAACTTATTTGATCAAGTGTCTTAACTACAATATAAAGTTAGGTAGATATTTACCTATGGAATTATCTGGTCCTTTTGATTTAGTATATGACAAAAATGCAGCTAGAAAAAAAACAGATGACAAAAGCTCAGCTCTTCCTACAACACCTGTTACCTAGAAAAAGAAAGACAGGGCATTCATGTTAGTGCAGTGTTCTGAAAATTTGTTATGTATAATACTAACAGCTTAAAACCTAAAACCTCAATTTTTTTTAAATTTTATTTTCCAGTTTAAATTTAGATAAGAAACAAGGTTGCTTCACAAGTCAGTCAAGTGTAGTATCTGTTCTTATCATTTTAAAACCTCAATTTTTAAGGACAGAGTTATATTTTCTTTTTAACATGTGAGCGCCCTCATGTGGTAAATTTAGGTATCATTCATGAATGAAAACCTATCAGAGATTGTTGCAAATAGATCATTATTTTAACATGGCAAATATATTAGTTTTTGTGTACTCTTAACCACCTTACAAATAATTATAACATCTTATGTAATTACAACACAATATATAGATGAGTTCTTTAAAAATCTAAGTCTCCCTGCATTATTTTCTTAACAAGAGTGTTTTTTTAAAATGTGAAACTATTAAATTTGCTAATCTGCAAACTAATTTCAAAAGCTCTTTTAATTAAAAACACAAAATTCCCAAATCTTGCTATTTAAAGAAATGAAACCTAATATGCAACTTAAAGCAATTTATCTCTTTTGTACATGCATGGAAAAACTCAGCTGGATACCACCTGGTTCCAGAATAGTGAGAGAGATAATCATTCTGCAAAAACAAAACAAAAATCAAAGCAAAACAAAACAAAAACCAAAAAAACATTTTTGCTTAGGAAGAAAGGCTTATAAAAATGCAATTAGAGTATTGTCAGTTCTTCTCTGGAAGGCATTTTTAGAGTCATTGCAAACAAGAACAATTATTTTGCATATATCTTCATAGGAAGAAGTACGTTCATTTGTATTTTTCACTAACAACATTAAATGATTATATATGTAATATATAGTAACCTGTTGATAATATATATTAATATATATACATATATATAAATAAAATTAATGTTGGGTGTCTTCTTCCATTGCTCTCTAGTTTTCTTTTTGGAAGATTTATTTTATCTTACATGCACAAGTGCTCACATGTTAAGTGTACTGTGTATGCCTACTGCCTGAAGAGGCCAGAGGAGTTTGTTACATCTTCTGGAACTGGAATAACTGAGGTTAATGCTGCCATGTGGCTGCTAAGAACTAAACCTGGGTTTTCTGAAAACGCAGTAATGGCTCTTAAGCCCTGAACCATCTTTCCAGCCCCTCTATGTTGTTTTTGGGAGAAAGGTTGTCAAGAAGCCCAAAACTCAGGGACCAGCTACATCAAACCCCAGGAATCTTCTTGACTCTACCATCACTTGTAGGATTACAGGCATCAGCTACCACATCTGGCTTTTCACATGGGTGCTGATGATACAAACGCAAGTACGTATACTTGTGATGTGATCACTTTACCTATATGTATATTCTAGAATGAACACTTTCTAAAGCCACTTTAGATTTAAAACTTGTACATAATAGGTAAGAAGGACTGCGTGGGACAGGGTAAGAGTGCACTAGATTAGGAATATCTAAGTGCTTTCAGTTTTACTTACTGCTTCGGTGTGGATTGGGTGTACTGCAAAGAGCAGGGCAGCAATCACACTGCTCCTCTTGTCCAGAAAAAGTTTGCAGACTTTAAGAAATATCACACTAACAATAGCATGAAAAACCGTGTTTAGGAGATGGTAAGACATTGGTTTTAGTTCACTAAGTAGATAATTTAAGCGAAATGTCAACACTGTTAAGGGCCTGTATGACTTGTGGCTTCTCTCCTAAAAGGAAAAACAACCAGTGATTATTAGAATGCCTTGGCACTTCAGGCTACAAAAAAGCAATCATAGTTTTTATTATTAAAATAATGATCAAAAAGTTACACAAACAAAACATCATGCTATCGCTAGAAAGATGGAAGCATGAGAAGGTTCTTGATTGAGGAATGGGAACATGTCATAAAAGATGACTGGGAAAGAGACTGTGTGGAGTATTACAAAATAAGTTTCAAAGCAGTTTACTCAAAAGTGACTTGACAGGCACTGTAGATAAATGCATTCATTTATTTATCCTCAAAGAAAGGCTTTACCATCTAAAAGCTGTAGCTTATTTTACATAGCTAATGAATGACAGATCTAAAAGTAGAATCCAGTCTATGTGATCCAAAGATGAAAAGAGTTTAACCTTAAGTAAGTTAACACTGACTTTCAATATGATTTTAAGTAAATCTTTTCTCTTACTGCAGAGAAATGGGCAATATGTATGTATCTTTAAACTTTAATCTATTTACACTGAATTTATCATGTGTTAATGGTTAAATTTAGCAGTCACTTGCGTTGCCTGACTTACAAGACAAGAAAAAGACTTGTAATCACGCCCGTTGCCCTCCCTATGTACATATTATTCTCACATCTATCTAAATATTATTTTTAGAAAAGCAAGTCAAGGTACACTGCCAATGAATCAAATCCAGTTTTTAAGACATAGGAGTTATAGGACACAGACACATTCATACTTGCACCAGTTTTTAGAGGGGAGTATTTTTTCAAACACTGAAAAAAATCTGGAAACTGATTTTCTTAAAGCTCTTTATAATGGTGTTCCCGACAGTGAATCTTCAAGAATTCTCAAAGATATCGAGGCTTGAGTTGGACATCATTGTTATACAGGTTAGTTAGCAATTAGATATATATCTAAATATATTACCTTAGATGATAAATATTAAACTACATTAATTTTTATTAAAAAACGATGTTTTATATAAAACATAATTATTTACCTCAGACATAGGCGTTCCCCAGAAATCATTCTGAAATAAGGTTTTTAAAGGCGTAGTTGGATGCAGATCTTTATTATCTAGAATTGCTGAAACATCATCGAAAACAAACCCACAGAACAGACTGTTCCAGTAGCAGGCAGCAACCACACCAACTATTAAAGTCACTTCTTTGAAGTTAATATCAGCCATCTTTCCGTCAAGCAGTGATAAGCAAAACTGGAAAAACAAGCAAGATAAACATGAAATAAACAAAATTTTCCTCCAAATAGTTACATTTTTAGTGTTAAATAATATTTAGACTAAAGAGTACACATTAATGCTTCCAGAGGTCAGCTTAAATACCATCTATTTTTAAAGAAGACTTCACTGCTTAACTCCATAATTTTAAGGCAGACTTTTTCATACCACCTAACCTCTGTCCCTAGCTAACTAGACAGTGAAGTGCCATCAACTGTCACTGACTGGCTCCCTGGGAAGAGACAAACAGTGCATCTTATGGAAAACCTACACACTGAGAATGAGATTTCCAAAACTAACAGAGCTTTTATTTCAAAATTTATATATGTAAAAATTAATCTAAATCAGAGTTTCTATAGTTTTGTTGAGACTAGAGCCTTGTAAAGGTATTTTTTGAGTCCTTTCATTCTGCTGTTTACTAGCAATTACATAATCCTAAAATTTCTTATCTAATTTGTGAAATTTTGCCTTTTGGATGTTGAATTTATGGTCTGGATGTAAACCATTTTTCTTTGCCCACTGTCCTGAAGGCTTTTAGCTTAGAATTTCAATGTCATAGATGACATCCTTACCTGAGGAAACACATAATGTTAAGAGGCACTGCTTTAGGAAACATTGAGTTAGGGGAATCGTATAGAGGAGAAAGGCTCTAATAACTGGAAGATACAGAAAAAGAAAATCAGCCACATAGCAAAGTGAAAAATGAGTTAAAACTAAACTAAGCTGGTCATTTTCTGCTCTGGGTAGTTTCACTAGATCACTGAGTATTACATTATCACTTGTGAAATGCAGATTACTAGTTCCTAAAAACTGTTAATATCCAAATACCAAATCTGTGAATAAGGTATTTAGACAGCCAGTGGCTTTAAAGTTATGAAGAGCTTACCAGAAGAATTACCTAAGTAGGCCCATTACAACAACAAAAGCACCTTAGAAGTGAAAGAATGCCTGGAGGATATGATTTCTGCCTGGGGACCATAAGCCGACAAATGACAACAGCCTCTGCTATATTGGAAAATGAAAAACAAAAAAACCTGAATTCTTTATTAGAGCTTTTAAAACAACTACTGACACTTTGGTTTTTATCTAGCTAGGTTCATTTTGTACTTTTGATTTTCAAATTGCTAAGAAAATAAATTTAACTGAACTATATTTGTAAGCACATCGTAGTAGTGATGGGTACTAATATATTCACAGAGTCAGAGGGTTTAGATCTGAGATTATCTACAGGAGTTCTGACCGTATCAGAAAGGGAATGAGAAATAAAATAAACATTCCAGTTAGCAATAAATTGGCTATCACAGGCACAGATTTAAAACTGGATGTAAAGCCTTTATAAAGGTTATATTTAAACTATATGAGGTTCATAATAATGTTAAAGCATGAAAATACTTCTACAATCATAAAATGCTTTATACCCACTGAAAACATAAAATTCCAACCAATAAAGTGGAAAGGACAGAGAAGTACCCTTTAGGAAATAGTTTTCAAGAAAAGAAAAATTATTTAAATTTCATCTTCACTCCAGAAGTGACTACCCGTCTCTGAAGGGGATGGAGTTGCAGGGTCCTGTTAGTTCACACCCCAAAAGCTGATGGTGTTTCTAATTCAAAGATTCAAAGAATGGGTTCAACTAACATTCTCTTTAGCTCTTGCGAATTGGTAACCAGAATAAGAGGTACTGTTGTTATGGGAAGTATATACATATGGGAAGACTACTACAGAAGCCATAGAACATTCTGGAAGCTAGAGAGAAGTGAAAGGATAAGTAAGTTAATCAAAGGATTGCTAGAAAGTGATTTCTACATTGAAAGAGCATTTGTTCTTCACATCCCTCCAACAGCAATCACAAGCTGATCCTAAAGATTTTAGGACTAGAACAGATGAATTGGTGAAAGTATGGTCTTTCTCCCACACAGGGTCTCTTATATAGGCTGCACAGTGATGAGAAAAGAATCCTAGTATAATGACAGTTAAATAAGTTTGTCTACACAACTTATCCCGAGACCCCCCCAGCTCTCTTCTCTATAATTACACCATTGGAAACAGAGAGGATTCTAAAAGCTTACAAAAATAAACGGGTTTCATACCCAAAACCAGGATTCAAAAATTTTTTTCTTGCCATTAAGAATAAACACCACACACAATACATAAAGGAATAGTGTTTCAAATTTCTACGAGAAAATCATTTCCAAAATAAAAATTTGCATTCAGAAATCCAAGTTACATACTGTCAGCTACTGAATATTTCTTTACACTGTGTGAGTAGACGCCACTGTGATTGGTTTAATACAGAAGCTGCCTGGCCTATAGCTGAACAGGATAAAGTTAGGTGAGAAAGTCAAACTGGGAATGCTGGGAAGAAGGGCAAACTCTGAGAAGTCCCACAGAAAGAAGCAAGAAGGGCGGGCATGCTGTACTGAGAAAAGGCACCATCAGTTAATGACATACAATTACACTGCCAAAGCTTGGCTTAAATCAGGCATCTCATTTAAGTACTTACGAAAGATGAACATTCAACTTACAAATTTAGTTTTGAATTAAAACATTTCACCCCAGTTTTTCTTTTTATGGGTGCTTTTTTATTAATTTGTTGTCTTCCAATTTCATGTTTATCACATGACCTCCACTCTATCTCCCTGCCATCCTTCTTCGTCCTGCTTCCTCCCTACAAATCCATTTCTCATATTCATGTCTCTTTCTTTTAAATGTAGCAAGCACAGATTTATTCGGGCAAAGGGTGAAGGAACTACTAAGAGCAGGGAAGGTCAAAAAAAAACCTAACTTTTAAATGCTGTGATTAAATAAAGAGTTCAGTCTTTTCGAGCTGTTACTTTTAAATGACCTTTTATCATGAACAAAGTAGGATTTTTAGGTTCTAGAGATTAAAGAATACAAAGTATAAAGTGTTAGTTTAATAAAACTGGATAGACCCATGGCGTCTATATAGTTAGGCATGATTATGGCAGTTTGTCAGACAGTTGTGGCACATGCTTGTAATTCCAGCACTCTGGAGGCAGAGACAGGTGAATGGATCTCTGTGAGTTAGAGGCCAGTCTGGTCTACAAAGCAAATTTCTAGGACAGGTAGAGCTGTTACACAGAGAAACCGTCTTGGGGGTAAAAATACGGCTCTTTTAAGCTACAGAAGTTCCATTTAGTAATTATAATGTTCAGTTCTAATGTAATCATCAAAACTCTGAATTTGATTTTAACTTTAAGAACTGTCCTCTCCCCTGCTCCCACCCGCCCCCTAGGCTTAAGCTCACTACAAATGAGATATGATCTACACTCCCTTATGTAGATATAGTACTTCATAGTCTACACACACACACACACGTTTTTGTTATCAATAATTTTAATGTACAATACAGAGAAAAGGAGAACAAAAAGCTGTTGACTTGACCACTATATTCAGACTTTCATGGGTGTTTGAGGGTTCTCTGAAGACCAAAACCCCATATAAGGGCAGGGAACGTAGTTCAGTAGTAGAGTGCTTTGTTAACATATACTATGATTTGTTTGTGTGCGCGTGTGTGTATCTTAAAAGATCTTATTATGTAGTCCAGTCTATTTAACTCAGGACCCTTCTGTTTCAGCTTCCTGTCTGGGATTACCATTATGTCTATCTTTGCTGCTACTTAAAAAAATGTTATCAAGTAAAGTGAGATGTGGAATAAATGTAGGATAATTACAAAGGGGCTAGGACACAGGCTTTAGGGACTTGCCAAAGGTGTGTACTATGAAAGGGAGAATTAGTGCTAGTCCAGGTCCTAAGTGCAGTTGTGGCTTTGTTCAGGGTTTTCTGTAGGATAGAGATGATGAGAAAGTGCTCACACAGTACTCCTTACTAGACAAGATTCATTGGGGGTATTAGCATACATACACATGCATGCAGCATAAGCAAATGGGATACCCAACTTGTTTGCTTAAAAAAAAAAAAGGTATCAGCATACATGCATATAAAATCCAGCTGTAATCAAAGGTCACTCATGAGCTATATTATAGATGCAAATTCAATTCCATCAACAAAATTACATTAACTTCTTGGGATAATGATCTAATGATATACTTGGGGAAAGACAAAGCTATAGGGCAAAGCTAATAATTCCTTCCAGTTCTGTTTCTTGGGGAAATCAACAAAATCATTCAGACCTTCTCTATAGCCTCTTCTATTTATTACGCTCTTGATGTCTACAGAACTTTTGTATGCAAAGTGTGTGTTCACACTGAATCATACTTATCCTTTTAGCTACCGTATGCTGAAGAGAGACAAGTGTCTGCTTGTTATAACACATTCCTTTACCTGAACATGAAGTTCCTTCTGGAAAAAAAATCTTGAAAAACACTTTTACCATAAAAGGCATTAGCTAATAAATTTCTTATGGTCATGCATTATTTTAGAAACTAGAGCAGTAAGTGAGCAATAGAAAGGACACAAATTTAAGTCCATTAGTACAGAAGACAGAGGTAACAATTACAGAAGCAAGGCTTTCTCACAAAGTGATTTTGCTTAGATAAAACTGTTCATACAAGCCCAGGTTAGACAGTACACAGGTTCAGGCAAGCCCTCCTGCAACCAGGCTATTTACAAAACTCTCCCATGAAACCAGTTCATGGAAAATTTTGTAAAATAAAGAAACTCTGATGGAAAAACTATGTTAGCAATTTGAAAAATTATCTGTCAAGCTGCAGGATCAGAACTTCAGTTAAATGTCCCGACTCACAGTTACATACAATATATAAAGACTGGGAACACAAACTAATTTGTTTTCTGCTATACTCTTAGGTCAAGAACAGTATATTAGCTTAAAATACTGTCAAGACAAATTAGTGGAATTTAAGAAAGCATATACTTTAGTCCTGATTGTCACTGAGATCTACAATCTTAGCTTCATGTCAGTTACTAATTAACTACTACTCTAACTTATTCTCACTTCTGAAGAGAATAAAATTTATCAATAAACTATGAACCCTTGAAGATATTACAAATATGAACAAGAGAGGGAACTAGGGGCAGAAAGACCCATACAAACAACACAAAACTAGTAAATTAGTAACGGAAAATAATGTACTAAAAATCAAGAAAAAATATCAAGGTGTTGTGATTGTAGGGAAAAGGGACCAGCCAAAGAAACATACCTTGAGCAGAGCCAAAGAAACACACTTTGGCCCTGCAACCAGAACTAAAGAAATGTACCCTGACCCTGAAACCAGTGCCAAAGGAACACACTTTGTCCCTGGAATCAGAGTCAGTGAAAGAAATGCACCCTGGCCCTAAAATTGGAGCCAAAAGGCTAAAAAGGACCAGAGAAAGAAACACACTTTGGCCCTGAAACCAGAGCCAAATCTGACCTTAATCCTGTGCAGAAAACTAACCAATCCTCGAGCAGAAGCTCTAGCCAATCTGAGCTCAGCACTGAAATCAGACCAATCCCTACCCTGGAGAAGCTTCCCCGCCCCCAAGAATCCCTATATAAACCCTGTGTATGTTCAGCTTGGCTGGTCCAGTTGCTTCCTTCCAATAAACCCCTTCGGATGAGCTTTGGGTGAAGATCTTTTGTGGTGGCGATGGAGCAGAGGTGACCCTGGGCAGAGCAGAGCGAGCAGGGCTGAAACCTTCCCTTGGCAGAACTCCGCTCTCTGCTCTCTGGGAGCAGAGCTGAACTGTAGCAACTTCGCCTAGCCGAGCAAAACTGCTACACAGGACGAACATCTCCAGCTGGAAGACCCTGTCCTGCCGGAGGATTGGGGCCTATACACTGGGGAAGCCTTTCTCTGAGGCAAGGCTGTAAGCTGCTAAGCTTACTGCAACCTGTGGTATTCCTTGGCTCCCGAGCTCCAGGATACCTTTCCACCTGAGCTGTGTAACACTCAGTATCCTGTGACTCCCAAGTGCCAGAATATGTGACCCATCCCCATCCTGCCAAAATGCCTACAGTGATAAAAACAAATTCTTAATATATTATACCAGTGAACAGAGTAGTATATATGCTCAATAAATACTGTTTCCATCTCAGTATTTTAACTAAAAATTTGAACAAGAAAAATACCCCACATTCTTGAGTAAACAAACCTATGAAATTAAAGCGTGCAAAATAAAATTAAATTTAAATATTAAAGCTTAAAACAGTAAGACTGTTTCTAGAATGGCTGTGTGATGTGTCCACCACATTGATGAGAAAACAGAACACTGTAGACTCTCCATGTGCCAATCTCTTAGATGGAGAAAGAGGACAATGTAAGCACTCATTTTGCTGCATCTCTATCAAGAATAATGCAGCTGGGCGGTGGTGGCGCACGCCTTTAATCCCAGCACTCGGGAGGCAGAGGCAGGCGGATCTCTGTGAGTTCGAGGCTGGGCTGGACCGATAGCCTCCAAAACAATACAGAGAAACCCTGTCTCGTAAAAACAAAAACAAAAACAAGGAATAATCCAGAAATTGAATAGTATTTTGAAAAAAGCAAACATGGCAATCAGTCTTACAAATCTGATGTCTTGAATATTTGTTTCAAATACCCTTTTTTACTGAGCTATTTCTTGTTTCTCTAAGCCACATAGTTTGTACAGAAGTTTTTCAGAAGTAAATATTAAGTGTCTACAGTTTTTCTTTTACCTTGTGTGTATGCATGGGTGTGCGCGCGCGCGTGTATAAATGAGACACACTCTTTTAAACAGCCTACAGCTTCCTAAGTTACCTGTTGGTGTACAACAGCCGTGGAGTGGGCAGAAGTGAGGCGGTAAACCCCAGGAAAGCGCTTTCACCTTAGAGTCCCCCCACTGCCCATTGGTACCCAGCAAATGACAGCAGAATGCCCGGACTTGGCGTGGCCCCCCACTCTCCCTTCTGCAGGGCTCCCTTTCTCCGGCCTTCCCTCCACACCCCACAACCTAAGAAGTCCTACAATCCTCCAGCTGCTGCTGCTGCAGGGGGCGGGCGAGCCCAGACCTTGCCCCCTCAGCCCCCTCCACCCCGATGCTCTCCACTCACATCAGGCGGTGAACTCGGGGGTGGGGGCGCAGCTCCACTTCCCCAAAGCACAGGTTAGATGCCGGGGAAGCAGGCAACTTTTCAGCTTCTACTTCCTTCCCCCAGATGCCGCTCTCCGGGAGCGCCCCGGGCACACACCTGAGCAGCGGGAGGAGCCCTCGCCTCCTCGGTAGGATCCCGCCGGCCCCGCAGCCAGAGCTCCCCCCAGCGCGAGCGCTCCCGGGATCTCCTCCCGGCCCCTGACCCCGACCTCACCTGACCGCGGGTCCGCCGGGCGATGGTTCAGGGGAGCCCGTGGGCCAGTGGGCCGGAGAGGGACTCGGCGGAAAACACTGTCATCGTCCGTCACGCCACCAGCGCCCCCCGGGGTGGCCGCACCTCAGCCCCCGCCGCCGCCGCCGCCGCGCCTCCCGATCCCGCCCCAGCTCCTCCGCGGCGGCCGCAGCCGTCCGCACTGCACGCCGGGAACTCGCTGGTCCCTCCCCGAAGACTTCTAGTCCCAGAATGCACAGCCGCACGTGCCGAAGTGCACTCTGGGATGTAGAGTCCTCCGTCTGACCTACCCCCCCCCTCCCCATCCAGAAGAAGGCCTCGGGCGGGGACGTGCAGCCGTAAAGCCTCTGCTATGGTCGTGAAATGTAGTCGCCCGCCGTATCCGGGGCCTGGTTCCGGCCTTGGCTGGGCGGGGAGTGGTGTCGCCTAGCAGCGGCCGCCGCTTGGGCTGGGGCAGGAGGAAGAGTTGGCGGGAGCGGGAGGGCGCGAGGACGGATCTCGGAAAGAGACGCCCCGGCGGCGCCGTAGCCGCGGTGGTGGGCTCTGTAGATGAGCGAGGGCCGCAGGCGGCGAGGCTTGGTGTAGGTGCGTGGATTCCCGCCCGGTGAGCCCGCGGCAGCTTAGCGTCTTTCACAGGCTCCTAATCCCGAGGGACAGTGTGCAGTCCTGCCTGCCCGATCCTTCTGCTCGCCTGTCCGCAGCCCCCAGCCTTTTCGATTCAGCTTGCTCCCTCGCACGCTTCGTCCAGTTAAGTCTTTATATGTACACTTAAAAAAAAAAGGAAAAATCCTCTCGTCCCTTCTCAGAATCCGAGGACGTTTTCAAACTTCCAAACATCCTGGGAGTGGGCATCACAATTGATGGTAGGGGGACTCGCGATCTTAAGGACTTCGTTTTAGCAAACAAAGTAATAATTTAGCGTGTCCGTTATCGGATCATCTGTGCCGGCTGGATGAATTCTCATCGAGGCTGTTTGCCCAGGCATCTGTTTTGCGGTTCAGGAGCCATAGCTCTTCGCCAATACCCAGAAAGTTAGAGTGATAATGTAAACACTGCAGTGCCATTTTCCTTGAAAATGCTAAAAACCCGTCTGTCTCGTTGTAGGAGCTGAAAAACAGTGAAAAGAGTTCAAGATGCCACCTAGCATAAACTGGAAAGAGTTAATCAGAGTTGATCCAGATGACCTACCACGCCAAGAAGAGCTGGCAGATAATTTATTGATTTCCTTATCCAAGGTGCTTTAACGAATAATTTGTACACAGACACCAATGTGATGACGTGAAATTGCTTCCTAATGCTATACAGGAAGAGGGCTTGTATTTCATGTACAGGCTATGAAATAACCCATGTTTTTGTTTCCTTAGGTGGAAGTAAATGAACTAAAAGATGAAGATCAGGAAAACGTGATACATCTATTCAGAATTACTCAGTCACTAATGAAGGTTTGTATGCAGGGGCTATTTAACAGTATAGGAAGTGTAAGACTTCATTTTTGTGTAAGCTGATCTTTATGGAAATATTTGGAATGCCTGTGTCACCCCTCAAAAATGAGTTAAGTGTCGATTTAAAGGCTTTGGGTTGTAGTACGCTTAGCAAATATGGTTCCTATTCTAAAAATTCTTAGAGAGTGTATAGGGAGAAAGAGTGCTTTTTGAAAAAAATAACAAATATAAGTAGAGGTTCAAGTAAAAATGCACATTAGATTCCTCTAGAAGCTAATGGTGAAATGGAAAGAAGATTTTAAATTCTTCATAAATGAATACTGAGAAAGTATATGTACTTACTCTTTACATTAGGGTAAGTGCATGTAGCAAATCTGTTGCAGGCTTTAGACAAACAGATACTGGGTTGGTAGTTTGGGATATTACTATCTGAGGGTTTGAGTCTGTATTTTTTGTTATTAGTAGTTTAGGATCAGATAAAGGTTTTTGAATCATAATTGACAGATATAGAAATGTGCTTAAGAAGGCAAAATTAGATGTGTTACAGAGTGTACAGACGAAGGGGATCAGAGCTGACAAGCTCCAGTTGTGACAAGGACTTAACAAATAAAATTATGTGCCAGAATAGTAACAATTGGAATAGGAAAAAGATAAGTAAAAACATTTAAAATAGTGGGTATAAAACTTAAAGGAAAAATCAGAGATGATTCAAAGTCTTGCTAGTCCAGAATGTATAGGCTAAGTCTTTATTCAGCAAATATTTACTGGGTGTCTCTAGTCCAGAATGTATAGGCTAAGTCTTTATTCAGCAAATATTTACTGGGTGTCTCTAGTCCAGAATGTATAGGCTAAGTCTTTATTCAGCAAATATTTACTGGGTGTCTCTAGTCCAGAATGTATAGGCTAAGTCTTTATTCAGCAAATATTTACTGGGTGTCTCTAGTCCAGAATGTATAGGCTAAGTCTTTATTCAGCAAATATTTACTGGGTGTCTCTAGTCCAGAATGTATAGGCTAAGTCTTTATTCAGCAAATATTTACTGGGTGTCTCTAGTCCAGAATGTATAGGCTAAGTCTTTATTCAGCAAATATTTACTGGGTGTCTCTAGTCCAGAATGTATAGGCTAAGTCTTTATTCAGCAAATATTTACTGGGTGTCTCTGTGTGCTAGCAGTTCTACATGCAAAAGACACATCTGCATTTTCACTGTGTATAGTACAGTGATCTAGCAAAAGAAACATCTGCATTTTCACTGTGTATAGTACAGTGATCTAGCAAAAGACACATCTGCATTTTCACTGTGTATAGTACAGTGATCTAGCAAAAGAAACATCTGCATTTTCACTGTGTATAGTACAGTGATCTAGCAAAAGAAACATCTGCATTTTCACTGTGTATAGTACAGTGATCTAGCAAAAGAAACATCTGCATTTTCACTGTGTATAGTACCGTGTAAATAAGACAGATTTCTCTCACTCATTTTCATATCCAGATGAAAGCCCAAGAAGTAGAACTGGCTTTGGAAGAAGTTGAAAAGGCTGGAGAAGAACAAGCAAAATTTGGTACATGTCTTGTAAAAAACGCTGTTGTGATTCTATTATTTATTAGTCGGTACAAAATGAATTTATCGTATTCGATGAAATGCATACTCAACCATATGGAAAGATGCTGCATCCTTGCACCCTTTCAGGGACTGACCTGACTGATGTGGCAAGAGGGCGAAGAAAAGACATCGCAAAGGCACACAGAAAAGTTGGGTTCGGGTGGACTAGCCTCTCTGATGGAGAATCCGCAGCACCCCAGATTGGGGTTATTATGTACACTTGAAGAGAGGCGGGGTTGTTGCATATAACCGAACAGGAAGTCAGGCGACACCTACAGATAAACTAGGAGGCGGGGTTTCTGTACACAGCTGAACAAGGAGGCAGATTGAGATAATCTCAGTAGGAGTAGACTGTAGGGAAGCCATGAGCATCAGGAAAAGAAAGGAATAGACTCTGTAGGGGAGCCATGACCATGGGGAAGACAGCTGTAGTGGACATTTTCTGCATACACTGTCAACATCCACACTCAGACATGGGAAGGCTCCGCCATCTGCCATAGTTCTGAGGCTTGGGAGTTCCTGACATGGCTTTTCCCAATGACTCAGGACTTCACTCACTCAGGTCAAGATATTTCTAGAATGCCTGTTCCCTGGATTTGATTGTTCTATTTTATTGACATTCACTTAAAATTTGATTACAGGAAATTTAACCAGTTGAAACATTTGTATTTTTTAATAGAAAATCAATTAAAGACAAAAGTAATGAAACTGGAAAATGAACTAGAGGTATGTCCTTCTATACTTCCTTGAGTGTGGTTGTTATTAATTGCATCATCTTATGTTGTTTTCAAATGTTTCTGTTATGGGCTTGAAAAAGAATTTACTCATTGCACAGCATGTGTTTTTTTGTGATTTAATTTCTAAGAATTAAGCATGGAGTAAAATAAAAACAGTTATGATCTGAATGCAGCTGTCAGTCCAGAGAAGTATATAGAAAGCTTGGTAGTGATTGAGGTGAAGGGCGTGGGAACTACATGCATTGAGATTCTGGAATGGTAAGAATGGATGTGCTACAGGGGGATCAGCCTTTGAAAGGAGGAGATAACGGAGGAGATGTGGACAGAACTTTTCTTGCCCATGACTTTAGTGCTTAGAAATAGAGAGACTGGAAATGAAATCCTCTGCAAGATTGAAGAATGAAGACAGTACACTCAGAATTTAAGAAGGTCAGATAAGCTTTGCATATGGTGGAGAGAGGACTGAAGACCAAGGGATATAGAGTCAGATTGGAGTCCTAGTCCTTATTATTTTGACTTAACTGTACTTGGATGAATTCATTCATACTTCCTGCTGTTTTTGAAGCTCCTGGAAAAATGTCAAGCACTTTTAGTAAATATTTTTTTTTATAAAAAATCATCTTTGAAGTTATGCCTGCTACCCAGCTCCCAAGTAAATCATACTTGGAGACTTATTCTTAGTGCCTGGCCTTAGCTTGGCTGTTCAGCTTTTTATTAGGACCATCAGGTGTTTTAGACAGGGAAAGAATCACAGCTTCACGGAGTTAAACAAATGCAGCGTAAACAAAAATCACACCTGACAATAATATTCTACCACAGTGATCCTGTCTTGATCTCCTTATGAAGTACTAACCAGTCATAGTGCTTTACATTTGTATTGGTGAAAACTAAAAATACAATTCTTTAGTTGTACTTGGCACAATCCAGCTGTACACATGACTGAACTAGACAGTGATGGACACTACAGAGAGTATTCCTGCCATGCTACAAAGTACCGCCTGTTCTAAGTAGTTTGTGGTACCAGGGAAAGGGCAAATCAGGAGCAGCAAGGTGGTTTCTAAGACTCAGGTGCAGTCTTCATCCTTCACAGCCCTTTGTCTCTAAGTCTTTGCAATTTAGTCTGTACCTGTGCCTTCGTGACTGTCAGAGCCTGCAGCCAATCTTTAATGCTTCTTTCGGTGGCTCAGGAAAGCGCGTGGTTTTTTGACTTATAATTAAAAGCCTAAATAAATTCAGGTTTGTTTGCTTTTTATTATTTTTTTATTATATAAAACTTTTAAATTGAAATATATTTTGATCTTACTCTTCCCCTCCCCCAAGGCCTTCCAGATCATTTCTGCCTTGTAAAAGGTTTCTCGCCGGGTGGTGGTGGCGCACGCCTTTAATCCCAGCACTCGGGAGGCAGAGGCAGGCGGATCTCTGTGAGTCCGAGGTCGGGCTGGACCGATAGCCTCCGAAACAATACAGAGAAACCCTGTCTCGTAAAAACCAAATAAATAAATAAATAAATAAATAAATAAATAAATAAATAAGGTTTCTCTCCCACCTTCCAGTTCCTGAATAAACTCTCAGAGGCTTAATATAGTTATAATTGTTTGACCAATGACTCAGGCATATTACTGACTAGCTCTCACAATTAAATTAACCTATTTTTACTAATCTGTATCACCACATGGCCATGGGTTACTGGTAATGTTTTGGCATCGAACTTCCGTGGCTACATGGCTTTAAGAAGACTCTGCCTTCTTTCTCTCCCTGTCTGTTTTGATTTCCTGCCTGGCTCTGTTCTGCCTGGACATTGGCCAAAACGGCTTTACTCATTAACCAATAAAAGCATCCAGAAGGAACTCCCACATCACCACCTCGCTACCCACCCAACTTTAAGTTGTTCTAAATGGTGTTTGCACGTTTTTCAGTTTAAATATCTGGTGTTGAAGCATAATGAAAGTTTAAAGTCGACTTCTTTTTGGTGATTCGTTTGAACGTTCAGTTAAAAAGGAATTGCTTATATTTGGGAGAATTAATCCTTGGTTTATGACTTTTAGATGGCGCAGCAGTCTGCAGGTGGACGTGATACTCGGTTTTTACGTGATGAGATTCGCCAACTTGAAAAGCAATTGGAACAAAAAGATAGAGAATTAGAGGATATGGAAAAAGAGTTGGATAAAGAAAAGAAAGTTAATGAACAAGTAAGACACATTTATCTCAATGAATCGTAATTGCTTAAGATAATCCTACATGACTAATCTTACTTTTTATAATTACCTTTGATATCAGTTCTTGGTTTTATGTTATAGTTGAGGAATAATGTGCACCTAGCTAATTTTTGTAGCAGTGTTCATTGTGCCATCACATTTTAAAGATATAATGGAATTATCTACCTGGAAAGTAATTCTTTAATTTTGTGACATGCTAAGGATATTAGAATAATAATATAAAGTTAACTTTGGTCTTGTGTGTAGCAATGTATTTCATACTCATAAATAAGCAAGTGGTTTTTCTTCCTGTCAATTTATTTGGGGAGTTTTATATGAATGAATGAATGAATTTAGATGTTGTAAAATTGGAAACCATGAATGAATGGCCCCTATATTTCTTCAGCTGCTAGGGTATATTCCTTTTGCACCTTTAACCTATGGTATTACAGCACAACCAAAACTTTGTTGTGTAATATGAACTTTCTGGTTCTAAGATACTCACAACTTATAATAAGAATAACATAGGGAGACTATCATAATTTATAGGGGCATCAGGATGTAAGACTTTGTTGAGATATGCTGTGAAGGGCTATTGAAGACAGTCTGGTTGGTCAGCATGTAATACATAAAGTCTGGAAGTAGAGGCGAGTATGCAACAGAAATTAAAATGTATGTAGTGTCAGAGGAAGGAACACTCTCTATAGAAGACACACCATTTACTAAGACCAGAAGTAAGAAATATTCAAGAACTACAATTACTCATTTGACTGCAGTGTAGAATAAGATGGAGTCTTCATCATTTGTCAGGTACTTTGCATACGTTGATTCATCACTCCTTATTTGATACTTACCATATGGGAGATAGGAATCATTTCTGATACATTGCAAGTGAAGAAATGAAGGGTTATAGAGAGAATAAATAAGTGCTTGTGGTTGTGACTATTGAATGATAAGTGAGGATTTGAATACCACAGTCTCACTCAAGAATGTGCAGATAACCACCCTCCCATCCCACATTCCCAGCTCTAATACTTGTGAACTTCTGGGAAAGGCCAGGTCCTAAGGAGCTCTTCTAAAAAGTTAGAAGAGAATGTTTGAAACAGGATAGGTCAGACCAATGCCTGTAAAGCTTATTCTGTTTTGTGGAGAGTGGATTGAAGAGGGTATTATATTAATTACGACAGGGTCTAATGATGACCTAATTAAGGGAATAACTGATGGGATTAAGAGACAAAGGGTATTGAGAAGAAATATTTGAATCTCATATTCACAGTAGACACTGAACAGATAATGAGAATGTATTGGTTTTTAGTATAGATATAAAAAGTAAGAGGTACCTCTGACAAATGTTTAATAAAATAATGAAGCAGGTACTCTGAAAGAAAGCCATCATGAGTGTGGAGTTTGAGAAGGCAAAGGAAAACAATAGAGTAACATAGAATGCTTGAGTATTAAATTCTTAACTTTCTAATTCATATTTTGATTAGACAACTAGTACTAGATAGTATTAATAGTCGTCATTTTAATCAGCATCAATTTTCCAAAATTTGCATTGTGTCTTGCTTGTTACTGTGAGCTTTCTTTAAATATTTTACTTCAGAAAAAATATTTTCATAAATGTTGTTAGAAAAAAGTAAATATTCATATTCTCATACATATTCATCAGTTCAGATTTCTGTCATATCTTTGTATACATCTTCATCTCTCATGCACACATTTTTCTTTGTTGAGGCATTTGAAACTTAATTTTAGACATAATAATTCTTTACACTTAAATAGATCTCCAAAGTAAGTATTCTCTTATACAACCTAAATAGAGTTATGATGCTCAGGACATGTAATATTGATTCAGTTGTCTTAGCTAATCTGTAATTAGCTCCCTCTGCTAACCCAATGTCATCTTTCATTTTCTCCCTGCTGCCCCCTGGTGTCTAAAGGTCCATCATAGGCTTTCTTATAGAACCTTCCAAGTACAATTGTGATTGGATAATACCTGAGGTTGTCCTCTGGCCTCTACATACATATGTATGCATATTGGTTATATATATATCTTTTTTCTGTCCAGAATAAGAAAGAAACTTCTACAAATAAACTGTCTTAGGTGAAGAAAACATTAAACATTTTTTGCTGTTCTGTTCATTGAGTATGATGTTAAGGATTTTATGTACATCATATTTCTCATGTCAACAAAGGGGATGAAATGGATTAAAGAGATAGTAAATGACATTCATATTTAAATAGGAATTGATAATAAAGGATGTAAACCCAGGCCAACCTGACTTCAGATTGCTTCAATTAACAATTCTTCTGTACTGTCATTTGCTAGGTATTTCAGAGTTTATAAAGAGCAAAGAGTTTCTTCCTTGGCATAAAAAAGGAAAAATGATCTTAAACATGTAAAATATTGGGCAGTATAACTTTCAGATGTTTATCTTTTTTAGCCTTTAGTTTTCTTTTGGTACATATAGTTTTTATTGTTGTTATTATTATTATTATTATTAGTAGTAGTAGTAGTATTAATCTTTAAAATTGAGCCGTTCTTTGTACCTTTTTAAATCCTTAGTTTAAAATCTGTCTTATATGTGTCCCAGTGTGATATGAAGTCTGTAGTAGCCTTTAATAGTTAAATGTTCTCTACTTTATTGGAAAGGATTTAGAATTTAAATCAACAAGCTGATATGGGATGCAGATTGAATTACTTTAGAGTTTTATCTTAATTTTTCTTTTTTACCCCTTTAGTTGGCTCTTCGAAATGAGGAAGCAGAAAATGAAAACAGCAAACTAAGAAGAGAGGTTAGTAGAAAATTTCAATCTTATTTGGTGGGTGAACAAAGACTCACCTGTTTAAAATGTTCACTTAAAATTTACCAGGCGTTGGTGGCGCACGTCTTTAATCCCAGCACTCGGGAGGCAGAGGCAGGCGGATCTCTGTGAGTCTGAGACCAGCCTGGTCTACAAGAGCTAGTTGCAGGACAACCTCCAAACCCACATAGAAACCCTGTCTTGAAAAACCAAAAAAAAAGAAAAAAAATTGTATTTTAATCTGAATGTAATCCGTGTAACCGATAATAATCATATTAGCTGATTTTAGGATGACTTTGTCTCAGGGAATTACAAGGTCAACCAAAATATGAGGCCATTATGTATTTATCCCTTTCTTGGATCTGTGGGGCCCGTCTTCTTTTCTGTTACATAGGATGCTTTCTAATCAACTAGTTGAGCATTTGACTTGATTTCTTTTCTTATGACTCTTTGTCTAGCACTCATAATTTTGTTTCTCATGAAATCTTACAAGTTGTATTATTTTTGTATATGTGCTAAGTAATAATTTTCTGTCTTACAATAGGTATTTTAATTAAAATATGATCACATTTTCCCCATCTCTCTTCTTCCAACCGCCATCTACCATGTTCTCTTCTTTTAATTGTTTTATCTAAAAATTTTTTAACCCAGTCCAAATGTTCTTTCTTTTGGCTCATACTTAGTATTTTAATTTCTTTGACTATTTTAAATAATATATTCTGTTGTCCTAAAAAGTTCTTTATTCCTGTTTTCTTTTTAATTATATGTTGCCTTTCTCATTTCTGATTATCCTTTTCCTGTCCTCCACTGAAGAACAAACGTCTAAAGAAAAAGGTGAGGCTGTAGGGTAGTGACACCTTGAGAATTTAGAGATATGCTCTGGGAGCATTAGTTAAAAGAGATTTTCGTCATTGTAAGTAGTATTGTCCTGTTGTTTACTTTTGGCTCTGGATACTATTTTAATGGACAACTGCTGTGTTTGCTCTAACATCAGAATGAACAGCTTCGTCAGGACATTATTGACTACCAGAAGCAGATAGATTCACAAAAAGAATCACTTCTATCAAGGCGAGGAGAAGACAGCGACTACCGATCACAGTTATCTAAAAAGAACTACGAACTTGTTCAATATCTGGATGAAATTCAGGTAAAATGAGTAAGTCAGTTCAGAGCAATGGTTTTGTAAACTTGAGTATCAGGGTGATGTAAATCTAATATCCACCCCTCTTGGAGACTTTTGATCAAGTGTTTATTGCTATATATTTGAAAAGCTTTAGTTTGTGTGTGCACGGGGCTGTCTGTACATTTGTGTGTGTGAGCGGGTGCCTGCACGTTGTGGAGCTCAGGGGATTTGTTTTCAGCTTCTGCCCCGTTTGAGGTAGCATCTCTTTGTTCACTACTCTGCGTTCCAGGCTGTCTAGGTCAGCAAATTCAGGGATTCAGTTGTTTTCTCTCTCCCCTGTCATAGTAGGAACTCTGGGAATAAAAATAAATACCATGGTATCTGATCTTGTGTGCATCTAGTGACTCACACTGAGTTTCACATGTTTACACTGGAAGTATTTTACCCACTGGCACATCTCTGGCTATCTTACGTACTTTCAAAGCACGAAGTCAATTGTGTTTTAGAATTTGCAGTAATTTATTTACTCCTTACATTTGTCTGTATTGGGCACAAAAACAATTGTGATCCTATATACAGCTTTCTTAACATTTAATCTGACTTAATTGTCCAGTGCCACATTAATCCTAATGGCCTATGAAGAATCATTTGTTTTTCTCTAGAGGGCCCTATGGCTCTACTTAATTTTAACTTAATATCAATTTCGTTTTCCTATAAAACTATTTTAAAGTGATACTATACTTAACATTTTTAGACCTTAACGGAAGCTAATGAGAAAATTGAAGTTCAGAACCAAGAAATGAGAAAAAATCTAGAAGAGTCTGTACAGGAAATGGAGAAGATGACTGATGAGTATAACAGAATGAAGGCTGTTGTGCACCAGACAGATACTGTTATGGACCAGATAAAAAAAGAGAACGAGCATTATCGACTTCAAGTAAGAGCTCCATTGAAACCCAGCCTTAATCGCATAAGCTTCATACAGAGTCATTGCTGATGATTTGAAAGACTAGTTTTCTAATCTGGATTTTGTTGCTTTTTTTAAATATAGTAACATGTTGTCATCCTGATAATACTTGTGCACGAGGGCTCTGCAGTCCTCTCATATGTCCTGTAATTCTTGATGTTTAAGGAATGTAGACAATTCCTGAGTGAGTGTACACAGCAGTGCTATAAATAATTGTGGGGAATAAGGATTTTCTGTTAAAGACTTAAAAATCCAGTGGCTATAACATTTAATTTTATGTCTGAGAACTCGTGAAAATACATTAAAGATCAATACAGTGTTTATTATTTATGTGGAATAAACTTATTTTAAAAGTTAAATAATGCTTAAAGATATGATTCTCTAGTAATTAAATAAGTATTCAACAATATGTTAACTATAGCTTATCTGAAATGCTGACATGATTGTGAATTTATGTACATGAGCTATCTTGGGCATAAGGTTAAGGTTTAAACACTAAATTCATGTATGCTTCATATGTCTCTGACATGTATACAGTATTCATATACCTGTCTTTTGACTAAAACAACACATGAAATATGACATGTAATTTTCCACTTATGGTACCTTAAAGAATATCCAATTTGGGAGCGTATCAGAGGTTAATATTTTATTCAGTATTCTACAGCCATTAAATGTCACCTTTAACTCTAGAACTATGCCAACAATAAACAGCATATGAAATATAAGACACCTGCTAGCATGCACTTGTGCATTATAAATATGAGTATATAATAACATTAAATTGCACTAATTTGTACCATTTCTTAACTGACTGCTACTCCTAGGTACGAGAGCTTACAGAGCTTCTGAAAGCAAAAGACGAAGAGGATGATCCAGTCATGATGGCTGTCAACGCAAAAGTAGAGGAATGGAAGGTGCTTCTCAGCTGATGCAACTTTTTCTCATTTTGTATTTTGATTTAACTTGAATTTTGATTTTTAAGGACTCACACTAGATAATAACATTTATGTTGCTTTTTAAAAAGTTTATTATATATTCTGACTAGAAAAGCTCTAAACTTCTATATGAAGTGCTTGAACTCATTTATTTAACAGATGCATGCTTTAAAGACAAGATTAATCAGGAAGGGGATTAGGAAAAGGGTTTGTCAGAATCTTTGAGAAAGCCTTTTCAGAGTACCCCCTTGTGTACTTGGCTTCTACTCTCCAGTCACACCTAACTCTTGTCTCCCTACCAAGAAGCTAGGCTTATGATGGTTGCTATTTGTGAATGATCTGAGATGATTCCATTTGTAATTCTGATTGTAAAAGCTGTCACACTTCTATTGTCTGTGTTTCTGGCAATACTCACACAAACAGTATTGACAACTAGGAATTATTTGTTATCTGGGTAGCTCAGATAATCTATATTTTAAACAAATGCAGTTGCAACGCGGATGAAGTTGAATGAATCACCGAGTGCTCAGTTAATTAGTGAAGCTCTAGTAAGTCAATGTCTTAGCTGTTCAGTTCTGTTGTAACCACTCAGCTACCCTTTCAAAACAGCGGTGGCTGGACAACCCATGAATGAATAAGCATGGCTGCTTTCCAGGTCCTTACAGAAACTAGTGACAGGCCAGTGTTTTTCAAGTATAGAATGTAATCTTCCAACCTTTGGAAAGAAACAGTTGTTTGAATCACATTTAATCATTTAATTTTGGTGGGTGTATATAATGAATTAGTCCCCTAGTGTGACATTTAGGGACATTCAGTCTTTCTTTTGAAAGCAATGTTTTAATGAGAAAAGAGAGAGAGAGAGAGAGAGAGAGAGAGAGAGAGAGAGAGAGAGAGAGAGAGAGAGAGAGGAGAGAGAGATTGGTAAAATCAATTGCTGCAAGTGTGATGTGATTTAAATTGCAACCATATCTCTATCTCTGGCTCTTAAAACTTTTGATGTGAAGTACTTTTTTTTTATATTGTATAATTAACTTTATCATATTTTAGTGCTTTGTGACCATTCATTATAAATAGATAATCTTAATATTGCTTGGCCAGAGGGCATATACCTAATCCTATTACTCAGAAAGTTGAGGGTTCTGAATTGAAGACCAGACTGGACTCCTGAATATTGAAACATTATTGCCACATAAATTGATAAATGGATGAATATTTATATTGGCTAATATGCTTTGCAGAAGGAAAAAACTTTTCTCCTTATTCCTAGTATCTTCTGGTTTTATACTTTATTTTAAAATTGAAACATGTATATATTTTTAAAGTGTAATGAATGCAGCCAAATGACTTCTATTAAGGTAATATTTCTTAAATAGTTCATATTTCTCCTACTGAAACGTTGTTCTCTTTTTATTACATAAAAACTTGTGTTTTTATGTAATTGGAGTATTTTGTACTCCCTTTTATTCATTTGATTGAGCCATTTTCTAGCCTCATATATTTTTTCTGCATACACTTTTAATTGTTGCATGTCTAAATATCTGAAAACCTGTTTTTATTTTGGTTTTGATTTTTAGACTCATATGAACAATTTTTTTTTTATTTTTGTGAACATCTTTATGATTTTTTGCTCCCCATAGCTAAGAACACAGAGTATTCTTCTATTCATTCAAGGTATTTTGTACTTTTCTGTGACATTTTAATGTTTACTTAATAGGGATCTTATATGGAACATTTTATGGTTAAAATAAACCATATAAATGTCTTTGAGAAATGAGGTCTGAGACCCAGAGAGTTTTCATTAAGGTTGAATTATGAATTTCAAACTGTATATATAATAGTTGTAGTTGTTAACTTTTTTTTTTTTGATGAATTTTATTTCCTGGGTTGGGAGATGACAAAATCAATACACTACCTGCTGAGGTGGCGAGGCTGGAAGTTTGGATCCCTGGTCCCTTGTGAAAACATGCTGGGGAGGCAGCAGATTCATTGGCCAGTGTGTTTAGTTATCCTGCAAGATCTAAGCTCAGTGAAAGACCCTATCTCAAGACAGTGGTGCTCCATGTCAGCCCCTGACCACGCATACACAGACAGTTAAGCAAACACATCATACACCACACACTGAAAAATTACTTAAAAGAATTTTATTTTTTGTATTATTTTAAATGTGTTTACTATTTTCTATAACTGAAGAATGGTTTGTTAATTTTCCTTTTTAAATAACATATCTTGTTTTGTTTATAGTTAATTTTGTCTTCTAAAGATGATGAAATCATTGAATATCAGCAAATGTTACATAGTCTGAGAGAGAAACTTAAAAATGTCCAACTTGATGCTGATAAAAGTAACATTATGGCTCTGAAACAGGTAAAAACTTCTCAAAATTTACAGTATCAACAAATTATGTTAATGTCTGACCTGTCCTGTCTGTTTATCATTGTGCCTAATTAGTGGCTTCCATTACTGCGTGTGTAACAAACTGTGGATTTCTCATACAGTCAAAAATGGGGGGGGGGTGATGAAATTAGAATTAAGTTTAGAGTTAGAGTTATACTCCAGAATAGAATTATTTTGCTTTTTTATATTGCTATTATTGTCAGTAAAGAATTATAAGAATCTACTAAAAACCTGTAGAATTTAAAATACCTTACTACATTCTTATTAATGTTTGTTACCATCTATTTCATGCCAGTACTGAGTAAACTAAGAAAGAAAGAAAGAAAGAAAGAAAGAAAGAAAGAAAGAAAAGAAGGAAGAAAGAAAAAGCCTTGCATTTCTCTTATGTGTGTTCTTTCCACTTAAAGTACTAAAGACAGAATAGAAATTAAGATGTGTTTGATGACTGAGAATAATGATGAAGATGTTGTTTCTAAGTGGAGTGTGAAAGGCATAAAAGCTAAATTGGATAAAAATCACGGAGAACACAAGCATATAAAGTGGTAAAGATAAGATCCAATGGATGATGAGGAAAAATATGTAAGAAGTTGTAAAAGTCACCAATATTAGGGACTTCTTGAATACATTTTTCCATCCTAATAGCGTGATAACAGTGATCTATACGTTGGGTTTGAGGAATACATAAGAAACACACTTTTCTGGATCTGGTGCTACCTACCAAAGTGGCACCGTAGGTAAAGACACTTGGTGTATTGCCTGACAACCTCAGTTTACTTTCTGGAGCAGATACTATGAAAGAAAAGAGAACTGACTCTTACAAGTTCTCACTTAACCTCCATACTCCTGCCTACACCTATACATACACAAAATAAGTAAATGTAATTTAAAAAATTGTTTAAATGAAACATAGTTTGGTCACAAGAAAATATATTCTCTCATTTTTTGAAAAAAAATGTGTGTTCATAATAATGAAATTTTATTTGATAATTCAAAATATTTCATAGGGTATCCAGGAACGAGACAGTCAGATTAAGATGCTTACTGAACAAGTGGAACAATACACGAAAGAAATGGAAAAAAATACTTTTATTATTAAAGATTTGAAAAATGAGCTCAATAAAGACAAAGGTAATTTAATATTTTATAAGTATATGACTTTCATATGTCATTGTGTTTCTAAATATTATTTTTATCAAAATAAAATGTTATGCCACTAACGGATTTTTAAAATTATGTTTTTAATGTTAATTATAGCATATATTCCTAGTGTTTAAACTTGTAATTCATACTTTTCTGTCATCTTTCTCATGATGAAAATTATTTAGCCATTAAAATTAGATTGCACAAAGAGTTAAAATGGTAATGTCAGTTGTCTTTATTTTATTTTATATCTTTTATAATTAACAAAGATGCCTTGGTGGATGTGTTACCTGTAGTCAATTATTTTCAGAAGTAATTTTGTGTGTTGACAGTTGAAATAATTCTACAAAAATCTCTCATCTGATTCTTTGACTGTTATACTATTTTGCCTATCACATCAAATCCTATGAATTTAGACCCTTGAAAACACCAGTTCTTCTATAAAACTACATCCTGTAAGTATACTGAGGTGTCGTAGTTCAAATGGATTCACAATACATTCATGGACATACTTTTTATTGCTGAAGATAAGAAATATGTATGATGTACAGATTATAATCCAGACAGTGAAGCGACAGTCTCACTGGACATGATAGAATGAAGTCTTAAAAGCAGTGAAGGAGTAAGCAGCGTGTGTGATTGAAAATGGTGGGAGTGTGTTCAAAACCGCTGTTTAGGAGTCAACAGTTTGCAAATGTTGGTAGCTGGAAGAGAGTCAACAGTAAAAAATAAAAAATAGCAGAAAAAAAGATCAAAAAGGACACTAAAGGCCCTGTTATTAAGTCTTTAGTTTATTGTAAAGACTGATTTTTCATTGTAGGTAAAAGAGATGGGAATGATTTAACCTCACTTAGACTGTGTCCGCAGTAGACTGTAGCAATTGTAAGGCAGGACACAGGGAGAGGTGTTACCAGGGTATGAATAACCTCATAGACTGGGCATTAGCTAGCAGTGGTATTAATGGTAGTCATTTGTAGCTGTGTTTTGAAGGTGACAGAAGTTGAATCAGTTAGTTGGAGGATTTGAGACACTCATTAGGACTTTTGATACGTATCTTGGAAAGGATTATGAGAAGCAGGCTTAGAGATGATGAAGTACTGATTGAACATGTTAAATCTGAGATGTTTATTAGACATCAGTTGAAGGTCTTAAGGAGATACTTGTATATGGCATCTAAAGTTCTTAAGCACAATTTAGGCTAAAGATAAAAGTTTGGTGCCCATCTCCATAAAGACTCAGTCTGAAGTTATGAGACTAGTCTAGGTCATTAGGGCAATGAGTCTCTCGGAATACTTCTAATTTGGAGACTAATGAAATAAAATAATCAAAAATACTAAAAAGCAATATGCAGAGAGATGGAACACCTTAAGATCCCTTCAAGATAAGCACTGAAAGTGATCATCAAGCTTAGTAGTGGCCATGTTTACATCCAAGAAAAACAGAAGAAGAAAGAAAAAATGTAGGAAATCTTTTGAGATTTTCTTTTGTAAAGGGGTAAAAAAGGTAGTAGCTTGAGGAGAAAGGAAAGTTAAAAACATTTTTAAGTTTAGAAGAAATACCTAATTTTATAGATTAATGGAAAGACTCCATTGGTGGAGCAGAGGAGAAAGAGGATTTCTGGAGCTTGAGGTTGGCCATTTGTCCAGCTGACAAACCTATGCTGTGGTTAACGGCGGTCAAAAGAATTTTGATTATTATTACCATTGAACATCCTTTGTCATAGCAATACGATTTTTACAACGTTTCTTGTAATCCACATCCTTCTACCTAGAGTAATTGTACTCAATTCTACTTCTCAGTTGGTTTTATTAATAAAATCCAAACAGTACTTCAATCCTTGGCTGTACAAATATAAATTCTAACATGCAAGAAGCTTCTGTGCTATCCACTTCTGCCCCTGTTTGGGAGCACCTGATTACAGGAAGGAGTACTCAATTGAGTTCATTCATGAGTTCTGTTTTCACATGGTAGGTACTTTGAACTTTCATCACCAGACTCACTATATGAAAATTCAGTCCAAAGTACAAATTTTAGAAGAGAAAACAAAAGAGGCTGAGAGAACAGCTGAACTGGCCGAGGCTGATGCCAGGGAGAAGGATAAAGAATTGGTTGAGGCTCTGAAGAGATTAAAAGATTATGAATCTGTAAGTACTTTATCTTCTCAGCCCAAGAGCTTGCAGTTATTCTCGACACCAAGACTGTTCTGTGGCTTTTATTGTGTTCCATGTAAAAAGCATGTTATACCTCCATTGGTTTTAAACTTCAAGCGTGGGCATTTGTTTTATGTCAAGAGAATTGTTTCCAAACATTTTATTTTTGTTATTTTTTCCTTTTATGTTTGAGATTATAATTATATCATTACACCTTTCTCATTCTTCCCTCCAAACCCTCACCACATATCCCTCTTTACTCTCATGGGTTCTTTTTTCATTAATTGTTACACACACTCACTCACACACACACACACACACACACACACACACACACACACACGCACGCACGCACGCACACACATATTTCGCTGGAGAAGACAATTTTTCCTGCTCAGCATTTTGTTAGCTGCCTGTAGTTCTTTGTGTCGCTTGAGGTCTGATGAACTTTCCTCGTCTACTTTGACATATCTCGTTTGTTTAGTCAGTCATGCTGATGACATTTACTAGGATACACTATCTCATAGCAATCTCCCTGATTATCCCACTCTTAAAATCTCACTCTTAAAATTATGGTTATCTCACTCTCAATATTATGCCCCCTCTTCTGCAATGATCCCTGAGCCTGACTGGCCTCCACAACTCTGCATTTTGGTTGGCTGTGGTTCTTGGTAATGGTCTCCTTCTTCTGCAAAGAGATTCTTGTTTAGTAAAGTGGTGGTTATGGGTTCTTCTACAGTAACCATGCCTCTACTAGCACTGAGTAGTTTCCCTTAGGGTTACTGTGTCACGCTGGTTGCTGTGGTTCATAAGCAGCAGAGCTGGGCAGGTCTGTTAGTTGCTTCCCACCTTTGCAAGCTTGCACGGTGCCTTTTGGTATCATGAAAGCTAGACTTTAGGGAAGAGGCTTAAAAATGAGTTCCAGCTAGGGGTCTCTAGGTCCTGTTCCTGAAATTTATGGTATCTTGAGTAACTGGAACTCAACTTCTACCTCTGGGGGACAACCAAGGGCAATAGCAACAGGCTGTACGTTTTGAAAGTCTCTTGGACAACCTTGACCAACAACTCGAAAGAAGGCATGTCATGTCTATTAATGGGGTTTTGGTTAAGTGATCTTCGGCTCTTCGAGGGAGCGTTGTCAGCACAGATGACAAAAGCGTATTTAAACCATATATGTATATTTATTTATATACAGAATTGTATTTGTTACAGAGTTTTTTGTTTCTTTTTGTTTTTAGATAAACAGTTGATAGTGTGATTTCTTGTGGCTTTTTCAGATGTTCTTAATTGGTATTTTGCCCTCCCTCATCATCCTTCAGTATTTACCTTCCTTCCAAACCTTTTGATGGAAGTGTTCTGTTCATATAAACAGCTCTGGTGACATAGCAGGATTAGATCTCTTGTTACCTGTGTCCCTTGTGCCATCATGGAGGTATGGCATTGACTAGCTAAATGAACTTGTATTTAGGATATCTTTGGTGGCTCCTGTATCAACTGAATCTACTTGAACTATTCATATTTTTAAATTTGATTTGTCATACAATTAATCATATACTCTAATTGGTATGCCTGATTTTATCTTCATGTTTTTATCTGTACCTTTATATGTATGTCTATGTACTCAGGGTTTCATATGTAATATTGTGAGGCAAATTGCTTAAGTGTGAAATGTTCATATTCTGGCCTCATTACCAGATTCGGTTTACAGAGACATGGTTAAAAAAAAACAATTAATATGTACTATTTTTACTTTTTATGTATCAGTTATATGTGCCATATAAAATACAGGTGTAGGTAAGTTTACCTATCCACTTAATATAATATGTAAATTCATACATTTGATTTATTTGTTCAAATAAATTATTTTATACTTAAGTTAGATGGGGTATTTTTTTAGGGTATATATGGTTTAGAAGATGCTGTTATTGAAATAAAGAATTGTAAAGCCCAAATTAAAATAAGAGATGGAGAGATTGAAGTATTGACCAAGGAAATCAATAAACTTGAGATGAAGATCAATGATGTTCTTGATGAAAATGAAGCCCTTAGAGAACAGGCCGGTAAGCTAATTTTTAAGACTCTTCTCTTTCCTACACCCTACTTTTCAAGTCTTCTCTTTCCTACACCCTACTTTTCAAGTCTTCTTTGTGTACTTTGGCTTTCTTTACACTTTTGTAGGGGATGGCGCCGTTCACCAAATCAAAGTCCTCACATTCCACACACACACACACACACACACACACACACACACACACACACGTTCTTCCTTCTTCTCCCGGGCTTTGCCTCTAACCTTTACTTTAGGTTTGTTTATTTACTTCTCAGTAGTTGAAGGGCATGTTTACCCGAATAAGTGTTTCTGTAGGAACATTTAACAAAAGTGGAGGTACCCTGAATGAAGTGGGTTTGGAGACCTCACCGTGTTGGTAGGGTTGACAAGGAACATGGCTTTTGTAGGTCTGGTATGTCTTCGGTAATAACTGCTTATAGAAAGGCGAACGTGCATGTATTATACTGCATACAAGAAGTCAACTGTATTTCTGCAAATAAGAAACATCTGTATGAAATGTTAGCTTACAAACTGATTTTGTTTCAAATGAGGCCATTTAAAAGTACTTTGTAAATATTTAAGGACATGGAAATACAATTTAATTGCTTATTGTTTTACTTGAGTGTTTTAAAAGTTTCATTTAGTCTACCATGTAATTTTCAAATACAACTTGGGAATTTATATACTTTTTAAAATAAATGATGAATTAATAATGTTGCTGATTTATATTGTAAGTTATAACTAAAGTATACAATCTACATTGCTTCTTTAAAATTAATAAATATGATTTATGTATGATTTCATTATACATGCTGAATATCAATTAGTGCTTTCTTTGAGTTAAAGTGACGATCTATAAAATATTTGTGTAGAAGAAAAATTAATATTTTATATGGATTACTTACTTGTGACACATATCTAACTAAAATTTAGGGCTGCATTAGATATTCAAGTTAGATTTCTGATTAACTTGACCAGTCCGGTCACAGCTAGGAATCTAGAGATATATAACTAACTTCTGACCTATCTAGAGTGCTGTAACAAAAGACTTGTTTTCTGTCTTTAGGGGTTTAGCTTTTTTTTTTTTCCTCCTCAAAGACAAGGTTTCTGTGTGTAACCCTGACTGTCCTGGAACTTGCTCTGTAGAATAGTCTGGCCTTGAACTCAAAGATCTGCCTGCTTCTGCCACCTCAGTACTGGGATTAAAGGTATGTGCCTCCATTACCCAGCTAGAGGGTTAGCTTTTAATTATTAAAGTCTGGTTTACAATTTAAAAATTTTACACTGTCACTGGGCGTTGGTGACGCACATCTTTAATCCCAGCTCTTGGGAGACATAGATTGGCAGACCTCCATGAGTTCAAGGCTAGCCTTGTCTACAGAGTGAGTTCCAGGGCAGCCACGGCAGTTACACAGAGGAACCCTGTCTTGCAAAACTAACAAAATAAAAGGGTGGGGGTTGAGGGACACAGGACCAAGTTATTTATACTATTTTGATACCTGAATTTTACCTCAGAAAGGGAGGCAAATTAGAAGGCAGATTAGCAGAAAGGAATAAATCAATAATGCCATCATTAATATTAATAATAATTGCTACCTGCCAAGCACTGCTCTAAGCATCATATTTAGCCTAATCTTATTATACTCTGGGCAGATTAAAATAATAAATAAAGTCATCTCTGTATCTAAGTTACGAATTTAAAGTGGGAATTGAACCAAGTTTACCTCCAGACAAGGTTCCGTCATCAATGAATTGTAGCACCTTTGCAACATCCCTGTATGTGTTTACCAGCATTTTCACAATTAGTTAACTTTTAACTTTCTTTGTAATATAACTGTCTGGAGAACCCTTGTACAAGAAATCTCCATGCTTCAAGTGATATTGGCTGGTGAATAATCCTAGCTACTTGATGTTTTATGAAGAATATTTCATTCATTTGCAGGTTTTTAAGTTGTAATTATATTGCTTGCTATTTCAGGCCTTGAACCAAGGACAATGATTGATTTAACTGAATTTAGAAACAGTAAACGCTTAAAACAGCAGCAGTACAGAGCTGAAAACCAGATTCTTCTGAAAGAGGCAAGTGATGCTCAGTTGAGCTTTCTTGTCTGAACCAAGGAGAGCCACTAATAATTCATACTTTGCAGATCGAAAGTCTAGAGGAAGAACGACTTGATTTGAAAAAAAAAAAATTCGTCAAATGGCTCAAGAAAGAGGAAAAAGGAATGCAGCTTCAGGTATTCTCCTTCATCCCACGCCTGGAAAAGCAGCATCGTTTAGGAAGGACTTACTTGCATCTGGGGTGTTCTATATATTGCAGATGATTTTTTTTTTTATCATTTTTATTTTAATTTTAAATAGCTTGTTTTACATGTCAATCCCAGTTCCCTCTCCCTCCCCTCCTCCCGCACTCCCCTTCCCTCCCACCTTCCCACCCTATTGCCAAATCCTTCCACATAGGGGATATCTAGAGTCTGTCATTTTACTCTGGGTAGGGTCCAGGCACTCCCCTAAGAGTCCAGGCTGAGAGAGCATCCCTCTTTGTGCTATAGGCACACGAAGACTGTTTGTATACCAGGGATAGACACTGATCGACAGCTCAGGGCCCCATAGGTTGCCCAGGCCTTCTCGCTGACACTCACATTTGGGGGGTCCAGATCAGTCCCATGCTGGCCTCCCCACTGTCAGTCTGGGGTCCAAGAGCTCTCCCCTGTTCAGATCAGCTGTCTCTGCTGGTTTTGCCAGCCCATTCTTTGCCAATTTGCTCATCACTCCTCTCTCTCTGTCACTGGGTTCCTTGGGTTCAGTTCAGTGATTAATTGTGTGTTATTGCAGATGATTTTACTCTCTTGTGCTCTATTGCCCTGCATCTGGTCCAAGTAGTAGGAGAAAATAGTATCCTAGGTATAATTGGTATGATCCTACCCTGAAACAGTTAAATAAAATGACAACCAAGTTTGGGAACTGTACACTTGAAACATTCAGGGTGCAGTCTGTTGGGTTTTAGACAGCTCTACTTTGCTGTGACTAAGCTTAAAACAGTAATTTTTATATTACTGTATGTCACCCTTAGGATGGTACTTTGCTTTAAAAACTTTTTTTAAAAAATATTGTTTACTTAAAAGTTTTCATTAAACTTAATTTAACTTGCTTGTTTACTTTTGGGAAGAAAATAGTCTTTGTAACAGCCATTTCAGTTCATTTTTTAAGACCATATAAAGTGTTTCTTTGGACTAAAACTTTATCTTGCCTTGGGTTAAAGGAGGGTTTTTTTGTTGTTGTTGTTCATTTGTTTCTTATTTGTTAATTCTTTAATATTGTAGGATTAACCATTGAGGACTTGAACATAACTGAAAACTTTTCTCAGGAAGATAAAATGAGGGAAAAAAACCTAAATTTTATGAGTCTCAAAAGTATGAATGAAACACAATCAAAGGTAAACACTTTGACAAAAAGAGTAAAGGGAAATGCTAGCAGTACATTTTTTTTCCTCGCTTAGTCTCATTTAGCACTACTGCTCTTTTAGGTTATTCAATAGTAATTTTTGCTTGCTTAAATAACTTGGTGATCTCAAGATGCATTAATGAGACATTATGTACTTTGAATACAGATTAAGAGTCCAGCTAAAATAGAGCTGCTGCATAGGAGACCGTCATTCAGTATTCTGCAATCAGATCAGAATGAGACAGAGGAAAATATGACTGTACAATCATTATCGAGAATGGTGTCTGGAATTCATCATAGTGTAGAAAGTGGAATGGGTCCTATTGTCTCTTTAACTAGATGGTCCTCATTTATGCAAGTAAAAGACGATAACACAACTCCAGAAGCTATTACAATAAGGGAGATTTTTAAAGCACCATGTCTACAATCTTTGAGAAATCAAGAATCGTTAGTCAGTACCTTCAGTCAGGGGAGCAGTGAAGAAATAAGAGATTACCTATGCTCTCTTTCCAATGAGTGCATGAAGAAAGTGTCAGGAAGCCATCAAGCTCTAGAGAAAACCAGGGTCTTACAGAAAAGCAGTTCGTCTTTTCAAGCATCACCAACAGCTTCAGAACTAATGCAGGAATTATCACATAGGCAAAAATCTGCAGTATTTTCTCAACAGTCGTATGACCATGATATTGATAAAGTTACATCAGCAGATGAACAGGCCCATTCTCAAATAAAGTGTGCTGATAAAAGACAGAGTGAATCACCCTCACAAACCGAGATGTTGAAAAGTGTGATGGAAGCAAATCTTTCAGATCCTGTGCCTGTTACTGCACAGCCCAAATTATCTCAGATAGATCCCCTTGAAAATCTTGTACAACAGCTACAGAGAGAGCTCGTATCCCGTAGATCACAGGTGAGCTTTCTTCAAACACATTCGTGCAATCTCTACCTTATTTTTCTTACCAGAGTTCTATAAACAATTCTGATGTTTTCTTTTTATGTACACATTAAAACTTATCTATAATGGATCTGTACTTAAAAAAATTCTAAAATTACAGTATATTTCAAAAACTTGTTTACTTACCTAATATATTAAATGTTTCTTTAGAATGAAAACATAGCACAGGATTTATCGATCCAAGAAGAGCAGAGTAGAAATGCAGAAATAGAGCTTGACCGCCAGAGAAGCCAGGCAGAAAAGGTAGTATAAAGACGGACCCAAGGGCGATGACGTCATTGGTACTAGGACTGAAAACGGCTGTGCATCTCTGCCCCCTGTTCTTTGTGGGGTGTGCAGAGGAAGAGGTGTCAGGGAGATGCACATCTCTGTTTTATTCTCAGGACTTTATTTTATAATTGCTGTGTCTCTATAACCCTTTTCTCTTGTTCTAAACTTGAATTCATAAATACTGGTTTAACATGAAACCTATTTTTTACTATGATATTTTACAAAACATTTTATTCTCTTTGTTCAGAATGAATTTCTTTCAAGAGAACTAATTGAAAAGGAAAGAGATTTAGAAAGAAGTAGGACAGTAATTGCTAAATTCCAGAGTAAATGTAAGTCACTATTATCTCTTCCTTTTTTATACCCATTTCCCTCCTAAAATTTAAACGTATGCCATTTTAGTACATTAGTTACTTTTTAGTCTTTAAAATCAATAACTAAGTCCCTGTTAATATATATCTTTGTGGTTTACATTGCTATTTTTATTGTTATAGAATGTTAACTTTAGTTTTTCATTAAAATACATCACATATCTTATAGACTTAAGTGAAAGTAAAGTTATAAAAATTTAAAGATTTTAAGATGACAGAGCTATGCAGTGTGTGTGTGTGTGTGTGTGTGTGTGTGTACATGACTAAAATGGATGTGGTGTTTAGTTCAGCTGTTCTTGTTTCATTTATAGTTGAATTTTTTATTTATATTTTTGTTCTACAATTTTTTTTCTATCTGAAATATCTGTCATGTATATGGAAAAAGTAAGTTGTAGAAAAGAACTATTTATTCACAGTGAAAAAAACTATAATTACAGTAAAAGAATTAGTAGAAGAAAATAAGCAGCTTGAAGAAGGTATGAAGGAAATTTTGCAAGCTATTAAGGACATGCCGAGGGATCCTGATGTGAAAGGAAGTGAAACATCTCTAATCATCCCCAGTCTTGAAAGACTGGTTAACGTAAGTACAGTTTGCATGTCAATGTCTGCCTGCAGCCTGCCCTTCCTGTTCTATAGGTTTCTTTTTTTTGATGCTTGACAAAATACTCAGATAAAAAGCAACTTAAGAAATAGGATGAGTTACACATTTGAGGTACGGCCTATTAAGACAGGAGAGTAGAAAGCTGGAGGTGGCAGCAGCAGCTCAACACTGAATCCACAGACTGGCAGAGGTGACACTTCTCCTTTGTAGATGCTGAAGTGGGGATGTAAGGAACCTGAGTTACCTGCCCAGCTAACAAGAAACTGGCTCATATATGAATGCTAATTATCTTCTTACTGTTCTCTGCTTTACTAATTTATTAGTATTTACTCAGTGTTATTTACTTTAATGAAGTAGTCACTATGTATAGTAACATGAGCCAAACTTAAATTTTATAAATATTGTTCGATAAATAAGAAATTTAAATAGGATTTTTATTAGACATGCCAGGGAGCACAGAAAGATGATTAAATTATTTAAAGGCACATTTTTTTCCTGTCTATGATTTTACTGTTTTCCATTGCATTTGTAATATGTAATGTAAATATACTAGGCTATAGAATCGAAGAATACAGAAGGAATCTTTGATGCCAGTTTGCATTTGAAAGCCCAAGTTGACCAACTTACAGGAAGGAATGAAGAATTAAGGCAAGAACTCAGGGAATCTCGGAAAGAGGCTATAAGTTATTCACAGCAGTTGGTAAAAGCAAACTCAAAGGTGAGGATTTTATTACATACAAGAAATATTAAGCCTGTGATTGAATGTTCAACGGGAAACTTTTGTTTTCTTTCTTTTCTAAGACAGCTTCTTTTCATAACAGCTCTGGCTATCTGGAACTCACTTTGTAGACGAGGCCAGCCTCAAACTCAAAGAGATCTACCTGCCTCTGACGTACGTGTGTCCTCCACAGCCTGGCTAGGACACTTTTTTATAAAGACTGCTTTATGAGAGGAAAATGTCCTTTGAGTTCTTTCGATGCTAAAGCAACTTTTTGGAGATTTGGAAAATGGTTTATTTATTTGTTTGTTTGTTTATATATTTATTTATTTGGCACAGGCTTTCTCTGTGTAGGTTTGTAGACCAGGCTGGTCTCCAACTCACAGAAATCCTCCTGCCTCTGCCTCCCGAGTGCTGGGATCAAAGGTGTGCACCACCACCATCCTACTCCCTTATAATTTCTTAAAGTATATTTTGATCATGTCCTACCCACACACGCTCTGTTTAGATCCTCCCTAGCAAACATACTTTGTCTTCTTTCTCCCTCTTAAAACAACAACAAAAAAGAGACAAAACCATGGACTCTGATCTGGGATAGTCAGCTAACGACTCCTGGAGTGTGGTTGATGTACCCAGTGTCCCTCTGCTGAAAAAAAAAAAACTGGATTTCTGCCTCTCAGGCAGTTATTACAAATGACTTCTTGGCTCGGGATGGGATTATGTGAGCACTTCCTTTCCTCTGTCCTGGGATTTGTCAGGCTCGATCTTGTGTAGGTACAGTAGGTGCTGTCCCAACAGTCTCTGTATGGGCATCTGCCCTGCTGTGGCGGAAAAATACCATTTCCTTGGAGTCATCCACAACCTCTGGTCCTCACCATCTTTCTGCGCCTCTCACACATATCCTGGAGCCCTATTTAGGCTGAACATTGCAAAGTCTCCCACCCTCTGCACATTATTTTTTTATAGATTCTTTATGAAGTTATGTGGAAACTAAGTTCCTTGTGCTATAAAAGAGAAGGTAAGAGCCCTAAATCTTGTATTAGGTATTTCTAAGTAAAAATTAAAGTTCAGTGTAATTAATTGATGTCAAGTTGTTCCCATCCATTTAAAAAGATACTTGGTAGAGAAAGCATGGAGTATAACTTGCTGCCTTCTAGTTTTCCTAAGTGTGATTATTATTCCTGGGTTGTTTCCAGATTGATCATCTTGAGAAAGAAACTGATCTTCTACGTCAGTCTGCAGGGTCCAATGTCGTTTACAAAGGTGTAGACTTGCCTGATGGGATAGCACCATCTAGTGCCCATATCATCAATTCTCAGAATGAATATTTAATACATCTTTTGCAGGTACTGTAATTTATGTGTTAATGATAGACATTTCTGATAGTATGCTTGTTAATTTAGTCTGTGAATTCCTTTGAGTTCTCAGAATAAATAGGTGTTCTATGAGTAGGTTATGAGTCAGCAGAACTAATGTGAATAAAGGAAGTTTATTTTGTTTACCTACATGTAAGGCATGTACAAGAATCTTGTTCATCTGTGAAATTTATAAGGACATGAAGAATTATAAGCAAATACTATCAAGCAGCACTGTATTGTATTTATTGTTGTTTAGAAAAGTGAGAGAATGAGATGACAAAGCTTCTCAATGCCATTATTAGAATTTTGTCTCTTTTTGTGCTAATCACAGAAAAGCTTGCAAGTAAACCTGACTCTCACCTTTTCTTTTCTGTGTAAATTGTTGATCCACTGCAAATTAGAAAGGGTTCTCTATTCTATTACTTGCCCATACCTGCCTTACTGTTTGCCATCTACATAATGGGATTAAAAATAGACTGATTAAAAATTGTTTTTCAAATTTTCATTTTAATATCCATAATATCACCTATGCTCTATTGTACATACAAAAATCTATTGAAAAATACATTTCTGATTGTAAGCATCATTGTTTCTCACTGCTAGATTATCCATTGGTGTGATACTTGAGTTATAATCACCAAATCTTGGTTTTTCATTTGGACATAGCATTACTCTTTCTTTGAATTTGTATGCTACCCAAGTCAAGTAAGGGTAACATTTCTTTAAAGTTCATCCTATATCACTACATTTAAATTCATGGCAATATTAGTGATTTATTTTTATGCACTTGAGGGACACCATCAACAAATAATGGCAACATGATATGCTTGATCTAAGATTTGTGATTTTTTTTTTTAAATGGGGGCCCGGCAAGATGACTCAGTGGGTAATGGCATTCAGTGCCGGCCCTGATTACCAGTGTTTGTGCTCATTGACTAGACTGCACAGTGGATGGAGAGAACAGACTTCCCAAGTTTTCCTCCAGCCAACATATATGTACTCCCATGCATGCAAATAAATGCTTTAATTAATTAATGTAAAACTCAGTTTTCCCATATTTAGAAAGAAATAGGCGGCTAATTTTAGTCAAGGCACAAAAAATGTATACTGGCAAGAGAATAAATATGTGGCTAGGTAATAGGAGTTGCGTATTTAACTGTTCTGTCTGATAAACATTTATGCTTCAGGTGAATACTGTATCTGATAGTCTGTGTGCTTAATGAAGATACCATGTTTGAAAAGAATAATTTTGCTTGTTTTATAGGACTTTTTATGTATATTGCCCTCATTCTTCATACTTTTATATTAAAATGTTGAAAATGCGGAGTTTTAATAATCTTTTTGGAATGTGAATCTGTACCTTTGGATACAAAACGTAGCCTAATGCTATTTATGTTGTAATTTATGAACCAAATTTCAGGAACTAGACAATAAAGAAAAGAAGTTAAAGCATGTAGAAGAGTCTCTTGAAGATTATAACAGAAAATTTGCAGTAATTCGTCATCAACAAAGTTTATTATATAAAGAATATCTAAGGTATTTATGTTTTGAAAACTTTATAAATTTAGTTGGATATAGTATATAAGTTTAACAAAACTTAATCCATTGGGTGCTCTGTAAAGCTAGCTTTTATGCCATTTTAGTGCTAAAATGATGTTTCAAAGAATTCTTTTCAAATGAAATTTTAAAGCTTGGAGTTTTCTTTTTTTTCTATTTCTTTCTTATTGACACAAAATAGTGTAGACTTAACTTATATGCTTCATGTCTGGATGATGATTGAGGTATTATGTTGCAAATATTTTGAAGAGATAGAACAAATATAAGTGTAAATAACTTAATAAAATTGTGATACTACCTTTATTAAAAACATTGAGTGAAAAATGTAACTTCTTGTTAGGTACTATGTCTTTTGTTCTGAGAAAATGTAAAGCTTTTATAACCTAAATTTATCCCTTTTGCAGTTGAAAAGTTTATTTACTTTATTATCTTTTTAATTGTCATTGCATGATATTATAGTGAAAAGGAGACTTGGAAAACAGAATCTGAGACTGTAAAAGAAGAGAAGAGAAAACTTGAAGACCAAGTCCAACAGGATGCTGTGAGAGTAAAAGAGTATAATGTAAGCACAACATTAACCATTATTCTACCAGGTACAAATGAGGATAACTAGATCCACTTAGTAATGTCAGTGTGATTTCGTACAGAATTTGCTCAGTGCTCTTCAGATGGATTCAAATGAAATGAAGAAAATGCTTTCAGAAAACAGTAGGAAAATCACTGTTTTGCAAGTGAATGAAAAGTCCCTCATACGGCAGTATACAACCTTAGTGGAAATGGAACGGCAGCTTAGAAAAGAAAATGGGAAACACAAGAATGACTTAATATCAATGGAAGCCGAAGTTACTGAAAAAATTGGAAGTTTGCAAAGATTTAAGGTAATTCTGCCTTTTTTTTTTTTTTTTTTTGGCTCAGGAACCTTTGGGTCTGAGGACAGTAAGACTCATGCATATCCATCCCCAGGATTTATGGTTAATGCTTATTGGCATTAGCTGTAATTACTTTATCCACTTTTTTTTAGGAATACTTAAATTGCAGACATTCTTCCCCTGAATATTTTTAGCAAACATCTCTATGATAAAAAGCTGTTGTTTACATAACTGTAATAATGTTATTTTACTGAGAAATTGACAGTATTTCCCTAATTTTCCCACTGTGCAGACTATGTTAAATTTTCTTTAGTTGCTCTAGGCTTTGATCATGAATAATGCATTTATTGGAGTTGACAGTTACATGTGCTGATTCCTGAAGACAGCAACCTGTTTTGCTTTGTTTTTCTCTTCTCTTTGAAGAGTATTTGATTGGTCTCTTTTATTTTGATCTTATCAATTTTAACTCTGAGGACTTGATTTGATGCAATTTAAACAATTTTAGCCAGAGTACATCTTAAATAATCTATGTTTTGTTATTCCTAAAGATAGAGTATCTGGAGCCGGGTGTTGGTGGCATACGCCTTTAATCCCAGCACTCACTCGGGAGGCAGAGGCAGGCGGATCTCTGTGAGTTCGAGACCAGCCTGGACTACCAAGCAAGTTCCAGGACAGCCTCCAAAGCCACAGAGAAACCCTGTCTCGAAAAACCAAAAAAAAAAAAAAGATAGAGTATCTGTTTAGATGGTGTTTTATGGGGAATCACGTCATTTTTAATTGATATCCACATTTTTAAGTCATTAACTGGTAAGATTTTTAGCATGATATATATGTATATGATCCTTTGCTATTTTTCCCAATAATTTTAGTATTTATGATGATTACCTGATAAGGATTTTCATGTTTTTCTCATGTTATTAGTACTGTTAACATTCTTTTGAGAGTGGAGAAGTTTTTGTCATTAAGTCCTGCTGAAGTGTATTTCCCACTGTAAGGACAGTATGAGAGCTTTGACCTTTCCTTTTCACCTCCAGTTACAGAAGGGCAGGGTGTGTGGGCTCTGTTTTTGGGCCGATTTGTTTGTTTCCTCATAAGATTCTTCTTTGGTTATCATGGTAGATTCACACACTTTTAAACATTAGGTACATTTTACTCAATTAAGAATTCTAAACTTTAGTAGGAGGCCTTTGACAATGTCTCTAGTTGTTTTAGCAAGGATCCATTAGTTTTTGGACCAAGCTTGATTTGTTTTTTGACTTAACAAAGTTTTCTCGACCTAACTTAACACTCTACTTCTGCTTGGTTGTAAAGTAAGCCAGTTCTTTAAGGAGCCCTGTTGCTTTTTAGAGGGTAAAATATGTATATACCCGGAACTGATTACATAGTGTCATTGCTCTTCAGATGTCATTGCTGCTCATCTTTTTCCTTGGACAATATAAGGAATATAGTATATAATTTTAGAATATGAGTTCATATTGTTACTTCCAATTCATAGTTGGCATTCTAAGGTAATTAGACACTATGATTTATTCCCTAAACTCATTTAACTTCGTAATGTTATTTTCTTCATTGTTTTACATAGAAAACTGAAAGATTAAAATAATTATTTTATCAAATACCATCAAATTAATTAAAAATAGCATCTGTAATACTTCGTAATATATCCTAAAATTTCTTTGTAGTTGTTACTTTCTTGGAGTCTAACCTATTGAGCGTGTGTTAGCAAAATTAACATATTCTAGTAATTTGAAAGAATCCCCAAGTCTTTTTTATTTTCTTCTTAGATTCAATATTAGGATTTTTAAATGTGAATTGGAATATGTACAGCATTTATGTTTCGAAAGATTTACTGAGAAATGTCTGGCTGCTGCCCCTGCCCTGCTATCCAGTAACAGGACACTCTCCACGTGGTTCTTCTACAACAGAAACAGAGCCTAAGAGTTATTACCCATTCATATGTGTCTGTACCTTCACCTGAGAGCTGTTTCTTTTAGGACATGACTTAAGGGAATTTTGAGACTTAGGCACATTCTTCTGTTTATTTTTGTGGTTTTTAGAGAAGACTGGACTCCTTTGAGTTTTACCAATACACAAAGTGCTTAAAATGTGAGCTGGAACTGTTTTTTGCATCCTCTCTTTCTTCAAACAGTTTCTGCATTTTGGATTTTTTGTATGTTTTGTTTTTTATAATAGAGAATATGAAAGGGGATATTTTAAATGAAGCAAAGCATATTTCCATGTCTTTTATCCAGTCTGCCACACAAAATGAAACCAAATCCTTAGAGCAAAGTATAATAGTATATATGTATTTACGTGAGGAGAAGCTGTTGCAATTAGGTGTGAAGTTCTCTTTACTCAGGAATGAATTAAAAATCACAACTTCTTCATCTCCACTTCATCAATTTGGTTATTTATCTCACTATTGGCTTCCATCACTTCACTGCGCTCTTTTATTAACTTTGGCTTATCATAGAACATCGTACTTGAAAGAACTAAGACTCCCAGTACCTTATTTGTTTTGATAAAACTACTTTAGTGCCTTTAATTAATGACTTTTCAGAGCTATAGTGGAGTATTGTGTTACTCTTCTTCACAGGACAAAAATATAAAAGTTTGTTCTGGTTTAGAAATTTGGAGGTTTGGGAATACAGTCTCATTACCTTTGGCCTGTGGTGACACAAGTACATCCTAGTAAGAGTGTGGTTAATAGAGGCTTTCTTACCTCATAGCCAATTCTAATGAAAAGAAAAAGAGAGCTTGAGGAACAGAGATCCCATAATCACATTTGAAAGCACACACCAAGTGACTTAAGACGTCCCACCAGACCCCATACCTTAGTTGCTTCAATTCCCTAACCACACCATGCTAGAGAACATGCTTTTAACATGTGTCTTTGGAGGAATATTCTATATTAAATTGTAGCAAACATGAAATAAGTAACTTAAATCTTTATTGTTACTATTTAGTTATTTTAATCACTCAATAATAGGAACCAGAAATGAATTTGTGTGACTTCAAGAAAGTGTAAACGTAACTAGAATATACAGGTTCCCTTAGTTCATGCTAATTTTGTCACTTAAAAGTATCAAATGCTTAATTGATTTTAATCTTCTAAAATTTAAAATAGGCAAGCGTTCAAGTATGATTTCTGAATGATTGCAGGTATTAATATTTTCTCAAATTAATTGTATTTCATTTACTGTGACAGTTCATTAAAGGACTCATTTAAATTGATAATTAAAACTTTCCAAATATAATTTCCTATATATGAAAGAATAACATGAGAAATAGTATATATTTTTCAAATGGCTTTAAAATATGTTTTGCTTTCAACTGAATTATCTTTCTTAAAAGTGACTAATGCTTTACCAGGAAAAAAAGGTGCAAACTTAACTAAGTGTATCCTTTTTTTTTTTTTTTCCAGGAAATGGCTACCTTCAAAATTGCAGCTCTCCAGAAAGTTGTAGATAATAGCGTTTCTTTGTCTGAACTAGAACTAGCCAATAAACAGTACAATGAACTAACTACTAAGTACAGGGACATATTACAGAAAGATAACATGCTTGTTCAAAGAACAAGTAACTTAGAACACCTAGAGGTGAGTGTGGATGATCTTTGAACCTTGTAATACTAGCCACTTTACATTGAGGGTATCCTGGGGTCTGTAGGAATTTTACTGATTTCAAGTGATTAAAGTTGGCTTCTATTTATGGAATTGTGGTGGAAATATGTTATAATAGGTATAATCTAATTGTGGTTTGTTCTGGATATCAATGCATATACCTATATGTAACTTACTATCTATTTATAATTGCATTTAGCTTAGAGGTGACTTTATCTAGGTCATCCTCTTATGTATCTTCTATGAGTTAGCTGAGCCAGACTCATGTCACACAGATAATTAAAGGGAGATTTCATTCCTGTCTTCTCTTACTCTGATCTCAGAGTGCCTAGATTTGATTTCTTATGATGGATTTATTTGACTCTGGATGCATTATTAATAACATTTCCTAGACATTGGATGCATCTCCAACTCTCTGTTCTTTTATGGTTTAGAAATACTGGCAATTAGGGTGGGGATGAAGGAGTTGGCTCTGAATGTAAAAGCACTGACCTGGCAAGTAATTTGGATTCATGGAATGCATGTGTTTTACTTTCTTTTCTGTTTGTGTAATAAATCACCCAACAAAAGCAACTTTAAAAAGAAGGGTTTAGCTGACCCAGAGTTCGTGGTAGAGTATCATGGGAGGAAAATCAACATAGCAGGAGTGTGAAGCAATTTGTCACCTGTCTACAGTCAAGGCACAGGTGGATGAATGCTTCCTGTGTCTCAGCTTGCTTGCTCCATTTTATATAGTCATCTCCCCCAGTAAGGGAAGTAACCTGTCCACAGTCAAGATGGGCTTTCCTAACGCAACCCCAATAATCCCCACAGGGGCTATCCCTCAGCTGATTTTGTCAAGTTGCCAACTGCTGCATCATGGGTGAAAAAAAGCCAATACGAACCCATAATACCATCACTCCTACAGTCAGAAGGGAGACAGAGAGATGAAAATTACCTTGCCTGAAACCTGCTGGCCAGGTAGCTTGAGATACACAGCATAGAGGCAGAAACAATGAGGAAATATCTTGCTGGTTTCAAAGTAAATGGCAATGACAGACTTCCAGAAGTTGCTCTTAGTTCTCTACATGTTTCATCACATGTGTGCCTACACTCACACACATCACACAGAGGCTAGAGTGGTGGAATGTCATAAGCTTCATTAGACTATTTGTGTACATAGTCCATTGCTCTGTTTACTGCTCCTTACTTTTTACTTCCTTGATGCTTGTGGAGTGTGTGTGTGTGTGTGTCGGGGTGGGGGGTGTATGTGTTTGCCTTGTGCAGATGAATATGCACACGTGTGCACATGCGTGTGGCGACCTGCAGCTGAGTTTGGATATCTCCCTTAACCACTCCTCGCTTTTTATCTAGTGAAATGGAACCTGAAGCTTCCCAATTCTAGCTAGTTTCCCTAGCCAGGTTGCCCTGAGGGTCCTGTCTCTGCCTCCTGAGTGCTGAGACTGGAAGCTGCTGCCATGCTTGCTCAGGTCTTTACATGGATGTTTAAAATCCAAAGTCTAGTCTTTGCACAGCTAAAAGATATATCCAATGAGCTGTTTCCCAGGCCCCACCCCCTACATTAAAAAAACAGTTTAAGATGTTATGTGTATGAGTATTTTGCTTGAATGTATGTCTGTGCACATCTTGCTGTGCCTGCAGTGACAGGGGAGTTCAGTGGACCCTTTGCAACTGGGGTTACTGACAGTTGCATCCAGAAATTGAGGTATAAGTCTTTAGGTTCTCAGTAGAAATTGAGGTATATGTCTACAGGCTTCTCGGTAGAAGTTGAGGTATATGTCTACAGGCTTCTCAGTAGAAATTGAGGTATGTGTCTACAGGCTTCTCGGTAAAAGTTGAGGTATGTGTCTACAGGCTTCTCAGTAGAAGTTGAGGTATATGTCTACAGGCTTCTCGGTAGAAGTTGAGGTATATGTCTTTAGGCTTAATCTCCTTTAAGATCTTTCCACAGCATGGAATAGGAGATATTTGGTTAGCTCACAAGCTCTTACTTGCTTAGGGGAAACACACTGAGTAAATCAAACATTGCGTTACTGATGACTTCTGCAAAATAGCTTAATCATTATGTATTAATACGATCTAGAAATATTCATGATCCAGTTCCTTTTTTACTGCTTTTGCTGAAGACCACAGATGATTATGTTGCTATTTAAAGATAATTCTGCCTGTGTCGATGTAGTAATAATTTCCTTTTTCCATTCTCCATGTCCTTGTTCTGATTCTATTAACAAAGCTCTCAATGACAAATCTGCAGTTAGCTACCAGTGAGCTGTTTCTTTCCTTATTTTGTATTGTTAAAAATCAAACTCGGGCGAGAGCCAAACCTCTGAACTCCACCTCAAGTCTTCAATACTTCTTTTAAATTTTATTTACTATTACTGTTAATATTTGTGTGTGTCTCTATGTCTCTTTATGTGTGTTTGTTTGCATGTGTATTTAAGTCAAATAATTTTCGGGAGTCAGTTTACGGCAATGGAACGCAGATTGTCAGGCTTGCACAGCAACAACTTTTACTTATTGAGGATATAGTTTGCCTTCAATAAATAAGGTTCCTCAACTTTACTATATGTTTGTGAGATGTGGATATATCTAGGTTGGAGGAGAAGCACAGTAGTTAAGAGTTCCTGCTGCCCCTGAGGACTTGAGTGCAGATTCCAGCATTCATGGTCAAGAATCTCACAGCTGTCTGTAACTGAAGCAACAGGGGCATCTGCTACCTCTAGCCTCTGTAGGCACCTGCACTCACATGCGTATACCACATGCAGATATACTATATACATAATTAAACATGAAATGTTTTTTAAAAGTTCATATACCTTGTAATTTAGTAACTGTATTTTAACAAATAGTATTAATAATGAATTCATCTCAAAATGCTTGTTAGGTGTCCAGGTGTCCATGCTCCCAAACTGGAGTGTAACAAAACTGCCTGCAATATTTAGTGAGTAAAATAATCATTTTATTCTTGTCATAGATTCTGGGTATCAAAACTCAAAAGTCACCCTGCCACAGATAGTTTAATCTTTGGTCTGCAGTGTCTAATGTCTGGGCTAAGAAGACCTGAGAGACTCAGAATGACAGTTGGGGGAGGGGAACTTGTGATCTAAATGTATTGTATGAAAACATGATTTTTAATAAGAGTCCATAGAGAAAAAAAGAATAACTGAACAGGAGGGGCTGTGGGACAGAGGTTAATCGGTTAATCACTCCTATAATTAGCACCCAACGGGATGACTGAAGGCTGATTATCTGTGGGCTTGTCTACCAGTGTCTACCTGTGACTCGGACATGTTGGAGCTCACAGACCAGTACTCTCTCAGTGTAACTGAACTTCTCACAACTATTGTGTAAATAACAAGGTAGAAATTATGTTTCTTTCTATAACTTTCATAGTCCAATTCCCACCTCTCAATATAAAGAATGTCAGGAAATTTGTGACCCCTTTCAAATTGTCATAGTTGTTTTGTTTTTTTTTTTTATAGTCAAGGAATTTTCTGCTGGGCTTCTTGATAGCTACCTCAAAACCTAGTCTTTCAGAACTATTCTATTATGTAAGACCCAGTCTGGTTTGGTTGCATATGCTTTTAATCTCAGCACTTGGGAGTTAGAAACAATCGGACCATGAGTCCAACATCAGCCTAGACTATATACAGATCCTGTCTTAAACAGGCGAACAAAAATAAGAGCAAATGAGAGTAAGATTGAGCGAGACTCTTAGTTGTTTCCTTTGTCTCCTTTATCTTCTGCAGTTCATTTATAATTTTAACATCATAATCGCATCTCTTATGACCTATCTGTCTCTAAGGGCATTCATTGGCTTAGGTTTCCTCTTTACCTTGTTTTCTTGCAGCCATTACTCACATTGGTATCTCCTCTTAAATCCTCCTTACTACCACTAAAATAATAGTCATGAACATTATAATCTTGTTACTCCTGTGTTTAGGCGTCATTTGAATGACAAAAAGTCAAATTCTTGCCCTGTTTACCTAATGTTAGTTCTTGCTCTGAGGCAGTGGTTCTCAACCTCTGGTTTGCTACCCCCTTTGGGGTTGAATGACCTTTTCACAGGGGGTGGCCTAAGCCTATCAGAAAACATTGATTCATAACAGTAGCAATACTACAGTTATGAACTAGCAATGAAAATAATTTTATGTTTGGGGAGCACCACAACATGAGGAACTGTATTAAAGGGTCACAGCAATAGAAAAGTCGAGAACACTGCTTTAAAGCAAGACAAGAGTGTAAAGGCTTAGAGAAGGAAAATGGGGCAGAATTAGGAAAGCATTGGGTATTAGAAGACCTCAGCAACAATAAGCCTAGTACTATAGATTTAGAACTTTAGGAAATGTGTGTCTCAGTGAAGGATTATCAATGGTGAGGTGGCCTGTGGGCATGTCTGTAGGGGGATTGTTTTAACTAACTTTATTAATATGGGATACACTGCCCACTGTGGTGCAACCACTACTAGAAGGCGGTTTCTGATCTGTATAAGAGCTGCGAAATCAAGCTGAGACCAGTAAGCAAGCAAGCATACGTGCACTTGCTTGTGTTCTTGACTGGAGTGTTGTAACTAGTTATTTGAATCCTGCCTTGAATTCCCTTTAATGATAGGTGGTAACCTGTAATTATTTGCCTTAAATAAGCTCACCTCTAGTTGTTTTTGTGATAGGCTATTTTATCACAGCAAAAAGAAGAAACTAGCACAGGATATCCTACAACACTCACATACACACAAACCATAGACGGAGAAGCCTGTGAAATGTGGGATTTGTTCTTATTTCTTTTTACTGTTGACATATGGCAACTGTTGCAGATGATGTGCTAAGGGTATGCACATAAGTGCTTGTATGAATGAAGCAAATGAGCAATAATTTGTGAAGCTATGAAACCCCTCTGTATTCCTCATTAGCTAAAGTGAGTAGGTATCTTATCTAATACTTGGAAGTCTAGAGCCAGATATATTATATACAAGGGTTTGTTTGTTTGTATGATGTGTGAGAAATTATAATTTCTAAAACAATATTTTTGAATCTAGTTAATTTGTGTGGTTCTTTATTTGCCTCTCTTTATAGTAAAGCTTAACTTTAAGTTAAAAAGTAGGTGGTGAGTTTTAAGAGATAATGCACAAAGTTAAGCAGTATCTCTTCCGTGCTACTCATCCTCATTGCAGTGTAGCTCATCTATAATGTCTGTCTTTTATTCAGTGTGAAAATGCATCTTTAAAAGAACAAATGGATGCTATAAGTAAAGAACTAGAGATTACAAAGGAAAAACTTCATACCATTGAACAAGCCTGGGAACAAGAAACTAAATTAGGTAAATCATAACACTCAGATAATATCAAGTGATTAGTATCTAACAGTGATTCTTTTATTGAAAATTCCTTTTATATAGTACAATTTAAATTTGATTTAAAATGATGAACTGTACCCTATGGCTTAGTTTAGTATACAGATGATAATTAATATCCTGAGTGCATGGTTTATAGTTCTCACATGAGATTTTTTTCCTAGTAAAATCACTTATTATAAATTTGTGATTAAACACTAGTTATTTTGAATTATTTTAACAATAAAACCTAGTGATAATTTTGAAACATGTGTTTTTCTGTGTGCAAAATTTGTGTTATGTATTATTTGATACCTTTAAATGAAAAGATCACGATAAAATATCAAAGAAAATTTGAGAATTTTTATTGCCTATATTGTCATATTTTTCTTATGTTTTTATGTATTATGTACTTTAAATAATAAATATTATTTGTTATATACTATATCAATTTAGTAGAATTTCAAAGTATTTCTATATTTTAGTCATTTATAAAAAACTCATGCAGTTCCTGTTATTTGAGTGATTATAAGTAAAGTGTTTTGGTGATATCTTGTTTATACTCTAACAAATAAAGCTTGTCTGATGATCAGAGGGCAGAGCTAGCTAAACAGAGAGGTCAGGAGGTCTGTACAGACAGACAGGAAGTGAGAAGATGGCTGGGCAGAGAGAGGAATATAAGCAGAAGGAGACAGGAACGCAGTCTCTTTTCTGTCGGAGGATTTCTTAGAGGTAAGAGCTCTAGTGGCTGGATGCTCCGCTTCTCAGATCTTTCAGCTTTCACCTCCTAATATCTGACTTTGGGCTTTTATTATTTAGACCTATTGGAACTCGTGTTACAAAGTGTTAAGGTTTTTTTTTTTTTGCAGTTATTTAGAATACTACAAAGATTATCTTCATTTATGTCTGACTTGCCATATTATTGTATATAAAATTGCAATTTGATAGTATTTAATATTATATATGTATAAGGTCCAAAATAATGCTCATGATTTGAGATTATACTTGTAAAATTTATTTATGATATAATTTCAGATTTTACATTTGAGCTTGGTGCTTGATAATGTTAAAAATCAACTCATTGCACTTACATGTCCAAAGAGACACTGCTATCCTATATTGCCCCAGTGCAGTTAACATTGTCTCCATAACAAGTGGTTCACTTACCACTGGTTACAACCCTCAAACCTGTGCCAGTTCTGCACTGACCTTCATAGTGATTTCAGTCATCTCAGACTTGTAAGTCAGACTTTGTGTGGACTGCCAGCTCTCAAATAATGACACGGAGACTTCTTATTAAGTATGGAACTTAACCTTAGCTTAGGCTTGTTCCCTATTAGCATGAAGACTTAAATTGTTTTTATTAATCTGTGTGCTGCCATGTGTCTTGTTACTGCTCCTCAGTACTTTACACCCCGTTTCCTGGTGTCTGTCTAGCGAATCTCTGGCACCTCAGATTCCTCCCAGAGTTCCTCTCTCTCTCTCTCTCTCTGGAAGTCCTGCCTAGCTCTCCTGCATAGCTGTTGGCCATTCAGCTCTTATTAAGTCAATCAGAAGATACCTTAACAGAGACACATTTTGACAGTGTACAAAAGATTATCACATAACATGTAGTTTTTGTTGTCATTTGATTAAAGAAGAGATTTATTCTAGAAAGGGTAAATGGATAGACATCAGACATGTAGGAATAAACAATGAGAAGAATGCAGATATGTCTTAATTCATTCCTTGCTATACAACTATACTACTTTTTTATACCTTTCCTGAATTATCTTTTGTATAATGTATTATTACATACAGGAAATGAATCAAACATGGATAAGGCAAGGAAATCAATGACAAATAGTGACATTGTTTCTATTTCAAAAAAAATCACTGTGTTGGAGATGAAGGAATTGAATGAAAGACAGAGAGCTGAACACTGTCAGAAAATGTATGAACACGTAAGAACTTCATTAAAACAAATGGAAGAACGCAATTTTGAATTGGAAACCAAATTCACTGAGGTTTGATACTATTTTTATCATGTAACTAGACAGAATTAATGATAGTAGATATTGCATTATTAAGAATTTTGTGTCTCTAAGATAGCATATACTTGCAGCATTTGTTTTTTATTTAATGGATGTACAGAGAAGTATTTTAAAATCGGAATCGCTTTAGATTAAACCACTTGTTTCTATAAACAAACTCTCTCCAGTAAAATGGTATTGGTTTTATTGAACAGAAGGATGTTGTTTCTTTTTTTCTATTTTTTTAATTTAAATTAGAAACAAGCTTGTTTTGCGTGTCAATCCAAGTTCCTTCTCCTTCCCTTCCTTCCCTGCCCCCCCACTAGTCCCCTATACCATCCCCGTTCTGCCTTCCAGGAAGGGTGAGGCCTTCCATGGGAGATCTTCAAAGTCTGTCATATCATTTGGAGCATGACTTAAGCCCTCCTCCCTGTGTCTATGCTGAGAGAGTATCCCTCTATGTGGAATGGGCTCCCAAAGTCCATTCATATGCTAGGGATAAATACTGATCTACTACCAGAGGCCTCATAGACTGTCGAAGCCTCCTCACTGAGACCCACGTTCAGGGGGTGTAGATCAGTCCTATGCTGGTTTCACAGCTATCAATCTGGGATCCAAGAGTTCCCCCTTGTTCAGGTCAGCCATTTATGTGGGTTTCACCAGCCTGGTCTTGACGTCTTTGCTTATCACTCCTCCCTCTCTGCAACTGGATTCCAGAAGTTCACTTCAGTGTTTAGCTATGGATGTCTGCTTCTGCTTCCATCAGTTACTGGACAAGGGCTCTATTATGATATCTCTTTACTTGCTCTTCTCTATTCTTCCTCCGACTCAAACTTTCTGCTCCCACATGTCCTCCTCTCTCTTCCTGTTCTCCCTTCTCTTTGTCCTAACTCCCTTTCCCCTCCCCCCATGCTCCCAATTAGCTCATGAGATCTGGGGGACCATGTATGTCTCTCTTAGAGTCCTCCTTGTTTCCTAGCTTCTCTGGTGGTGTGGATTGTAGGATGGTAGTCCTTTCCTATATGTCTCAAATCCATATATGAGTGAGTACATACCATGTTTGTCTTTTTGTGACTGGGTTACCTCACTCAGGATGGTTTCTTCTAGTGCCATCCATTTGCCTGCGATTTTCAAGATTCCACTGTTTGTTTTGTTTTTTCGCTGAGTAGTACTCCATTGTGTAAATGTACCACATTTTCTCTATCCATTCTTCAGTTGAGGGACGTATAGGTTGCTTCCAGGTTCTGGCTATTACAAATAATGCTGCTATGAATAAAGTGGAACAGACGTCCTTGCTATATGAATGTGCATCTTTTGGGTATATGCCTAAGGGTGGAATTGCTGGGTCTGGTAGTAGGCTGATTCCCATTTACTTAGGACTCTCCATACTAATTTCCAAAATGGCTATATGAGTTGGCACTCCCACCAGCAGTGGAGGAGTGTTCCCCTTTCTCCACATCCTCTCCATCATTGGTGCTTTTGATTTTAGCCATTCTTACAGGAGTAAGATGGCATCTCACAGTTGTTTTGATTTCTCTGATGGCTAAGGATCTTGAGTACTTTCTCAAGTGTCTAAAAGACATTTTAGCCTCCTCTATTGAGAATTCTCTATTTCTATACCCCACATTTTAATTGGATCCTTTGGTGTTTTGGAGACTTGCTTCTTGAGTTCTTTGTGAATTTTGGACATCAGCCCTCTATGTCAGATGTAGGGTTAGTGAATATCTTTTCCCATTTTGTGGGCTGGCTTTTCGTTTTGTTGACTGTGTCCTTTGCCTTATAGAAGCTTCTCAGTTTCAAGAGGTCCCATTTATTAATTGTCGATCTCAGTGTCTGTGCTACTAGTGTTATGTTCAGGAAGCGGTCTCCTGTACCAATTCATTCAAGGGTATTTCCCATTTTCTCTTCTAAAAGGTTCAGTTTGGCTGGATTTATGTTGAGTTCTTTGATCTATTTGGACTTAAGTTTTGTACATGGTGATAAATATGGATCTATCTGCAGTCTTTTACATGCCAGCATCCAGTTACGCCAGCACCATTTGTTGAAGATGCTTTCTTTTTTCCATTGTATAATTTTGCTTCCATGTCAAAAATCAGGTGTTTGTAAGTGTGTGGATTAATATCAGGATTTTCAACTCGGTTCTATTGGTCTACCTGTGTATTTTTGTGCCAATCCCAAGCTGTTTTCAGGACTGTATAATAGAACCTGAAGTCAGGTATGGTGACTTTATTAAGTTCCTTAAGTTCCTTTATTGTACTGTTTTGGCTATCCTGGGTCCTTTGTTTTTTTCCATATAAATTTGATTATTGTTCTTTCAAGGTCTGTGAAGAATTGTGTCAGTATTTTGATGGGGATTGCATTGAATCTGTAGATTGCTTTTGGCAAGATTGCCCTTTTTACTGTGTTGGTCCATCATTCTGGTTTTTCTGTTGTTGAATGTGTTCCTATATTGTCATCCTCCCATTCCTTCTTCCAGTGGGTGTAGGTGGGGTCTCTTCCTCTCCTGGTGAGTATGGGTCCAAGGTTCTCTTCTGGTGGGTGCAAGCTGGTCCAATACTCTGATGGCTCTCATGGTGGGTGCAGGTGGGTCTGAGGCACTCCCTCTCCCGGTGGGTGGAAGCTGTACTAGCACAGTGCTGTCAGCAGATTCGTGGTTGCTTGGTCCTCCAGGGACAAGTAGACCTGCCTCCAGTCCCCAGGTCATAAGATCCCAGAGTGGGCAAGCGAAAGTCAGACCTGAGACAAGGAACAAAGCTCACCTCTCCCCTTAAGGATGTTCTTTCTTGAAAAGCAGATTGTCTTCCAATCCCATCTCTTTGTTTAAAAAATAGTCATTTCTTTTATACACCAGAACTTGTTTGGGAGCAAGACTATAGAAGCAGTGAAATAGTAAAAAATCTCTGCTTTCAAAAACTTTAATAGGAAGTTATTAAAGACTTTTATTGTGCTCTGACTTAAACAGTCTGCAAATAGTCAACAACTTATGATTAAACAATACCTTAAAGATATTCCTTTAGGCTGATACATTTTCCAAACTATTTATTTAAAGCCACTAAATATTAATAAATATTTATAAAAATTTATCAAATTTTAACTATTTGCAAATAGTTTGTTTATAGTTAAAATTCTTAGTGATTGTCTAAAATAAATAATATATCATAGAATTGGTGTATTCCTACATCTTTTTTATAATTTATTCTTGATTTTTTTCTTTAGTCTGTTCTTTTTTTCCACTTTGTGCCTGCTTTTGGCGTAAGGGAAAGTAATGAAGACTGTAGTACTCAAAAGTCTAGCAGTTATGCGGATAGGCTGTGGCTGTAGCTCATTGGCCTGCTAAGTTCTGGTCCCCTGCTAGGCTCTATGTTCTGGTCCCAGTATAAGGGAAAAGCAGAATGAATAAATAAAATAATCTTGAGGAATGGTTGTTTCTTTTCCATAGCTTACCAAAATCCACCTGGATGCCCAGAAGGTGGAGCAGATGCTGAGAGATGAGTTAGCTGACAGTGTGAACAAGGCCGTGAGCAACGCTGACAGACAGCGTATCCTAGAGCTAGAGAAGAACGAAGTAGAACTCAAAGTCGAAGTGTCCAAGTAAGTGCTCACAAGCATCTCTGCCGTTTGATGTGACCATTTGGTTGTCTTTAAGAAGATCAGTTACAGACATTCGGAACAATATCCAAACTCGTTTTTAAGGAGAGGATTAATATCGGGGCTGCCTTTTAACCAGGTGACATAACATTGAAGAGGAAATGACCTCTCAAAGCTCCCTCCCCCAGAATGTAGGGATGCAACTGTAGAAGGCACTAAAGCTGGAACAAAAACTTGCAGAGTCCACATCTTAATCACTGCCTGGTTTTCAGGGGAAGTAGAGTTAGAAGAGCTTGGGTCACTTAGTGTTTATTTTACTACCTTTAAAAAGAAAGGAATTTAGCCTTTTTATAAGGTTGATGTAAATATATAATTAATTCACATTTATTTTAATTTAAATCCCATTTCTTAGGATCCAGCTATGTGGTAGGTATTATGGAATACATTAGACATTAATTCACCATCTCTTGCTTACTGACACTGAGGTCAGAGTTTTTTCATTTGGCCTTAGGAAATATGCTCAGCCACTTTAGAGTACTAAGTCTCTGCTGAGCACTCCCTTTCTGTTGCAGCACTAAGTCTCTGCTGAGTACTCTTCTAGTCAGGTGCTCCTTCAGTGGGTAATCATGAGGAACATTGAGTTAATGTGTCAAGCACAAATAACTATTAGAATTTGTGTGTGTATGTGTATGTATGTGTGTATGTGTGTGTGTGTGGTTTACTTAAAAAATTATAGCCACTCCTTTAGAACATTGAGAGTCCTTTTGGGAAAATCGGTCATTTTTAACTCTTCCCATTATGATTGACTTTGTTTCTTTTTTCTCATAAACCTTCCTTACCTTGTAAGATGACTAATTTTTAGTTATTCATTTCGTTGTATCTTATTAACCTCCAATTATAGATGCCTTCAGATCGGTATGAGGAACCCTGATGTATGTCCCCATTCCACTTAGCTCAAATTAATCTACTCCAAACAATAGACTTTTTCATTTGTCTTTGTTATGGAAACCATAAGGGAAATTTGTGCAAGTGAATGATTTCTTTTTGTGTTTCTACTAACTGATAAGCCGAAATAAACTAATTACACTTTCCATATGTAACATAACTTTCAAACATAAAGTTATACATACAAAGCACATAATATAAAAGTTAAAATGGGAATTTTATATTGATTTTAACAGTGCAGTAACAATAGGTTAGCCTAGTTACACTGATCTACCATTTCCTAAATATAATAAAAAGAATCTTAGGAAAATGTGTGGGAACAAATGTTCCCTGACCACCTGCATTTGGAAAATGACATAAGCCATATCTTAATTTGACTTAACAGATGACATTGTCTTTCAAAATGTACATATTAGTCTGTACCATGGGTGATGGACTTCCCAGAGTAGGAGATGTTGTTAAAAATCACTTTCTAGTCTCTTAGGGAATTAGGCTTCATGAAATTGTTGAAGAGACCCTTGAACTCTTTGGAATTGATGCAAAGAAGAGATGTTATAAACCAATTGATTTTCTAGAGCAATGTTTCAAAATTAGGGCTTTTGGAGTTTGCTGATGTTCCTTAAATATTTAATCATTCTCTAGACTGAGAGAAATTTCTGATATTGCCAAAAGACAAGTTGATTTTTTGAACTCCCAACAACAGTCCAGGGAAAAGGAAGTGGAATCCCTCAGAATGCAGCTACTGGACTACCAGGTGTGTATCATGCTGCCTTCTCCGTTTAGTCTACTGTTGGCTAAGCTCACCATAGACACTGGTGGAAGCGTGGAGGGCTAAGCAGAAGTAGCTGCAGCAGTAGAAACCACTTTCTGTTAGAAAACCTCTTTATTTCTTTTTGGTTTTTTGAGACAGGGTTTCTCTGTGTTACTGTCCTGAGTGTCCTGGAGCTTGCTTTGTAGACCAGGCTGGCCTTGAACTCATAGAGATCCTCCTGCCTCTGCCTCCCAAGTGCTGGCATTAAAAGTATTCACCACTACCACCAGGCACTAGAAAACCTCTTTTATTTGAAATACATAAAGACTCATTTGACAGCTTGCTGCCAGTCACAGTTAGCATACTAAGGAGAAATAATTAATGAGTCTTTAAAACACTAAGGAAGAATAATTAATAAATATTTAACGACTGTGTTTTCTCTTCCACATACTTGTAGCTTTTTATATAACCCCATGTTCTATGGTTTTAGAGGATTAAATATATATATTTATATGAACATATATATATATATATATCAGAATTGTGCTGTTAATGTTATCTGTGAACTAAAAGACCAAACACTACTCTTCCAACTATCTTTTAAGTATGTTTCATTCTGGATCTATAGCTGGTAACTATTATGTTAAAGCAAAATTAATAGTTAGCTTTTTTAAAAAAGAAACTCCTATGCAACAGTACTTTAAATTTTTATTTAGTAAACTGTGACTTTGACCCCATGATGTACTTATTGAAAGAAACCTAAACTGTACTATAAATATGTATTTTTTTACTGTTAGGCACAATCTGATGAAAAGGCACTAATTGCCAAACTGCACCAACATGTTGTCTCCCTTCAAATTAGTGAGGCCACTGCTCTTGGTAAGTTGGAGTCAATTACATCTAAACTCCAGAAGATGGAGGCCTACAATTTGCGCCTAGAGCAGAAACTGGATGAAAAAGAGCAGACTCTCTACTATGCCCGCCTGGAAGGCAGAAACAGAGCAAAGCACCTGCGCCAAACTATCCAGTCTCTGCGAAGACAGTACAGCGGTGCTTTACCCTTGGCCCAGCAGGAAAAGTTCTCCAAAACGATGATTCAGCTGCAAAATGACAAACTGAAGATCATGCAAGAAATGAAAAACTCTCAACAAGAGCACAGAAATATGGAAAACAAAACGCTGGAGTTGGAATTAAAATTAAAAGGCTTAGAAGAGTTGATAAGCACTTTAAAGGATGCCAGGGGAGCCCAAAAGGTAGAACTTGATCTGAAATTCAGTATTCCTATGTTATGTAGTAATACTGCTCTTAATACATAGCTGTGTGAGAAATGTTCAACCTGCAGTTAAAATACTAGTTGTAATTAGCTTAGATTTAAGAAAGTGGGAATTTTGACTTTCCTAAGCAAGGATCTTTAGCAAAAATACTTTTATTATGTGTGATAGCACAGAATTTTAAACACTCTAGGAAAGGTCAAATAAATATTAAGTGTAATAATTTAAATGATTTAATAGTTATCAGTTTATTTCTACTCCACACAAATATTTTCTGTTAAGAGTTATTTGTTTTCCTATGTTTTCACTTGTACATCCTCCTTGTGTACACTTAAGAGTTTTCATAGATGTCCACATTTATTTATTTTTTTTAATCAATAATGATTTTTTTTTATTCTTTTTTTTTAAATTTAGATAAGAAACAAGGTTGCTTCACAAGTCAGTTCCAGGTCCCTCTCCTTTTCCCTCCCCTCCTCCCGTGTCCTCCCCCCATCCCCCCCCCGTAATCCCCTCATTCCCCCAGGGAGGGTGAGGCCCTCCATGGGGGTGTCCATAGTCTGTCATTTCATATAGGGCAGGGCCTAGACCCTTCCCCAAGAGTTCAGGGTGAGAGTGCACCTCACATTGTTCTATGGGAGTCCAAAGTCCGTGTGTATACTTGGTATGGGTACTGATCTGCTGCCCAAGGCTCAATAGATTACCTAGGCCTCTTCACTGACACCCAGATTCAGGGGGTCTTGATCAGTCCCATGCTGGATTCCCAGGCTGATGCCTGGGATTCAAGAGTTAACCTTTGTCTGGTCAGCTGTTTCTGGGGGCCACATTTATTTTTTAAGGTTTAGTTTTTACATCATTTGGAAAGAATTAAATGGTAAATAACATCTTGCAGTTACATCATTTTCTCTGTGTTCGAAAGACTAAGAATTTTTTTTTTAATTTTCATCTATTGGACGGATTCTTCAAAATGTGTTCTTTGACAGTTTTATATGTATATGTAGTAGATTCTGGCCACACTTCTCTCCCCACTTTATTGTAGCCTCTTCCTCACTCCCACCACTTCATCCCATAGAAGCCTTGTCCTGTGTTTTCGTTTTTATTTTGTTACTGACTAAGCATGCGCAGAACCACTCCTGTGGGCATGAGTGTGCAACTGTGCCCTGGAGCTTGAGTGTCACCAGTTGGCTATATCACTGTAGACAAGGGCGGGAATTCAGAGCAGTACCAACGTGTCAATACAAAAACAAGTGACACCGAATGAAAAACTGAAAGGAAATGCTACTGATATGTTTATGCATTTAAAAATAATTTGAAGACTTTGATTTTAATATTGTACATGTTTTAGAATAATCTTTGGAAATTCTAAATAACTTTGCCATGTCTTGGCTATAGACTAACTTCTTTCATCTTATTACAGTTTGCCATTAATTTCAATTAAAACTGTGATACAGCATTTATTTGTATATAAAATTTAGGTAATCAATTGGCATGTGAAAATAGAAGAACTTCGCCTTCAGGAACTTAAGCTAAATCGAGAACTAGTCAAGGGTAAAGAAGAAATCAAATACTTGAATAACATCATCTCTGAATATGAGCAAACAATCAACAGTCTCGAGGAAGAAATTGTTCAGCAGAACAAGGTTTCCTTTTCTATTTTGATAAGGCTATAAACATCAGATCCTTAAGTTTAAACTGTATTGCTGTGATGAAATGTTGCTCCTGTCCTATTAAGAAACAAAATAACCTGTTTCTTGCTTCTGAAACTCCAAACCTGCAAATTGACTCAGTTGTAACAGAAATCTTAAGCTTAAAAAAAAAAATGTCAGCAAACTTACTTAGTAAGTTAATTTTTATTAGATAAGTTACTTGACTTCAGGCAAGTTTCTGCTTGTTGTCATTGTTGATTTAGAACATACCCTGGGGTAGAAAAAGTAGATGTTGGAATGCCAAATGACACTCAGAAAACACACACTTGCTGTAGAGATCGGGTTCCCTGTGCTTAGGTCTTTGTTCTGTGGCATGGATACTCTGGTCACACTTTCACTGCCTAAGATCTTCCCTCACATATCTTTTCTTGCTGATGGAACCGCAAAGGCTCCTTGGTATGGAATAGTGAATTGTGCCATCAAAAATCCCTACATAAAGAGAAAGTACTTGCTTTCATTTTCTAAATAGTGTTGACCATCCATCCTCTAGTATCTTACATAATTGCTATTGCCTGTTTCTTACTTCCTGGGATGTAATTTCCTTGGCGACAGACTAGGTTTTGTTTATTGCTATGTTTGCATTACCCCAAATGGTGCTTGAAAAAATATGTTATTAGACGTGTTTAGAACGCATGGATGAATGGATTCATGACTGGATTGAAATTCTGACTTCATACCTGCCCGCCTCTGTGATCGTAGGCAAATTGGCTTGACCTCCTAAGTTTGTATCTTTTCCCATGTAATAAGAATGATGGTAGTGACAGCAAAAACTGAGGGTTAATAAGAAAATGTATATATGCCTATTACATGCTCAGCGTCGCTGTGTATGTGCCTAACACAAATGTCTTTTTTAGTTTCATGAAGAAAGACAAATGGCTTGGGATCAAAGAGAAGTTGAGCTAGAACGCCAACTAGACCTTTTTGACTGTCAGCAAAATGAAATACTCAGTGCAGCACAAAAGGTATAAAAATGACTAGTTGTATTTGCTGCTTCTCAGAATTAGGTATTTTTTTAATTGCAGGGTATATGCTTTAGGTGAATTGTCATGAGTTTCTTTGTTTAAAGAGAAGTGAAATTTAGCTTATGATTTTTTCCATACATTTAAAAGATATAATATTGTCTTCTCAGTACTACACTGCTGTTTTTAAAGCATGTTATTTTTTAATAGTTTGAAGAGGCTACAGGATCAATGCCAGACCCCAGCTTGCCCCTTCCAAACCAACTTGAAATTGCTTTACGAAAAATTAAGGAGAATATTCAAACAATTCTTAAAACACAAGCCACTTGCAAGTCACTAGAAGAGGTAACTGGAAGAATTTGTATTTTAATTGGTATATTATTGGGCATGTTTATGGGATTTTTCTAAACAATATTTACCAGTGGCAATAGCATATAAAATGGTAGATTTGTTCCTAGTTCCTTTTTGTTGTTGTTGTTGTTGTTGTTCTTATGTACTATTTCTAATAGCTGATATGAATAGTCCATACAGGTATTTGAATTTACCATTCATTTATTTACTGTATTCTGCTTGTGGGAACACTAAACATAAGCAAGGGTAATTAAAAACATTGAATTGTAGCTTTTTGAACAGTATATCACCTTCCCTTAACTGCTGTTTTCATTATTATCTATTTTTATTATTTATTTTGTAGTTTACATTGAATATCCTTTAGTTTCTTTGTTCATTTTATTTGTGAATAGGTAAAGTTGAAACAAATGAAGTTATTTAATCTAGGTACAGAATTTGATTAATAGGTGGTCAAATCAGTTCATTAAATTATTTATAAAATAATTAAGTTGAATATTATTTAAATTTATTTTATGTCTAAATATTAGTAAGTGCACTTAAGAAAACTTTATTGTGTAAACTCCTGCCTATCTAATCAGTTTAGGAAAAAAATTTAACATTTTTGGTTTATGTGAAATACTACTAATTTACTAGTTTTGAAATATCTGCTGTAGTCTTACTGAAGATTAAGCCTTCTTCTCTGCTTTGGGATGGTCAACAGCAGTGATTCACTTGCTTGTTCTGTGAAATCCCAGTCATATGTCAAGTAACTCCTTTGCATTAGTTTGCTATTGCTCTGTCACTTCTCACATCACAGGGGTGGTTTTATTGCATTTTCTTCTAGTACCACCACTCTTTTCTATTCCTCAACTACAAATTATAAAATTAATTAATTATATTTTGCTTTCAATCTAACAGTTTTAACAAGTGATATCCTATAAGTAAATTAAAGTACATATGTGAATAAATATACTGTCACATAAAAATAATAAATATAATTTTATTATCGAATGACTATTATAACTTGTGAGGAATAAAGGGAAACTGCTTATAATTCTAACTGACATTCATATGAAGCATTTTTTTCATATGAAGCATTTTAAAGGACAAGCTGAATGATAATAATTTATTGTGACTTTATTGTAGAAACTAAAAGAAAAGGAATCGGCATTACAGTTGGCAGAGCAAAATATTCTGTCAAGGGACAAAGTAATCAATGAACTGAGGCTTCGATTGCCTGCCACAGTTGATCGAGAGAAATTGATAGCTGAGCTAGACAGTAAAGAGCTGGAGCCAAAATCCCATCACACGATGAAAATTGCCCATCAAACCATTGCTAACATGCAGGCCAGATTAAATCAAAAGGAAGAAGTACTGAAGAAATACCAACATCTTCTGGAAAGAGCCAGAGAGGTATTTTGTTATGCTGTTTTACTTAGTGTGTTTTTCAGTCAAATGCCATGTGTTTTTTTTTTCTCTTAAAGTGGTAGTTCATTTTTGGTTTCAGATGATTTTGTTTAGGAATTGTTGCTTTCACGTGACTGGATTACAAATCTGTTAGTAAAACTGACAGTTTGTTTAAATGTATCTTCCTTCTGTGAGCTGAAGTAAACAAAAGTATCTGTTATAGTAAATGAAGCTGGATGGTTTGGGAACTATCAGGTGAATTTATGTGTAAAAATTGAAACAATAAGGTAAATGATGTTGCCACAGGGGTGATCTGTGGAGACCTAATTTTCTAAAACAGTAGAAGAGAGGTCTAGTATATTAAAATGTTCCTAGTAACAAATTAAGGGTGACTGATGCTGTTATTTTAATGTTAAGAATAAATTGTAAGACTTGAGTGATCAACATGAGCACATGCTAGCAGACATGTATAATGAACTAATATACATACATAGGCATGAAGAGATTATGTCTTGTTTTGAGGTTTTAGAAGATTAAAGGTTAGCTGAAATATTTTAGAATATGAATCTTTTTCATTCATAATTTATAGTACAGCTTCCACTTCTTGTGAAACAGGAGCAAAGAGAAATTGTTAAGAAGCATGAGGAAGACCTCCATGCTCTTCATCATAAACTAGAGCTACAGGCCGATAGTTCATTCAATAAATTCAAGCAGACAGCTCAGGTAAGGTTCTGAGAACTTTGCAAACCCATTGAGATTTGAGATCACTTAATTTCCAATTTACCTCTTCATATCTCACAGTAGAACATAGCCCACCTTAGTGTTGACAAAATAATCTCATGACAACATGTCTGATCATGAAAACATCGTCATTTTATTATTATTATTATTATTTTATTTTTTTTAGAAAAGAGCTTGCTTCACATGTCAATCCCAATTCTCTCTCCCTCCCCTCTTCCTGCCCCGCCCCCACCAGCCCCCCAGCCTCCCACCCTATCCCCACTTCCTTCCACATAGGGGATATCCAGAGTCTGTCATTTTGCTCAGGGCAGGGTCCGGGCCCTCCCTCAAGAGTCCAGGCTGAGAGAGCATCCCTCTTTGTGTTATGGACACATGAAGTCTGTTTGTATGCCAGGGATAAACACTGATCCACTGCCCAGGGCCCCATAGGTTGCCCAGGCCTCCTCACTGACTCTCACACTCTGGGGGTCTGGATCAGTCCCATGCTGGCCTCCCAGCTGTCGGTCTGGGGTCCAAGAGCTCCCCCTTGTTCAGGTCAGCTGTCTCTGCTGGTTTCGCCAGCCCATTCTTTGTCAATTTGCTCATCACTCCCCTCTCTCTGTCACTGGGTTCCAGGAGTTCAGTTCAGTGTTTAGCTGTGGGTGTTTGCCTCTGCCTCTATCAGTCACTGGATGAAGGTTCTGGGATGGCATATAAGGTCGTCAGGAAAGGGCATTTAAGGTAGCCTCTTAACTATTGCTTAGCTTGCCAGTTGGTGTCAGCCGTGTAGATTGCTAGAGATCTCACTCATGTCAGATCTCTCTTCAAACATATGACTCCCTGCATTATGGTATCTCTCATCCTGTTCTCCGCTATTCTAGCCCCAACTCAACCTTCCTGTTCCCCCATGACCTACTCTCTCTTCCTCTTCTCCCCCTTTCTTCTTCCCAGCTCGCAATCCTCAGTAATTGTCACTCTTTATAGAATCATATTTATATTCCTTTACCATGAACTCAAAGCCTCCTGTTATGTCCACTCTGTTTTCAAATTCCATCCACAAATGTATTTGTATTTATTGTCCAAGTTGTGAATTAACCTCCTACTTGCCCGCTTTTGATCATTCTGTTCTATATGTGTGAAAAGTGGCCCTTCTTCTCTTAACCTGCAGCATAAGGCTCCGTAACCCTCTCCTCATTACTCCGCCATCATAACCCTCCATTGCACTCACATACTGGCTAAAATTACAGGGTATACAGAGATAGTCTATGTCCTATCTTCCCCAATCCTTCTTTTCCTCTTAAATTGTAGACTTCATTGCTTCATAAAGAAATGTACAGGATGAGTCATAGTCTCAGATTGCACCTACTCATTACTAATTCATTCATATTTCATAGGATTTAATAAAACAGTCTCCTGTTCCAGTGCCTACTGACAAGCATTTCATTCGCCTAGCTGAAATGGAGCAGACAGTGGCAGAACAAGATGACTCTCTGGCCTCACTTCTGGCCAAACTAAAGAAAGTATCAAAAGATTTGGAAAGACAAAAAGAAATCACTGAGTTAAAAGTCAGAGAATTTGAAAATACGAAATTACGGTAAATCTTAGAAATCTTTTATAAGTGAACAAATAATAGGCTCTGATGAAGCCTGTGTGAGCACTGTCATAAGACCTTGATATGTATCAGCCCATTCTGTGTGCAGGATTACCTGTGTCTCATTGTGTCACATTAGGAATAAGACCCTGGGAAAGCGCAGTGGATGTAGGAAAATCACAGTTTGTAATGAGTCACTCTACTCAAAAGTCAATTTATCTTCTGTAGCAGCTTATTTTTAACCACTATCCACTTCATCCTCTGTAAATGAAAATGGCAGTGTTTACTTGGGCTCCTTCAGAATGGTTAGATGAAGTCTATGTACAGAAGTCTATGTACAGAAGTAACTTGAAGATGGTAAATTCACATATAACCTGCTTTTGTTTAAACATCTAAGGGTATGTGATAAAACAGAAGCTCAATAAATGTTTGTTAAATAAAGCTACAAAAAACTATAATGTTAGAGTGCTTGGAACATTCTGTACATTAAATATTGTAATTTAGCTGGATGGTGGTGGCGCATGCTCAGGAGGCAAAGGCAAGCAGATCTCTGTGAGTTCGAGGATAGCCTGTCTACAGAGTAAGTTCCAGGATAATTAGCCAGGGCTGTTACATGGGGAAACCCTGTCTCAAGAAACAAACAAAAAAGGATTATGACCATTGTTCAGCCCATTTTTAGTAATAGACCTTTAAACCTAAAACTGGTATAAGGTTATTCAGTTTCTGATCACAGAATCATCTTCCTGGGCCTCAGTTTATATCTGATGAAAGTGAGAATGTTAGTCCACTAAGATTCTATTCCCTTTCTGATGGTCTGTTAGAACTTTGACTGTTTACTCTTGGACCCAAGATACTGCTCAAAGTTACCACATAATATGACAAATGATGTAATTTCTGAAATAACTGTATAGTCTTTTAAAACTTGTAGTTATGACTTTATACATTTTTAAAGTTGCTTTGGTTTTTTAAATCAAAATAAAATGCCCAGTCTGGCAAATACATCTGCTTGTCTCTCTTAGGCTGCAGGAGAAGCACTCAGGGGAGGTGAAGAAAGTGCGAGCGGAAGTGGAGGACCTAAGGCGTGCCCTTGTCCACGCACAGAAGGAGTCCCAGCGTGTGAAGTCTGAGCTCCAGGCTCAGAAAGAAGCCAACTCAAGAGCTCCAACAACCACAATGAGGAATCTAGTGGACAGGCTAAAGAGCCAGTTGGCCTTGAAAGAGAAGCAGCAGAAGGTGAGTGGCAGATGGCCGCTCGAGAGAAAGGCCTAGAGGATCTGGAGATCTGGGAAGGCGCTGGCTAGCATCACTATCACAATCAAGAGTGAACTTTACCTCACGCTGTTGCAAAGGACAGTTCTTTCTCATGGCGCTGCAGTGGTAGTGCTATTTTCAAATGCAGATAAAGTACAATTCATCTTTTTATGTATAGTGATTTGTTGAACACCTGTATGGAAGGAAATCTTAACTTCATTAATTTCTCATTTTCCATTGGATTTTCATGTAGCTGAAACAATTTTGAACAATTTAGGGGGTTGGGGTGACATGATGGTTAAAAGGAAGAAGGATTTAAGAAGGTGGCCACAGTAACTTTGTGGGAAGATTTAATCCCATGTAGTAGTTTTGCTGTTTTGTGATTATTTATCTCATACTTGGTAAATGGTTTAAAAGATGCTGCATTTTCCCACTTTAGTTCATGAATTTTATGGGCAAATATTTTAAACAATGTCCTATAACGTTATCACCTGCCTTCAGAAATTTCACATGAATGGATGCACAAAGTGAATATTTTTCTAAGTGAAGGGTTTATTGCTAATATATAACCTTGAAAATTTTTAAACATAACATGCTTTGTTTTGTAATATGAATTGCTTTGCAGAGTGCTTGGTTCTGAAAATAATTGTCTAGGTTTTTAATCATTTGTGAAAAATTGAGCAAAATTACAAAGGATATTCATTTGAAAAAGTTCAGGAGTTTGCAAATTTTATTTAATTAAATTCTTTTTGCTAATCTTTCATTTCTTTTTTGAGACAGGTCTCACTCTCACCAGGCTGGCCTAGAACTCACTAGGTGTAAACTGTCCTCAAGCTCACTGTTATCTTCTGTCTCAGCCACCTCGGTGCTGATGTGATCATAGGCATGGGCTACAGTGTCCTACTTAAAACCACTCAGGATTTTGCATCTACTAGAAAAGTAGTAGAAAGTAATGCTGCCTATTGTGCCTTTTATTTTGCTCATATACAATGTTAATTTTCCACTAAAAATGTTTGTGTATTGCAATTTTTAGGCCCTTAGTCGAGCCCTGTTGGAGCTCCGGGCAGAAATGACAGCAGCAGCTGAAGAACGTATTATTGCTGTAACTTCTCAAAAAGAGGCAAATCTCAACATTCAGCAAGTTGTTGATCGACATACTAGAGAGCTAAAGGTGAGCATCAGCACAGGTGTTAATATGGCCAGATGTGTGATTGGTTCAGAGAATGTTTTTTGAGTTGTTGTCTAATACACACACGGTTTTAAACAGTATATATCTTTGTTACTCATATGTTGACTATCATCTGAGGATTTTGAAAGATAGGGTACTATGAGTTATGCTTACTAATAGAACTCATCTAAGAAACATTTTATTTAGAAAATTTTAAAGCATTTTTAGTACATCTTAAGTATTACTGGATTCAAGTCCAAAATAGGCAAGCACTCCACCACTGAGCTAAACTTCCAACCCTCAACATTGTTTAAAACTGTTTTGTTGTAATAACTTCAGTTTCATAGCAAAATTAAGAAGAAAAGAGGTCTCACAAACACAACAAATGTATGTAGCTTCTTCCATAACTGCTACACCCTCATCCCCACCCAGTATGGCACTAGTATTTTTATCAATAGCACTGCCTGGCTCTGTAGCCATTTATTCCACCAGATTAATTTTACCAACATACTTTATTGTTTTCTTTTCTGGTCATTAAGTGTAGTGATTTAAACTTTTTTTTCCAAAGTATGTATTTCATAAAAACTCTCGGTTTCTCTTTTTCCCCCCAAAATTCCTTTTGTGATAAGGTGAAAAATATAATTTTTTTCAGTTTTATTTACTTTTGATTTTCTTCATATATACATTTTACTACTATTAAGCACTTTGGAAAGCAGATTTTTCAAAAAATTTTAAAACAGCTTATTATACTTTTCAATCTTGTGGTCATAGTTAATAATAAAAAATATGTTAACTAAGTAAATGTATAAAAGGAAGAGTTCATTACTTGTATAGTTTTAGTATTTTTTTATTCATATGAGATGCTGTTTCTGATTTTTTTCTCTTTTTCCAGTCTTTATCTAAGATATAATTTTCTTTTAAAAACATTATGATAATATAAATCTGTATTACTAATAATTTATTCAATAAAACACTATATCAGGTAGTAGTGGCCCACACAGTCAAGTGGATCTCTGTGAGGTCAAGGCCAGCCTGTTCTACAGAGAGAGGACAGTTCCAGGACAGCCAGACTTACACAGACACACCCTGTCTCAAAAAACCAAACAGACAAACCAAACCAAACAAACAAACAAAAAAACCCATTTACACACCTAGTTGAATAAGCCCTTACAGAACAAATAATAACATGTTTCTACCACTGTCTTTGTTCAGAACAGCTGAGAATTCCTGTGCTTACATTCATGGCTCCTGTCTCAGGCTGTCCTCCCATGTCTTGTTTTCACAAAGTCATTCACAAAGTACTGAAGTCAGAGATGTATCTTATGTTTGTCTTATGCTTAAGAATCTTTAAAACATTGCTGTGTATTTGGAAGGTACTGGGTTTTTATTATTTTACCTATAATGAAATTTTTTAAATAAAATTTTGTTTTAGCTGTTTGTTGAAAATGATTTGTTTTAGGATAATGCTTGTTTTTTTTGTTAGAAATTTGTTTTATTTGAGGTGAAAGGGGAAAATATCTGCAGTTTCTAGTTTTCTCTCGTGTGCTATATTTAAAATTTTATATTGGAATTACTGTTTCTAATGCATATTAATAGTATAACTTCAGTTTCCTGTTGCTTTATAATTAATACTTTAAGATTTGCGAATAACACTTTTATCTCTTATTAGTCACAAATTGAAAATTTAAATGAAAATCTTTTAAAATTGAAAGAAGCTCTTAAAACAAGTAAAAACAAAGAAAATTCACTAGCTGATGACTTAAATGATTTAAATAATGAACTGCAAAAAAAGCAAAAAGCTTATAATAAAATCCTTAGAGAGAAAGATGGGATTGATCAAGAAAATGAAGAACTGAGAAGACAGATTAAAAGACTGTCCAGTGGACTACAGGTAATATTGCATTTAATTCAGATAATATATTTGATCTGTAATGTATGAGACATGATGCTTATTCAGTTTACAGTATATGCTAAAACTGCCTTTCAGTTTCTTTTACCTTTTTTTCTCTTAATGAGATTTCTACTCTTCCTTTATTAATTTTTTTTTTCATTTTACATACTAACCCCAGTTCCCCCTTCTTCCCCTTCTTCTGCCCTCTCACACCCCTCTTCCCATCTCCCATCCACTCCTCATAGGGGGTAAGGCTTTCCTTAGGCAGTCAACAAAGTCTGACATAACAAGTTGAGGCAGGACCAAGCCCTTACCCTCTGAATCAAGGCTGAGGAGGATATCCCACCATAGGAAATGGACTCCAAAAAGTCAGTTCATGAACGAGGGATAGATCCCGGTCCCACACTCCACTGCCAGTCCTCCCTCCTCCCAAACTGATCAAGTCACATGACTGTTGCCCACATTCAGAGGTCCTAGTTCAGTCATATTATGTTCCCCAGTTATTAGTCTATAGTTTGTGAGCTCCCACTAGAGTCCTCCTTTTTGCCTAGCTTCTCTGGGATGGTGGATTGTAGCCTCTTTATCCTTTGCTTTGAGTCTAATATCCACTTACGAGTGGGTACATACCATGTTTGTCTTTCTGTGTCTGAGTTACTTCACTCAGGATGTTTTTTCTAATTTCATCCATTTTCCCACAAATTTCAAAGTGTCATTGTTTGTTTGTTTCATTCTTTTCTTTTTCTTGCTTTCTGTTTGTTTGTTTTGTTTCAAAATAGGGTTTCTGTATACAGCCCTGGCTGTCTTGGAACTCACTTTGTACCAGGAACTTAAGAGATTCACCTGTCTCTGCCTCCCATGTTCTGGGATGTAAAGGCGTGTGCCACTACCACCCAACTCTTTGATTAGTACCTTGAGTGACCTCTGTTGTATTTCTTGTCTACAGTGGGCCATATACAGTGGTAACTGCCTTATAGTGACAATCATGGTTATGTAGAAAACATGATTAATGTTAGCCTCACAGAATTTCTGTAATTGGAATATTTATTGTGTCCTTTGATATTTATTTGTCAAGTAGCATTATATCTTAATGTTTTCAGAGCAAACCTCTGCTAGATAATAAACAGAGTTTAATTGATGAACTTCAAAAGAAAGTTAAAAAACTTGAAAGCCAACTGGAAAGAAAGGTGGATGGCATAGACATAAAACCCGTGAAAGAAAAGGTATGTGAAATGTCCTCATTAATAGTTTTAAATAAGTGAAACATGTATTGATAGAGAATTTCCTAAAACACACTGTTTATGGTCCTGAATAAAGCTGACAAGTACAAGATGGGTTTTGACCTTTAGGAAGTTACATTCCACTTGAGGACACAGGTGCAGTGCACCTCCATGACACTTCCTGATATTAGAGTACTGTCTGTCTCTTCACATCCTGTGTATCCCATGAGTTTGCCATTCCTCCCCATCATCTCATCTTGCTCCGTCCCAAAGGGTCCCATTACATGCTGCAGAAGTATTTATGTATATCATACCTCATTCTCCCTGATAGTATTTATATTTCTGGAGGTCAGATTATTCTTTGAATACATTAAAAAATTGTCAATCAAGAAAGATTTTTTAGTTTTAAAAGGATACTTATTAGCTGATTTGAGTAAATAAGGTTAGAAACTAATTTGGAGAAAGCATATTGAAAGGTCCTTAGTATTGGATACTAGTCTCTAGTATTGGAGGAGATTGTTTGAATTTGACATCAAACCAGCCTTTTTAGACAAGACATCCCATTTATAGTAAACATGGTGTTTCATAATATTTCCTGTATTATTCTAAATGAAATTTGAAGTCAGTATAAGCTTCTATAATTTCAGTAATATTATAAATGTACTAAATGTAATTTGTAGAAGTATAAAAATAATTTATGAATGAACATGATAATACATTATTCATATGTCAACAAGTATGTGATCTACACTAGAAAATAAGGAAAAAGAAGGAAAAGAAGGTAACCATTTGTTTGTACCTTATGGAGCATTAATATGAATTTAGAGCTCCAAATATAGACTCTGTATATACCTTGTAAAATGTGTTCTAATGGCAGTTTATATCATCTAAATCATATTGCTGCTTGTTTTTTAATTTCCAACATGATAAACAGTTCTTACTAGTATTTTCAGTAAAATAATGTCTAGCCTTTATCTTTAAAAAGCAATTGTAGGGCTGGAGAGATACCTCAGTGGTTAAGAGCACTGACCTGTTCTTCCAAAGGTCCTGAGTTCAATTCCCAGCAACCACATGGTGGCTCACATCCACCTTGAATGAGCTCTGATGCCCTTTGCTGGTATGCAGGCAGAAGATTACATAATAAATAAATAATAGCAATTGTATTCTTACTAAATTCAGTACATAGGGAAAATATGAAAATGTTTGGTGCTACTATAGTGAAATGGAATTAAATTCTTATTCCATACAATTGTGCGAACTGTTTTAACTATATAAGCATCCAGCAGGACTTGTTCAGAACATGGGACAATTGTGTATCACACAACTTTCTTTCTTAGCTTTTATTGTAATACAAGCAACCATAACACTACCATCACTCTTACCAGATAGCTTACACCTATAAGACCTGAGATCCTATCTTTTCCAGTTCTTTTTTTTTAATTATTTTACTTATTTTTAAATTTAAATTTAAATTAGAAACAAGGTTGCTTCACAAGTCAGTTCCAGGTCCCTCTCCATTTCCCTCCCCTCCTCCCATGCTCTCCCCCCCCTACACCCCCAATATCCCCTCATTTCCCCAGGGAGGGTGAGGCCCTCCATGGGGGTGTCCATAGTCTTGTCATTTCATCCAGGGCAGGGCCTAGACCCTCCCCCAAGAGTTCAGGGTGAGAGTGCATCTCTCATTGTTGAATGGGAGTCCAAAGTCCATTTGTATACCTGGGATAAATACTGATCTACTACCCAAGGCTCAATAGATTACCTAGGCCTCCTCACTGACACCCTCTTTTCCAGTTCTTAATAGCACAAGTAAACTTACTCAGTATTTTTTATATCTTTTTCTTGTATATATTGCCACCTCCAAAGTTTGTTCACAAAGAAAAGATTTGCAAACGTCTACCCTTTTTTCTGGTATACACATCTCTCTGCTCTTTGTTTCTAGAGTAGTAGCTGGCATATGGGCAGCACTAAATAAATACAGGTTGGATGGTAAAGTAATGTGTATTTAAACCAGAGTGAGTTACAGGTATTAGGAACTCATCATGCTATAACTGGACTGCAGTGGTCATTCACACACAATTATTTTTTAGAAGCTTAAGAAAATCATGTAGTTGAGACACGGGTATTTCACTTAACTTCTTAAGGAAGTCAGAATCTTCTCTGAAACTTAACTATCAAGTAATGCATAAGTCCTACTTAAATTGAAGGTCTTTTTCCTAATAGTGTACCATACCTAAAGATTCTAGAACTTTTATAACAGAATGTACTATTTATTATTATCTTGGAAGTATAGTTTTAAATGTGGATCAGTATTTGAAATGAGATTAAAAATAACATAATTTTATAGTCTATTTGTTACTGTTTCCAGAGTGCTAGGGAAGAATTAATTAGGTGGGAAGAAGGAAAAAAGTGGCAAACCAAAGTAGAGGGAATGCGGAACAAATTAAAAGAGAAAGAAGGGGAAGTCCACAGTCTCATGAAGCAGCTGCACACCCTAAAGGAGCTTTTTGCCAAGTGAGTTAAACTTCATTATAGAGCAAATACTATGTAGATTTTTATTTTGAAAACATGTAGTTTATTTTACTTAATACATGACAAGTTTGCTAGTTTAGGTTATTATGATTCACATTCTATTGTCTCTAAAATGTGGTGTAATATATCTTAACTTTGAATGAATTATCTATGATTTTCAAATAAATTCATACCAAATGCAAATGATGCACTTTCTGCATATGAGTATGATGATGACTGAGCTGGGATTTAAAAAGCGGAACAAAAATTGTAAAAGATACATTTTTATCATTCCTTTTTAAACTCTACAGAGCTGATAAAGAAAAACTTACATTGCAGAAGAAACTGAAAACAACAGGCATGACTGTTGATCAGGTTTTAGGAGTTCGAGCTTTGGAGTCAGAGAAAGAGTTGGAAGAATTAAAAAAGAGAAATCTGGACTTAGAAAATGACATATTATACATGAGGTAATTTATTGCATGGAATTAGCATCTGTGTTGAAGAATTGCTGACTTGTCCACATGGAAATATAAGGATATTGCTTCAAGTATGCGTTTTATTGTTATCTTTTTCATGCATATGCAGCTCTAGAGTAAACTTGGGCCATAAGGAACTCCTTGCCGTTCCTCTCTGGAACTTCCCATGCCATCTTTGTGGTACTTCCAGTGTCTCTCAACATTGTTATTTGGATAGAAGTGGGCTTTAGTCAAACTCTTATGTTGTATCCTTTAACCACTGAACACATGTACCTAAGCAAGCATGAGGCAGGTAGAAAGGAGCAGCAAAGGGAATTATTCCATCCTCCAAATTAAAGCAGTTGGAACATCTAAATTTTTTGGGGGGAGGGTTGTTTTCTTCAAGACAGGGTTTCTCTATGGCTTTGGAGGCTGTCCTGCAACTAGCTCTTGTAGACCAGGCTGGTCTCGAACTCACAGAGATCTGCCTGCCTCTGCCTCCCGAGTGCTGGGATTAAAGGCTTGAATTTTATTAATCAAATGGATATATTAAATAGAGTAAGGATATGACATAGACAAATTCTTAGTAATGATATAGAGACAAGAGTGGATATTATTGTCTTCCCGTTAAGTGTGCATTTATTTTTAAGTGGAGAAACAATCCTGGACAATAAGGTTTCACAGAGTAAGATGGGTCTTGTAGCCAAGTTTGGACTTGATATGACAACATTTACTGAATAAGTTAGAGCCTTGTTGGATCTTGAAGCTGTTTGGGAATGAAATAGATGGTATACAGTTACTATGTAATGTTTTTAAAAGAGTGGGCATTTCAGCTGTTCTACATAATTCCACTTAAACAAATACATGCACTTTAAAAGTGTTGATGTGTGCCTAGCGGGATATACTTTAGCTGATGGTATAAAGAAGTCTTTGGTGGATGCCTGATAGTAAAGGATTCTTTTAATATAAAATATGATGTCCTAATTTATTTCTTGTGAACTTTGGAAATTTAAAATTTTAAGTTATAATGTTGATACACATGTATATTTTTTCTTTTCTCTATCACAATATAATAAATTTGAGAAAAAGTAAGGTTTGTATAATAGTCTGATTGTTGTTCATAGGACACACCACGCTCTTCCAAGAGACTCTGTTGTGGAAGACTTACATTTACAAAATAAATACCTTCAAGAAAAGCTTCGTACTTTAGAAAAACAACTTTCAAAAGATTTGTATCCCCAGTCTGTGGTAAGTATACATCTCCTACCCCAACCCTCCCAGTGTTAAAGGCATAAAGAGCAATCGGATTCTTCCATTATCTGAACAAACATCAGATCCTCCTCATTGATGTTGATACAACACTTAAACTAACCAATGCTGAATCATTTCTTTAATCCTATCTGATATGACTTAACAGTGGTTAACTTTAAATACTTATGCTTTGTCTAAACCATCATTGCAAAGATTCCTAGCAGTTCCAGCTCAAGTTAAAGATGCTGCTGTGTATCATATTTGTAAGTAATGATTAGCAAATTTGCTGTATTCCGATTTCCTCTCTGATGTGGTCCATCTGGCTTCCACCATTTGTATTAGTGTTGACAAATATAGAAACAATGTTTTTCATAAAAATCCAACAGCAAAAACATACCAGCAAAACTAAGACATGAACAGACAAAATGCCACATAATAGTTTCAGAACCAAAACTAAGAAAACACAAATGTCACTGATTTATGTCACTGGCTATCTACAAATCTTCTGTGGTATTACAGAAATGTTGTGTGTAGGTCCCACTGAATTAAGTATGGAACAATACTAAATAGTAAATCAAACAAATTTATCTCAATTCTATGGATTTTTTTAAGTTGAATTATGAAAATGTATCAGTTCCTAAAGGTAAAATTAATAATTTTGTGAAAATGAAAATCTGAAACATAAAAAGGAGAACAAGAATAGGGTTGGCAAGGATGGGAAAATAAAGACATGTAGCCAAAAATGTCAGTCATATAACATTGGTCAAGGTGGCCCTGCAGAGGAGGACCATGATGCCGCTGCCGCCATACTGGTGCAGTGCACTAGTGTAGGAGCTGCACAGGCCAGATAGAAACTCAGTTGTCAGTCCTGAAAAACACCCTGATCTGAGAATACTGCAGTCCTTTACGTCACTAACAGAATCTACTTATGAAAAGTCATATGCATACATAGTGACAATCTAACAAGGAATAGAATTTGTAAAAAGAAAAATACCTATTAATAAATAGCTTTCCATAAATTTGGACAATTTACACAATTGCTTTTAGCTTTATTTTTAGAAAATAAGAGGGAAAAGTTGCAAATTTATTATATAGTAATTGCATTACTAAGAAACATGCTAAAATACTTTCACATGAAATCTTGAGATATTCTCTTCTGTAAGTCATAATAAATTGTTATGAAGCAGTTATTGGTTCTGTTATCATTAATCAGATCAACTATCTACCAGTGATAGACAAACTTCAGGAAGAGAAAATAGTTTAGAAGAGTTAAACATTTCCGTGTTTGATGGAGACCTTAAAGCCGTCGGAGATGCGAACATAAAGCTGTGTAAATGATAGGATTTATTTTTTAGTAGACTGATGATAAAAGAGCCTGAATACATGCTTAGGCCATATAATAAATAAGAGAGGACCTGTTACTTAGTATGGCTTATGCCCATCACCAAAGATTGCATCTTTTTCTTGTCATTGCATTTATGCGTATATGTCCTGTAAACAAAAAAATTGAATCATTGCTGCCTTCCTGCCAGTGTTCTGCTACATGTCTCATGAGATTCATAGGTCTATACAGAATGCTTTTAACTTTCTGTCCTTTTTATTTTTTATATTTGGTCTAAGAAAACGTATGTTTCTTTATTTCAAATAAATATGTATCACAAGTACAGTAAAATAACTTGAAGCATATTATAAAGGAAGGTATAAAGATCTATTGATACAATGTTACTTTTAGTAGAATACCTGGGGAGCTCCTGGCTTCGGAGCCCACCATGGTGGTGAGAAACAGCCGAAGGCACAATGATGTCTTCCATGGATTTCAAACTTCACTTAATACAATCCTAAAAGTAGATGATAATCTAATTTTCTAGCCTACTTAGAATCATTTTAAAGATTCTGCTTTCAAAAAACATAAAATTTAGAATAAAAACAAGCATAATAATGACCTGGGATATATTCATACCTAGAAAAAAATGTAAGTTCAGAATTTAGTGTATTTCAGAGGACAGAATTGATAACTGTGTTTCAAAAAAAATTACTGAATGCCTCCTGGAGGAAGAAATTGAAGTGGTTATAGACATAAATTTTTAGGCTCTACTTGACTTTGCTGTTTAATTTTTAGAAATTACCTTTTCTGGTGGCTTTGTAGCCTGTCTTACTTGGTTTTGATCTCATGTAATGTATGCCATTTTCCCCCAACATTCCTTTTAAAAATTCCTTTTTGGTAATGTTTCCTTATTGAGTATATGTCTGTGGCTTTTGTTAAATGTTGAATATATTCTAAATTTCATTTTCAGACTTCAGAAGTGGAGTCAGATGATCACTGTCAAAAAGAACAAGAACTTCAGAGGGAAAACTTGAAGTTGTCTTCTGAAAATATTGAACTGAAATTTCAACTTGAACAAGCAAATAAAGATTTGCCAAGACTAAAAGTAAATATAATTTTATTATAATGCCTACATTCACCACACACTTAAATTTCCTTATATCACTTTCTGAAATGAATATTCATAAGATATCTTTGTGATGTTACGTTATTTATATATTTCCTCATTTAAGAAGCATTTTTTGGGTCCGTTTATATGAGACATGCTATTTAGTTGCTATAGTTAGCAGTCATTAAAAATCCAAGCATTAATAGAACATCTTCTGATGATGAAGATACCAATCAACAAGCAAACAAGTTAGTGTGTAAACAGCGCAGTGCTGAGGGAAATTAGGAAGCATGATTAGCAGAAAGGGCTTAGAGTAATGAGAGCTTGCATAGAAGGACTGGTGGAGAACGGAGGAGTTGGGTCATATGGACACTAAGAATTCTGTACGATAGAAGGTTGTACTGATAAGAATCCCAGACAATAGAAGTGTCAAGTTCATGTGATCCAAGGTAAGAAATATAAGAAATTTCTTGTATTTCATTCATAATTGTAATAACTAAAATGTAATTGTTTCTCTAGAAGTGTTACTTCTAAATTACTTATGTTAATTCTTTTTATCTCTGGTTTTCTACATTTTGCCATGTTGTGGTGGTAGGTTTTTTTTTTATCTTGACTAGCAAATTGTTTCAGCTTTTTTTTTCTAATGAAGAACATTAGTATTCTGTCATTCTCACTAGTAGAGATACTATTAAACTTCGTGCTTCTCATTCTGATTTATACTCTGAGAAAACCAGTGCAACGACCTTTTTCTGTGCAAGGTATCCATGTATGTGCATTACGGAATAACAACTCAAGAGTTCTTAAATGGGTATATGCATTCTAGTATTTAATTTAACATGTTGTCTTAGTTGGGGTTTCTATTACTGTCATAAACATGACCCAAAGCAACTTGGGGAAGAAAGGGTTTATTTCATTTTAGACTTCCACATCACAGTTCCTCAAGGAAATCAGGGCAGGAACCTGGAGCAGGAGCTGAGGCCAAGGGGGAAAGCTGCTTCCTGCCTGCCCCTCACAATTTTCTCAGCTGGCTTTCTTGTAAAAACTCCAGGACCACCTGCCAAGGTTGACATCATCCACAGTGAGCTGAGTCTTCCGCATCCATCTTTAATTAAGAAAACACACCACAGCCCTGCAGCCTTCGTGGAGGCATTTTCTCAGTTGAGGGTCCTTCCTCTCAGGTGACTCTAGCTTGCGGCAAGCTGACAAAAACTAGCCAGCATATGTCTTACATCAGAATTTCTTTTGAGACACAACTGTTGAGTTTGGTCCTATAGTTGAGAATTTTAATTCAGATAATGTTTATCCCTTTTTCAAGGGATATTATATTGTCATAACAGATTGCTGTTATTTTCTTTTACCTTTTAGAATCAAGTAAGAGACTTGAAGGAAATGTGTGAATTTCTTAAGAAAGGAAAAATGGAAGTTGAACGGAAACTTGGTCAGGTCAGAGGGGTGAGTTTATGTTTTTGAGGAAGCTAGAGCCAAAGATTTAAGCTCCTATTGATTTTGTATTGTAGAGTGGTATAAATTGAAGCACTCATGATACAAAAGTTCATTTGGTAATAAAATTATGACATATATGATGCATTCTGTGAAAATACTGAGAATAGTAATAGAAAGTACTTAGAACAAATATTGATAGTCAATATTTGTTTCAAAGTGAAAATATGTAATCATGTATGTACAATAAATATACATATAACTGTCTTTTTATAAGGAGTACAAAAATCGTAAAGAAAGAATATTTGACACTTTGAAGGTATATATTAAAGTTTTATGTAAATATTTTAGGATTTTTCATTGCTTATCATGAATGGTAACTAAAATTTTAGTATTTTTATTAATTCTTAGAAAATTTGGTACAATTTATTTTGATCATATCCACCTCCAACTCCTTCCTTTTACTTTCTGCCCAGCCCATGCCCTATTCTCTAACCCTCCAACTTTGTATACTTCTTTTTTTAAGTTAATAACCCACAGAGTCGAATTTATGCTGTCTATATACTTCTGGGTGTGTACTCATTCAATAAAATATGGTCAACCTACCTGGAGCCATACCGTTAATGAAAAACTGACTCTCCCTTTCTAGAACTCATCAATTATTTATAGCTCCTAGATTAAGAGGTGCAGGTTCCTGGACCTCTTCCCAAATCCATGCTAGAATGTTAGCTGCCTTGATCTGTGGTTTTGCATAGGCAACTACAGCTATTGTGAATTCATGCCTGTAGTAGGCCTGTTCTGCCCAGAACTGAGTTAAGTGTTCATTTACTCAGCTGTTGAAAATTAACTAAATAACTAGTGAGTTATCTTTCTTGATGTCTTCATTAGGCTATTTATTACCAAATTTAATTTTTATATTAACAGAATTTAAATTTCTGTTAATATTATTACCTATTAAGAGAAAATTGCAATTATAATGATTACGTATAAGTTACTTAAACATATCATTTCACTTTTGTCATTTTATTCTGTGTAAAGAAACCTTTTATGTGCTCGGTCTGGTTCTCACCCTTCTTAATGCTACAACCCTTTAATGAAGTTCTCATGTTGTGGTGACCTCCAACCATAAAATTATTTTCATTGCTACTGTTATTTATTGTAATGTAAATATCTGTGTTTTCCAGTGGTCATAGGTGACCCTGGTGAAAGTTCAACCCCCAAAGGTCATGACCCATAGGTTGAGAACCACTGTGCTTGAAAGAACCCTAGCCAAATAAGCTATTTTATTTATTTACTGGATCACACATCAGATAGCGTACTTAAGCTATTACTAACAGTATGATTTAAGGAGGGGGATTAAGGAAGATTTAAATATATTTTAAGCCCTGGTTTTCTTTTATGTGGAGTGGGTTTATAATTCCTACCTCACTTATTTTAGAAATGCACTGAATTAGCACAATCTTTAGAATCAGATATTAGCAGTTATTAATGATAAGTACAGTAATTGTTGTTGATTATTCTTTGTTCTTTGCTCTTTGGAGGCCTGCCAATCAGCTCTCAAATAAATACATGCAGACTTATTATTACTTATAAATGCCTGACCTTAGCTTGACTTGTTTCTACGCATCTTTTCTTAAACTATCTACTTTTTGCCTCTGAACGTTTACCTTTTTCTATTTTTGTACATCTTTTCTTTCCTTCCTACTGTGTGGCTGTCTGTGTTGCTGGGTGGTTGGGCCCTGTCATTCTACTCTCCTCTTCTTCTCGATCCTCTTCGTGTATTTCTCCTTCTATTTATTCTCTCTGCCTGCAAAACCTGCCTATTTCTCTCTCCTGCCTAGCCATTGACCAATTAGACCAATAAGGAGTTTTAGACAGGCAAGGTAACACAGTTTCACAGAGATTTTCTGGGCAAACTGGGGGTAGGAGGGTGGTAAACTGGAGGGGATGGGGATGAGAACACAAGGGAACAGGATGGTTGAGTTGGGGAAGTGGTAGGGTTGGAGAGCAAGGAAAGAGGTATCTCAATAGAGGGAGCCATTAAGGGGTTAGGGAGAAACCTGGTGCTAGAGAAATTCCCAGGAATCCACAAGCATGACTCCAGCTAAGACTCCATGCAGTAGTGGAGAGGGTGTCGGGACTGGCCTTCCCCTGTAATCAGATTGGTGTCTACCCTAACTGTCATCATAGAACCTTCATGGAGTAACGGATAAAAGCAGAGGCAGAGATCACAGCCAAGCACCAAGCCGAGCTAGCTACTTGAGTCCAGCTAAAGAGAGGGAGGAGGGAATACATGAGCAAGGGGTGTCAAGATCATGACAGGGAAACCCACAAAAACAGTTGACCTGAGCATGTGGGAGCTCCTGGACACTACACCTATACCTGGAGAGCCTGCAGGGGACCAAACCAGGACCTCTGCATATGAAGAACAGTTTTACAGCCTGGTCTGTATGTGGGACCCCTGGCAATGGAACCAGAATTCCCTAGTCGATGGCTGGCTATGTGGTGGAATGACTTGCCTTGCTCAGCCTTGATTAGGGGGGGGGAGAACTTGGTCCTGCCTCAACTGAATGTGCCAGGCTTTGTTGACTCTCTATGGGAGGCCTTATCCTTTCTGAAAAGTAGATAGGGATGGGTTGGGGGAAGGGGGAGGCGAAGGAGGGGGAACTGTGGTTGGTATATAAGATGAATTTAAAAAATTAAGAAAAATGCAACTGAAAGAATGTAACACATCTTTGCATCATTAAACAAATATTCTACAGTTAAAGATATAACACATCTTTAATATCCCACAACACATTAATAGACCTCTTTTGGCACTAGTATTTTATAGTCTCTAGGATACAAAATTTTAAAAATTTGTATCTTCTCTTGTAGTCTGGCAGAAGTGGAAAGACAGTCCCAGAGCTAGAAAAAACTATTGGGTTAATGAAGAAAGTAGTTGAAAAAGTCCAAAGAGAAAATGAACAATTGCAAAAAGCATCAGGAATACTGACTAGTGAAAAAATGATAAATATTGAAGAAGAAAATGAAAAATTAAAGGTAATTTTTATTTGGTTTTATATGAATGTTTTACTATTTTAGTTTACACTGCCTTTTAAGGGAAATGTTAAATATCCTCACACTATACCAAATGTCCTTAATAGAAGCAGTCGTATTTTGTAGTCAGAACAGATTTATTGACAAGAAATCTAAAGGTAACTAGAGTGGCCCTCTTTAGTCTCCTTTACTGTTTCTGGACCAATTGTTCTTCTCTGGTGGTAGAGTAATTATGTGCATCTATTTAGATTTGATTTATAAAGGGGGGATTTTGGGGGGCTTCTTGTATTTCCTTTAAATCTTAACCACATTTTAGTACAGGCAAGGTTGGATAGGAACATTGGGTTATAGGCAAGTCGTTTGGGGAAAGGCTTTAATTGTAATCATATCATGTATGATAACTAAAACTGCTTACCTTGAATTAAGTTTTATGAGTTTAAATAATAATCTTTATTTTTTACACTTAAAAGAATTAAAATATAATTGCTTCATTTACCCGTATCTATTTCCTCCCTGATCACTTCCCATTCTTCCCTACCTTCCTCTCAAATTCATGACCTCTTTTCCCTATTGTTATATATAATGGGAATAAATAATAAACTTGCAAAGTCCATTTAGTGTTGCTTGTATGATTTCACATACTCATTTAATTGATTTTTTCATAATATGTTGCTTTATTAATTACTAGGTTGAATTAGAAAAGCTTAAAGCTCACTTTGGACGTCAGTTGAGTGTGCAATATGAATCCAAGAATAAAAGCACAGAGAGAATTGTTGCTGAAAATGAACGGCTTCGGAAAGAACTTAAGAAAGTAAGACATTTATAACAGGTTACATTTATTTTTCACTTAGTGACATATCTTGGTAAAATAAAAATTTATAGATACAATGCAATGTCTGTTCATAGTAGATCTTAAGAGTTACACAATTTATATGAAAACTTAGAGCTAAGATGGTATCATGAAGAAACTGCTTCTGTTCATAGTAGATCTTAAGAGTTACACAATTTATATAAAAACTTAGAGCTAAGATGGTATCATGAAGAAACTGCTTACTCTGGTTTCTGTTCCTAGACCTGTTACTTACTGGGAATTGTTCCAAGCTGGATAATGTGTCACTATTCCTCAAATTCCTCCATATATGAAATTGGGGGTAGTAAATATACCTATGTCTTAGCTGGGCATGGCATATGGCGTTGAATGCCTATCATCCAAGTACTCAGGTAGTGCAAGAAAGAGAAACCAGCCTGGGCTACATAGGGAACCCAGCTCAATAAAGAAACATACATACACATATTACAGATCTCACAGGCCTGTTGAGAAATTTAAATAAGCTAATATGTATGCATATGACTTAGAGTAATATCCAACTTGTAGAGAAAAGAACATAACCATTTTGTTATTAAGATTCCTTGTATTTAAATGTATTTTTATCTTTTTTGTTTTAAAACAATCTTGTCTCATTTTACATACCATACATTTTACATACCAGTTCCCACTCCCTCCCTTCCTCCTGCTCTCTCCACCTTCCCCCCACCCCACCCCCATCTACTCCTCAGAGAGGGTAAGGCTTCCCATGAGGAATCAACAAAGTCTGGCACATCACTTTGAGACAGGGCCAAGGCTCTCCCTGCTCTATCTAGGGTGAGCAAGGTATCCCTACAAAGAGAATGGACTCCAAAAACACAGTTCAGGCAGTACTGGTAAATCCTGGTCCCACTGCCAGTGGCCCCACAGACTGCCCAAGCGACACAACTGTCACAAATATATCCCTTACTCTTGACAAATAGGTGAGTAAACTGGGATTGTAATCCTAAAGACCTTTAAAACAGTAACTGTATTGTGAACCCAGAACCATACTGTCTTGACTCTTCATGTTCATTACTGGAAATAACGTGTCACTAACACACAGCTTGTGTTAATAGCCAGGGCTATTACGTACTACAGGGTCAAAACAACACATCTTTTAAGGTGTAGCAAGGGTTAATTATCTCATTGTTCTGAACATTTTCCCGAGAAACAAATGACAAATTTAAAGTATTCACTAGATACCTTAGATAATAAATACTTGTAAATGCATTTCTTTGCCTTCATCTCCTTAATCTTTTGTACTAATTACTATGAATAGGTTGCTGTTTTAGAGGAAAACAAACGTTTTTGCAGTCTTAAAACAATACAGCTGCAGCTAGTTATATATTTTTCCAGCTTATAGTGATAAATTTGAATACCCGATGTCTATGAGAACAGTGTTATGTTTCTTCATAATGTACTAATGAGCCTTTACTGATAGGAAATGGAAACATCAGAGAATCTGCGGATAGCTAAGAACAACTTAGAGCTGGTCAATGACAAGATGGCGCTTCAACTAGAAGAGACTGCGAAGAGATTACAGTTTGCCGAAAGTAGAGTACCACAGCTGGAAAGCGCTGACAGCAAGAGCTGGAAGTCAATTGTGCTTACAAGGTAGGGATCAGAGAGTTTCAAAGTGTAATCAATTCTAACTCTGGCATCATTGACTTAAAAGATGACCATATGCTGAAGAACCTAGTTATTTCCTGATGAACAGCTTGGTTGTTTATCAATGTCCCTTCATTCTGTCTTAGAATGACCAAAACTCTGCTTCTTCCTGAAGTGTTTAGCTAGCTTTATTGGCAGGCTGCAGAACACACAGCTGAAACTGGGCTAATTTGCTGGAGCTAGGTGTGCATCATGAAGCTGTCATCAGCCGTGGGCTAGGGCTGATGCCTGCCCAGCCTTCACCTGGATGACGCATTGCTGTTGCTGCAGTTTCTTGAGTTTGTTCATGTATTTCTACCACAAATATGTGCTAAGCAACTGGGCTGCTTGATCCCAGTCTGTGCTGTTCTGGATTTGGAATGAGCTGCATTGCTTTTATAATGGTCAGTTTTCTGTACAGAGAGCCCAACAGATGACTATAGCAGCAATGTTAGTGTCTTGTGCATTATGTCCCTTCCTGTGAACACTTCTATAAGGATTCTGGATTTATGTCTGTGGCACTAACTGTTGTGGCTGTGAAAGCCAACTTTATTTTGCCTTATCTGCCCGTTTTACTTGCATTTATACATTCCCCTGTGATGTTCTTGGAGGCCACATATGCCCTCTCTGGAATGACTTGACAGGAAGCATGACACCCATCATCACTCCAACTAAAAAGTGAGCTGTAGCACTTTTTTCCTAGTGGGCCTTATTTTGCATGTGCTTCTGCCAGCCAATTTTAAGGAGAAAAGAAAAGGCTAAGTAAGCTTATTGGAGAGCACTCAGATAGGTGGCTGTAATCCTGGTGAGGAATCCTTTTTCCTACCCTAGACTACGAAAGTAGTCAGAGTCCAAACTTCCCTATAGCTCTCACTTTCCTGTCTGCAGACGGGGAACAAGAGCTCTGTATGAATGCTAACATCAGGATGAAAATAAAAGTGTAATAGTGTGAAGGGGAGAAAAGCCTCGTTGTCTTAGACCCTGTGGCCTTGAGCCAACAGCTGTCTGTTGACTTTTCAGGGCCACTATTTTCTTATGCTGTCACATATGTTGAGTGGCTTTGAGACTTAGTCCACTAATACTCAACATCTGGTTCTGCCACACTGTCAGGTTATTTCTAAAAACCAGTTGATTTAGGTTTCTTACAGAGACAGCTCCCATCACTTAGAAAGACCTGCTTTTCACTGTGACATTGCAAAAATTTTATCCCTCCTGTTGAGATGAGCGACCCTGCCCTTATTTCTCTGTGGCTCTATGAGGTAACAAAAATGCTTGCCTACTAGCATGAGAAACTATTCATTTTTAAGATAGTTGTGAGTTGATGGCACTATTTAACTGTAATTGAAGATGACTTTACATGTTAAATTTTTTGTGAGTTTTTTGTTTTGTTTTGTTGTTGTTTTGTGTTGTTTTGTTTTTTGAGACAGGGTTTCTCTGTATTGTTTTGGAGGCTGTCCTGGAACTCGCTCTGTAGACCAGGCTGGCCTCAAACTCACAGAGATCCGCCTGCCTCTGCCTCCCGAGTGCTGGGATTAAACTGGGATTAAAAGCATGCGCCACAGCTGCCACCACCCGGACATTTATGAGTTCTTACTCTGAGAACCGCATATAGGCAACATCTTCAGTAAACCTAAGTCCAACTTGTTTTTGAAACAGTCTTGCTGTTTTTCCAAGCTGATCTCAAATTCTACCTTGACTTTCCAAGTTCCAAGTGTTCCATCTCTAATGACTTGTATGGGCCATTTAGATGGGGTAATCAGATCTAGAAGGTCTTTATTCTTGGGTGGTTTTAATCGTCACTCACTGTTCTATTGCTGTGAAGAGACACCATGACCAAGACAACTCTTATAAAAGAAAGCATTTTACTGGGGGCTCGCTTACAGTAGCAGAGGGTTAGTAGTCTATTGTCATCATGGCAGGAGCCTGATGGCACACAGGCAGGCATGTGTGGGGCCAGAGCAGTAGCTGAGAACTATTCCTGATCTGCAGGCAGCAAGGATTGGGCGTGGTAAAGGCTTTTGATACCTCAAAGTCCACCCCCAGTGACATACTTCCTCCAAGGCTGTGCCTCCTAACCCTTCTAATCCTTTCATAGTTCTACTTTCTGGTGACTAAACATTCAAATATATGAACCTATTTGGGGGATGGGTTCACTGTCATTCAGACCACCACAGTGACTTTTGAACAGAGAAATGGATGAAGTGGAGGAATGAGCTTCAGACATTTAACAGTGTCCTGTGGTATATCTGTGGTAGTTAGGCCTTGTCAAGTAAACACACCCTTCTAATCTGCTTGTAAAGTCTGTCCTTAATTCCTTGACAGGACTTAGGTAGTCATAACTGCCCTTCCTTGTGCTGTCCTTGCCAGATACTTTTTCTGAACCATTATCATCCTTTGTTAATTTATCTACAAGACATATTATTTTCCTCTGGAAAAGTTTGAATACCGTAAGCATTATCTTCCTGTAAGTATATGCCTGTAAAACTACTGGGATAAAATTTTTGAAGATTTGAGACTGGATTTCTTTAGGCCATTTATCATTTCCTTACTGGTTATAAATCTGTATTGCTTCATCCATTGCACAAAATGCAGTGTTTCCGTCACTCCTGCTTTTGAACAAATTGTTCTTTCTGTAGTGCCTCTTTGGGATTTTTCTACCTGAACAGCTCCAGGGGTAGGGGAGGGTACCGGATGTGGGGGAACATTTGGTAGTCTGATGAATTAGACACTTTTTTATGCCTGAAATAAGATCAACCTAAAAGTTTTACAGTTGCCAAAGTCAATCTGCCACCTCAGATCTTAGACTCTTTGGGATCACTTTGATTTTCTGTTTTAATTAGTACATGTTAATTGGGATGCTTATTCATCAACACCATTTTTTACTGCTAAATATGCAGCCAATGGTTTGACTAGAATAATATAATGTAGTCTGGAATATTTTACTGTGGTTTAAGCTAAATTTTAAATTACATATTAATGCCCATAGTAATTTTTCTTTATAATTTTAGAATGTATGAGACCAAGATGAAAGAGCTCGAAAGTGATATTGCCAAAAAAAATCAAAGCATTGTTGACCTTAAACAGCTTGTACGTGAAGCAACAGAGAGAGAACAGAAAGCTAAGAAATACACCGAAGATCTTGAACAACAGGCATGTACATGTAATAGTCTCTAAATGATAAAACAATGTAATATATCTGAAGACAATCCCTGAATTGCCTGAAGGTGAATACACTGAACTCCTGAATAATGTCTCTCCTAGGAGACTCAGCTAGCGAATGGTACTTAACTCATCCACTTATGTAAGCCACAAACTAGATCATCACCAATTTCATTCTCTTATTTTCCACATGCAGTGCTTGGTGTGGAAGCCATTGTCTTATACCTGAGTGGCTGCAGTCATTTCCTAACTGGTCCCTGGGCTTCCACTTGCATCATTTCCCCTATTGTATGCCACTAGTCTATTCTCCACACAGTTGTCAAGTAACCCTGTAGCACATAGAGCAAATTAGAGTAGTTTTATTCTGAGACCCTTGTAGTAGTTCCCCATCACCTTGGAATAAAACTTGGTAACAGTTCTTTTCATAGCCTGTGTGTATGTACAAGGTCTAACACTTTAAGTCTTCTACCAGGTGTCCCAACATTAACTCTCTCAAACCTCTGAACAACTGAAACTCATTTAGGCTTCAGTCTGCTATACCTGCTTGGAACACTGGTCACCGTCCCCAATATTATTCTGTCTCCTGAACTTCTATCTGTGCTTATATGGAGGCCTTCAGAGACTAGGCCAGCAGTCTGTCACCTGCTCTCCCTAGGTTCTTTTTCTGGACTGTCCTTTCTTCCCATCCTGCCCTGTCACATCTCAGCTCATCATATGACAGTGCTGTTTTAGTTGTTTACTCCTTGGCACTTTTACTAAATCACACACTGGAGGCTTATTCTTAGTTATGAATGCCTGGCCTTAGCTTAGTTTGTTTCTAGTCAGCTTTATTAACTTATCCCATCTACCTTTTGCCTCTGGCTTTTCCCTTTTCTTACTTCTATATATCTTACATTCACTCTTACTCCATGGGTGGCTGGGTGGCTGGGTGGCTGGGTGGCTGGCCGGCCGGCCGGCTGGCCGGCTGGCCCCTGACGTCCTCCTCTTTGTTCTCTTGCTCCTCCTTTTGCTCATTTCTCCATTTATACTTCCGCCCGACAGTCCAGCCTGTCCTTGCTCCTGCCTCACTATTGGCCGTTCAGCTCCTTATTAGGACCACCAGGTGTTTTAGAGAGACACAGTAGCACAGCTTCACACAGTTAAACAAACGCAGTAGGAACAAAAGTCACACACCAGAAACTAATGTTGTTTCCTGAGTAAAAGTCAAACGCCTCTGTAAGATATTCCAGCTGTTCTATATGCTGCGTCCTCACTACCTTGGGCAGCAGTGAATTGCTCAGGCATTGATGGCCTGAATGCATAGACTGGAACACAGAACTGTGGTTTCATGCTTCCAAAGACCCAAATGTTATACTTTATTAAAAGCTGGTCTTTTTAGAACCTCTTACTTCCATGCTGAACTTTCATCTCCTAACTAACATTTCTCTGTCTCAAAGATTGAGGCCCTCAGAAACATTCCTGAAGGTGTGGAGACAGATCAAGGGCTTATCCGGGAACTGCAGCTCCTTAGGTACATGTTATTATGTTTAGTTGACTAAGTATTTTAACATGTTTTCTCTTTTTCCTTTGTGTGTGAATGCACGTGTACACATGTACATGCTGGGGGGCGGGGTTCTGCATGTGCAGGCCACCTGTGAAGGAAAGTCGGAGGACAACTTGCAGGAGTTGGTTCTTTCCTTCCAAGAATTGAAATCAGGCCATCAGCTTCCCACCATGCATCCTTGTCCACTGAACTACCTCACTGTTTGTTTATTCTTAGAAAATTATTTCATACAACCAAATTTGCCACACCCCAAGATGAGGAACCCAATTGTAACTTCAGTTTTTCTAGCAGCATAGAATTAAACTCTGTCATTGCAGAACCAAATCATAATGAAAGAGAAACAGATAATTCTATGCTTCTAGGAGTTTGTGCAGCCTCCTCTCGTTGTAAGAAAAGCACTCTTGAAAATAACACCAGGACTGAGATTAGGAAAAACTTAGAATTTGTGTTGTTTGGGAATTAAGCAATGAAGCCCAGGGTTAAATGTTTATCTCGATGACCCTGCCACCATCTCTTAAGCATATCCTCCCAGCATACATGACCAGACTCAGCTGTGCCCTTGGTAAATGCTGTTTTGAGTATCGTAATCTACTTTATAGGAAATGCCTACCTACTTTATGGACTGGCACCAGTGTATTTTTCTAACCTGCTATCATTGTGTTCCAGATTAGCCAATAGTAAACTGGATAAAGAAAAGGCAGAACTAATCCATCAGATAGAAGCTAACAAGGACCAAACTGGAGCTGAAAGCAGCACACCTGGTAATGTATTTCATAAAACGTGTTGGCTGTCCCAAGTTTCTCATTTAGGACTTGTCTTTTGTGTTTCTATAGTATCAAATTCCTGGTGAGAGTATTTAGAGCTGTTCTCTCTCGGACTATGAAAATATTCCCATTTAACACTCAGATTGCTTATACTAAGTGGCCTAAGGTTTTCTTCTTGGGATCCATCTGGGCGCTACAGTCTCAGTCATAGTGTGTTACCAAGCACTGGATTCTATCATGTGCTTCCTCTTTCTAAATGCAGGTCTTTCAATCCCTATGAGCATTTCCTTCTGAATGTTACTAACTGTTGCCTTAATTCTAAAACTACAGTGCTATTTTTTCTATTGCAAATAAAAATGTTCCTTTTATTCTTTTCAACCCCATTCTGATATTAGTAGTCATTCCCCTGTATAAGTTACTTACAAAACATCTGTGTACGTGTGTGTACACAAAGTACACTTGATCATTATTTGCAGATCTGTATTTGCAAATGTAACTGTTCATCACAATATGTTTATAATTCCCCAAATCAGCTCAATGCTTTTGCAAACAGGCACAGTGACAAATTTAAACAGTCCCTCATCTTCCCACCCTAGAGGTGATCTAGGATGGAGTTCTGGGTACCATTATAGCCTGATGGGAGTTTGCATTGTAGCTCTGACACTTTCAATGGCAAAACCTCAGAAAGGTGCCTTATCACTTCTGATTGTTTTCTTTTGAAACTAAAGAAAATATTATAGATTGGGATGAGTTGTTTGTAGAATCTAAGGTGGCAGTTTGAGTATGTATGTTTATACAGGTGTTTGCATGCATTTGCATTTCTTGTAGGAACTGTGGTTTGATATATTTGGTAATTGCACCAAGTTCACAGGATAAAACTTTTAACAATTAAAGAGAACAGACCTTAATGCATATTGAGTTTTGTGTATTTTTTTTCTGGATTCACACTGTACATTTACTGCTTTTATCTTACTACAAAGATCTTTTAAGACCTGTACATCATATTATTTTAATAATTCTGTAGTATGCTATTGAGTGGATAGTGAGCAGTTTACCCCAGAATGGAATTTTAGTATAGTTCCAAAGCTTCTAGCATAACTACCCTGTATCTCCTAACCTAATCATGCCATTATCTGATAATTTGATGGAAGTGTCATGTTCTGTCCTACAGGATTATACCAATTTATATATGAATAATTTTAAACTATTTCATAGAGCTACTGTAGAGTCCTGATGGTACTTTGTATTAATGTGTGGTATAATTTGCACTAGGCACTATGCTTAGGACTTTACAAAATTTTTACTTTATTCTTATAATGCCATAGGATCAGTATTGTTGTCTTCATTTTACATTTTATAAATGATTAACCACCTATCCTCAACATCACAAGTAGGAAGTGGCATTGGAAGGTAAAACATTAATTCTATGAAAGTTCAGAACTCCTTACTATGCCAGGATCTTAAGCACTGGGGTGCTGTGCATTTTGATAACTAAAAATGGCATTCATCCATCTGGAATAGATGTGTGACTGCTAGGGGATAACTTGGTGTACTCTTAACACAGTAACAAAGGCCTATTAGTTCTGTTGGCATTAGGCAAGTTCTCTAACTTGTCTAAACCCAAGCCCTTATATTGTTTGTCTTAAAAGACAGGAGGAAAGATACCGGTCACATTTCAGAGTACCTGCTTGGACATTCCTAAATCAACATTTAAAGATGGGGACATTTTAAAAACTTTTGGAAGATGTTATACATATTTTCTTGCTTCATTGTTTCACCTCCAGTCTGTACATAATATAAAGGAGCTCACTGACCATGGACAAACTAACAGATATGTGCATAATCATGTTATTAGGGCACTAATCACAGTAGGTAGATCATAGGATCAGCCTCTATGTCCATCAACAGATATACTGATAAACGTGAGTGTGTGTGTGTGTGTGTGTGTGTGTGTGTGTGTGTGTGTGTGTGTGTGTGTGTGTAGGAAAACAGAACTACAGATCATCTTGCTCAGTAAAATAGGCCAGTCTCAGAAGACAAATATCAAATATTATATCTTTATATGTAGGATCTAGATTTATATGTATGTGACATGAAAATAGAAAGGGGAACTTTTGTTTTGCCTTTCAAGATGTAATGATGATTTTTTGTTTTGTTTTATTTTTATGATTTGAAACCTTGTTTGTTTGCCCTTTGTCTCTGAGTTATAGGGGAGCATCCCAAAGCCCTACAATACACTTACTGTCCTTATATAAAAACTTGTTTCATTATTTCCTCAAACTTTAACATTAAAACAAACTCTTAACCTTTCAATGATTGCATAGTGTGACATGACACTTTGTATCTTAACCCTGGGCTGTGTGTCAACAGCTGATTTCCTACCACACCATTAGGACTGCACTCATCTGTGCCACACACCTTCCTTGGAAGTTTTCACAGTGCAAAAACCTACATGGAGACAGACAAAGTAGCTGAGGTAGAAGGCATAAACGGCCAGCTTAGTGCTTTGTCTGTATGTTTTGCACCTAAAAAAAATTTACTGGTATTACAGGATTTTTCTCTCAATAAAGGAATTTCTCTTCTATAAAGGAATAACCCACTTTTCCAATACCTCTGTGCTTGCTATGGAATAACCTTACTTACTAGCGGTAACATGCAAGTACAGTGCCAGATGATTACAGACTGTAGGCTTCATACATTTCCTGTTTATTCTGAAATTAACCCTCTATCTTTAACATTCTAATTTTCATGACTAGCTTTGGCAGATTCTGATCAACTAAAGGAAAAGGTAAATGACCTAGAGACACAGCTGAGAAATTCAGACCTAGACAAGCAACACTTGAAGGTAAGTCTGACTTATATCTGACTTTATATGGTCAGGGCTTTGTGAAAACAGCTGTGGGAAACAATGTTTATGAATGTGCCTAAAAATTCATGGACTTAATTCACACTTAATATTACTAAGCATATAATTTGACTTAATATTACTAAGTATATAATTTGACTCATGACAACTTTTTATTGAATAATAGCAATAACAAAAAAAAATCAGACAAATAGGTCTAGAGAATAATTTATTTTTAAATTATAACAAATGTACCTCAACAGTTTTTTAAATATTTCTTAATTTGTTGGCAAAAGGTATTTTCTTAAGTACCTTTTGAAATTATGTTCAGGATCTTTCCCTTAAAACACTTCTGTGCTCCACTTACGACTGAGAAGCAAAAGAGTCTAGAAGAGTCCCTGACTCATGCTTGGGTAGTGTAAACAGCCTTTGGCACTCACATTACCCTCACCAGGTGCTCAACTTTTACATGCCCCAGGATTTCCATGATCATAAATATTATTATAAAAGTAAAAACAGAACTTTAAAGAAAATACTGACAACTCTTAAGACAGTAACCTCAGTGCAGTGAAGAGTAGAGTCCCTTTTGCTTGCCTAACAGAAAATCTGACACAGTTCAAAGACTCAATCTCACTATACTATAAGCACGCATAGTAAGTTATTCATATGGTACAATGGAACCTTAGTAACAAAAGTTAAATGTTTTTATATTTTACTGTTCAGGTTCAGGTTACGTGGGTTTTCATGTTTGTAATCAAATCTTCTAAATTTCAAACCAAAATCATATATTCCTATATGTGACTTTTAGGAGGAAATTAAAAAGCTGAAAAAAGAACTGGAAAATTTTGATCCTTCATTTTTTGAAGAAATTGAAGACCTGAAGTACAATTATAAGGAAGAAGTGAAAAAAAATATTCTATTAGAAGAGAAGTTAAAAAAACTTTCTGAACAATTTGGATTTGAATTACCTAGCCCTGTTGCTGCTTCTGAACAGAGGGAAGATGGAGAAAGTCCTAATCAATTCCCTATTTAAGACCCATTTAATTGTATTTTCAAAAAACTTTCAGCTACCTGGAAATCAAGCACTCTCTGAACTACAGAATTCACATGTCAAAATACTGTATATTTACTTAAAAATAAAGTCATATATAGTTTTAACTTGGAAGAAAAAGTATATTTTTGAAGATGTGAATAATTTGACTATACAGTGCACAATGAGCTATGATAGATATTCCTATTTTCATGTCGTAAATGTTCTAAAGGCATAAAGGTAAAGTTGTAACAATTTTACCATTTAAAATTAATGTTTCAGATGTAATTATTTTATTCTTATTTTTGTGTTAAGATATTCAAATCCTATGATTTTGATAAATACAATACATAAATGTTTGTTAGTTATGACATGTTTTACCAAATAGCTAGCAAAATTAAACAGAACATTTAGTTATTTTAACCTCTGTAAACATAGCAGACTCTTCGATATTAGAAAACTGCAATAATCTCAACTATATTTCCATTTTATGCATCAAGCATTTTATCTTTAAGGCTATGTCAACTATATTTCCATTTTATACATCAAGCATTAGGCTATGTCAACTATATTTCCATTTTATACATCAAGCATTATATCTTTAAGCCTATCAAATTTCTGTTTATCTATTTTCAAAAACTGATTAAACAAACACTCATTATCAAAAGCACAGTCATATTTGTTAAGGTTCATGTTAACAATAACTGGTTTGGAATTCATGTAAGTATCTGGAAGTGGCCAGCATAAACCAAGATGATGGCGATGAACCTGTAATGAGGAAAAAGTTGTATTAGCTTTAGTCTGTAGATAGCATCCTAATTTACTTATAAATACTTACTTACCTGCCAGGTACAATGTTAGGGTCTACATTATATTACACTTATTTTAATTAAATGTCATAGATGTTCTCTGACATAGTGCTGTCTGCCTTTCCCTTAGAATATGAGTTTTTCTGAAGGCAGAGAATTTGTTAACTCTGCCAGTACATGAAAATGCCAAGGGCTCCCCAAAATGTAATGACTCTAAGTCTGTTGGTGAATACAGGAAAGAAAGAAAAGGGTAAGCCAGACTCGTGTTACCAAAGGGAGAATTAGTGTAGAATGGTAGAGTGGTCGGGATCACAGCTGGCTGGGACATTGCTGTAGCTGTTTCCTCCTCATGAAAACATCCCCTCTGGAGGGAGGCTCTGAACTCAGGAAGTAAGCAAACCTTTGCAAGTCCTGAAGCTTTTAAGACTCCCAAGACTCTCTGCAAGGGTGGAACACTAACAATTGGAGTGAAGGTTATCCTTACACCAGAGCAGAGAGTCCCCAGGATGCCACCTTTGTGAGTCATAATTCAAGCTGGGGCGGGTTTCTTACTCATCCTGCCTCTAGGTCCTCCATGCTCCTTACCCAGATTCCTGTAAGTAACCCCAATAGAGGCACTGGCTCACTAAGCTCCACTTGGATGGAATCATTTTGTTCTCTGTCCTCAGCACCTTATCTGTGGCAAATGAATGTTTGTTCATATTTCCCCAGGACTACACCATTATATGACAAACACAGACAATCCTGTTTTCATAGATGGTAATGAGAAGCTATGAGGGGAGTTAAGGGACCATACCACGCGAAGTCTTAACATACCCAAACGGCCCTGTGCAGGAAGTAATAATGCCATTCATTTGGGAAGAATGAGCAAAATGGTGGTAGAAGTGAAAATGAATGTGTTAGGGAGGTGAATAGAGTAATAAGTCAAGCAAGACCCGTGGCCTAAATTAAAATTAGCACCTAGTTGAGTTTAAAGAACACAGATTGCATAGATTAGACTTTTCAAGAACTGATAACAACTAGATGCATGAAGTAATGGGAAGAGGGCTTAATAACATTGAATCCAGGTTTCTAATTTCAGTGAATAATGCAGAACTGGGAGTGATAAGAATGGAATCAGTTTTGACATTATGAGTTTCATATACCAGTGAGAAATCAGAGAAGTCCAGGGCACAAAGTATAATTCACTCTTGTAAGCTGCTACTTGGCACAGTTTTACTCCACAAACTCCCTACCTAGTAAGTTAGTGTATAAGTGCTGACTTAAAGTAGGCACAGAATATCTCAGAACACAGTGTACCAAATGAATGCCCAGGAAGGGAATGTTATCACTTCAGCTCTAAAGCACATCCCATATAGCCGAACACCACCATCTGTATATAGTGCTGTATACAGTGCTCTCTGACACTTCCCATAAACTCAATTCAGTTTTAGCCTATCAGAACTATAGGAATTATACTAACTGCATGCCAGAACTAATAAGGTCTATAAAAACAGTCTGAGTATCACATCTTTAAGAACAAAAGCCAATACAAGTGATTTTTGTCCTTACCTTAATTAAACAGCCATCACCGCAATGCCATACAATCCCTTCAATTTTACCCTCTCTGCAGTCTTCAAACCAGGACAGCAAGTCATTGTGTTTCAGTGCAGGCAGATTTCTTACTTGAAATGCTCCATGTGGTATAAGAAAGTGCAAGGGATATTTCTTGCTCCCTAACCCTAAATGGTAAAATTTGCCATTCATTAACCATTTTCAAAATGTACCTCCCCAAATGTATAAATGTCCAAACATTTAGGAGTAATGTTATAAAAAGTTTATTTGATTTTCTGTAGAGAATACTCCAAAGTACATTACACCCCATTCTCAGTGGAATGTGACACTTTTTCCAGGAAACTATGAATTCCACTTTCATAGACTCGCTACACTGGGAGCTAAGCTAGCACACTGACGGTGGATGGAGTCCAGACAGATACCTACTCTGAGGAGTTTCAATGGAATGCAGCCTTATCCATTCATAGAAGTACTACTGGTAGCCCATTTCAAAAGTACAGCTTTGAAATGTTAACAAAGCTTAAGCTTTAAAGCTTTAAAATATTTAAATATTTGTTATCAACCATTTTTACAGAAAGCAATTGTTAGCATGTGGTATATTAGCTATATTCAGTGCTTACCTAACATCATCTATGATCCTGTATGTAAGCTTAATAACCATCAATCAACCTACTTAAATTTGTATGTGTATGCATGTTCACATACATGTTTCTGTGGAGAACAGGTGTGTGCATGTTTGTGCAACTGCATGGTGGACACAGGTGGTCAACATTGAGTATCTTGTTCATTTGTTTCCCACCTTATATTTTGAAAAAGGGTGTGTCTCATTGTACCTGAAGCTCAATGATTAGGCTACACTGTCTGCCTTGCAAGGCCCAGATAGCCTCTTATCTGTGCCTCTCTGGCTCTGGGACTGGCATGCACCACTGGCGCCCAGCTTTTAACAGGGGTGTTCGGGACCTGAACTTTATGGACTGCAATCTGCTTTTGATCTCTCTAGAAACAGTGCCACTTTAGAGTATTTTAGTCAGTGTCTGTTGCCAGTTCTTACTCATGCATGTGTTTACTAATGCTAAAGTAATGACCTAAAAGATCAGTGCATTTTCACCCAACTAACTTGTCTAGAATTTATAAAGCCATGAAGAGCTAGCTACATCTCAGTAATTACTTTTTATGCACAGTTGTTAGAGCGGTCAAGGGAAGGAGCACGATGAAGTCAACCTTTCGCATTAATAAATCAAAATGATTAGCCATACATAAATTTTCTCTTGAACATCGGAGCTACAGAAAAGAGTGTGCCCCTAGGAAACGGATGCAAATACATTGGTTGTTGCTTCTGTATGTTTCTTAAGTTGACCACAGGAAGTTCTCTTTGGAAGACATCTTCACTTACCGTATGGGTTTCCATTGATGTTCGTTCCTATCAGCTCCAGGGTCTGCTCTAAAAGCTCTGACAAGGGCACAGCACTGATTTCCAAAAGCCCAGGCTCATCAGGATCATGCCTTAGTACCAGGGCAATTCCAAACTCATAATTCACTACGGAGGAATGCCAACAATACTGCTTGCTGTTCTTTTCCACGGGTACCCAACCTGTTATGTAAGGAAAAGTTACTTCTATCACCTTGTTCTGTTAAAATATACAGGCATTTATCTATTTACTGCTTATAAATATTCCTTAGTTTCTAAATTCCCTGTCACACAGACACTTAAAACCAGTGGGAAAGGTAAGAATTTCGCTGTTTTTCTTGATAGTCATAAAGGGTTCATTTGCTTATTCTGTTGGGGTATTACCATGAATTAAACACATTCTTCAAAAAATTATCGTGGTTCAGGAGTAACTTAGTACTATACTGAGACAGCATTAAAACTTTTTTTATTATTTCTTTTAGTGCTTTTGGAGCTGCCTCCCCTCCCTCCAGCCTGAAAGTCATTTTTGTTTTCATGTAATGAGCAAGCTATCTGTAGCATCCTTCCAGTGCAGAAGCCACTCCACAGTTACATCATTGATCCCATCCTACTGAACAATTTATCAGTTCCTCATTGTTTCTACTTTTATTTCTAGAATAAGCTCCTGCAGTATGGAAAACCTGCTGCAAGTGAAACACACAAGTCAGTCTGGCCAAACGTCTCACAAAGTATGCTCGTCCTTAGAAAGATTAAAACCTCAAAGGCCATTCCTTCCTCTGCCCTTGATATAGATGGTTAGACTTTTCAATAAGCTTGAGTCAGAAATTTTGCACTACAATTAAAATGAAAAGCTAGATTAAAACAAAATATTGATTGGACCTTTTTTGTTTGTTTCTTATACTAAACACACAAGTCAGTCTGGCCAAACGTCTCACAAAGTATGCTCGTCCTTAGAAAGATTAAAACCTCAAAGGCCATTCCTTCCTCTGCCCTTGATATAGATGGTTAGACTTTTCAATAAGCTTGAGTCAGAAATTTTGCACTACAATTAAAATGAAAAGCTAGATTAAAACAAAATATTGATTGGACCTTTTTTGTTTGTTTCTTATACTAAACACAAAATGATGATGTCATACCAGGAATGTGTCCGTTTTCATCAGGTACCGGCTTCCCATTCTGTTGTTCTATTTCCTTTGCTGGTATCCAGCACTCTGGGACAGGCTTGAAATCTTCCTCCGTGTTCCAAAGAAACGCTACAAAGAGTCAGTTCATCTTTATGCTGTTACTTTAAGACATCAAACAGAACAGATGCAAAGTGGACATAGGAAATACAACATCGCTGTCAGATGGGAAAGGTACTCAATTATCACTGCCATCTGCTACATTCCAATTCAGGGTACTATCACTGTAAAATTGTCAACCCTCAGTACAATACCACTTACACACATTACAGTCTAAAGTAGCTATCATTCTGTGAAGATTTATGAGTTTTTAATTTTTTTATTTTTTGGGTGTTTCAAGACAGGATTTCTCTATGTAATATTGGCTATCCTGGACCTCACTCTGTAGACCAGGCTGGCCTCAGACTCTGTGAGATCCACCTGCCCCTGCCTTCTGAATGAGATAAGTTTTCATGTACTTTTTATACAGTAATACATATATTTTTCTATAAGTATAAAAATATATAATATAGTTATTAATGCAATAGTAAAAATTAATTTGATATTTATAATACAGCTTAGAAAATTTTTCATGCAAACCAAATGAAAATGTATGTCTTATTACAACACCATATATTTAAACAGAATAGATTGGTACTAGAAAGTAGTTACAGAAAGGCTGGGAAAATGTTTTCCAGTATTTACATGCGTGCATGCGCACATGCATGTTTGTGTGTATGCACGCACACTGTGCCAATGGTTTTATCCCTAAAAGTGAATATTTTATACATAAGTAAATATATATGTGTGTGTGTGTTTGTATAATTATTTTCCTCAAGATGGATATATAAAGAAGAATCATAGCAATAAACCACAAATTTCAACTCTTTAAATCTGAAAAGTTGAGGAAAGCCACTAACCTTTTGAGCTTTCTTTTGAATGAAGAAATTTTTTAAATCTTTTGTCAGCTTGCTTGTTAGGTTTTCTATCAAGTCGAGCCCAAAGGTATGGCTGACCTAAAAACATAGGAATAAAAGGGAAAGTCAAAAGGAAACAAAATTCATCTTGCAAGACATTTCAGAATGGGAAAAATCAGTAAGTAGAAGTCTGCTCTGTAAGAAAGCACCCTAAAAGACAAATGGAATACATGATGCTCAGCTCTGAGCCCTCATCCCAGTGTGAGGATGTACTGTTAAATGAAGAGGGTGAGAAAATACATGGTGCTTTCATCAGAGTGTGGTCCTTTCCTAAGTTCTCCCAGGGAGAGCAGAACCAGGGACTGTATTTGCACATCCCCTGAACACTATTATACTGCAGTGTCAGCTTAATTCTGGCACACAGAGAATCAAGCTGACCTGTCTGGCATGACCAAGTCATTAGATGCATTGATGAGGAGGGCTGCTTGTAACCCTGGGTGTGAGTAGTCTCAGGTACTGTGCTAATATTCTGTATTGCTCGATGTGTGACTTTTTGAATCACCTCTGGTTGCACTGAGACTCCTGCTTAGCTTGCTGTTGACACTGCTTACTTAGCCGAAAGATGCCTAAAGGACAAACAAAAGCAGGAAGTTTCCCAACCAAGATTCCACCTTACTGATTCTGAAATGTTACCTGAACACATCAGTGGTCCCTACCCTGAAGAAATGCATCCTGCTGTGGCTATAAAGCTGGACAAAGACAGTCTTACTTCTGAAATCGTTACTTTGTTATTTATCTGCCCATTTGTCATGTTTGGTCCTGTGAGCACTCTTGAGCAGCAAAGCTCCAACCCTCTGATTGTTCCCATCATGCACATCACACATAGGGATTCACTGTAAGTTTTTTAATATAAAGCCTGATAAATCTTACTCAAATATATAAACCAGAGGCTCATAAACGTTGCTAGCTATCCATAATTTTAACTAAATTAAAATTCTACTGTTTCTGGTTGTAGACTTTGTGTTCTTTTTACTGGTAAACATATAATATGAGTTCCCCTCCCATCCATTAGGATGGCTAGACAAAAATAATAGTAGTAGTAATAATAATAGTCCTAGTGGGGACATAGAAAAACTGGACTATCTAGAAACTAGAACTTCGGTGTGTCTATATGGAAAATATGTGATGGGTACTCAAATTTTCTCAGTTAGGATTAACATATGATCCAGCAATCCCATGTATAGGTTCATAACCCCCCAAAAAACTGGAGGCTAATTTAGCATTATTAATTGCATTATCTAGGATAATATAAAGGTTGGAGCAACCAGAATGCCTATCAGTGACTGAATGGATGAACAAAATGTGCTATGTACATATTGAGCAATTTAAAACAACGATATAATTTTCTATGTTGGATTATACCTGATATAATCCAACATGGAAAATACTGAACTAAAAGAGTAAACCAGCCACAAAGAGACAATTATATGACTTACCTATAGTCAGAAACTCAAATGGACTAAGAGGCCTGGGGGATGGATGGGGTCTCTGGAGTTGGGGGAGGGTTATATGAGGAGATTCCCAACAAGCAGTTTTAGTTCTAGAAGACGACATTCTGGAAATGAATGATGTTGATACTACAATCCTGTGAATGTCCTTAATGCCACTTACACACCATTTTAAAGTAGAATTATGAGGGCAAGTTTTATCTTTTCACAGGTGAAAGATTTTGAAGTGCATTTCAGGACATTTCTAGCTCATTTACCTGTGAGTCAATCTCACCATCCGTTAGTAATTACAGACAATAGTTCTCTGTTTTCAGTGTACCTTTTCCCTTAAGACCATCAAAGTGAATTTTCTATTTAAAGTCTGTAACTGGTGGGAGACCTGGACAATGGTAATGAGCGTGCTAGAAGCTCCAGGGGTGCTGTGAAGAGAACAAATTTCAGGGCTGGGCCAGCCCAGGTTCCCTTACTATTCAGCCATTCATCAATCGAATGGTCTTAAGGCAAATGACCAAACCTGGTTGAGACTCAGTTTCCTCGTCAGTGGTATGGAAAGGTTTATAAAAATGAGAACATACAAGACCTGTTTATTAGGCTGCCTAGCCTTTCACGGGAATTTCAAGTTAATGTTAGTCACATGTCTTTCTTACTCCAAAGGAATTAAATAAAACCACTGATTTTTTAACTGAACTACTACAATTAGGCTTTTAGAGTTCACAGGTGTCCAAGATTTATACAATAATTAAGGTAATACTTTTAATAAACATGATAGTTGTATTTTACCTTTGTAGTTAGTAACATAACAACACGTTCCATCCACTTTTTCTGTTGCAATTGCATTGTATACATCTGCATCTAACGCCTTTTCACTTAGAGTTTCAGTTGCCAAAACTTTGAATGGCTTAAAAGAAGAGAAAAAAAAAAACTGGTGTAAGATATATAGCCTCAGCCAGGTGGTGGTGGGGCATGCCTTTAGTTCCAGCACTTGGAGGCTGAGGCAGGAGGATCTCTAAGTTCGAGGCCAGCCTGGTGTACAAAGCTACACAGAGAAACCCTGTCTCGAAAAGAAGAAAAACAAAAGATACATAGCTTGTACCTTCACACACAGGCTCACCTGAACTGTGCCTAATTTCAGTAGTTCTAAGCGGTTGTCTCCATGTCTCACTCTGCAGTCACAGCTGGCCTTGAACTCACGATCCTCTTTTGCTTTAGTCTCTACTTCCAAGATTCCCCTCCTGTCCTACCAAAACAGTGTCCCCACTTGATGGAAAATGATCACAGTAAAACTTGATTTTCCATGAAGATGTTATTTACATGCTTCTCATCCACCACAATGAAACCAGGAGTTGGGCCCTATGCCGTGTTTCCTCAGCACAGGCCCAACCTGCACAATCCTATTGTGTGTGACTATGCACTAGCCACAGTAAGCAGGGTCCTTGACACTGGAAACACAGAGAAGTACCCACCTTTAGTGAAACTTACACTTTAGAGGGCTATGACAAATAAAATGCGAACAGTATGACACTGATGAGTACTAAAGAGGAAAACAAGGTAGAATGACACAGGGAAGTCTGCTGAGGAACTAATGCCTGAACAGATTTGACATACGGGAAGGAAAGGCCCACAGTCAGGACTTTCTGTGGCTAAAGAGGGCAAATCAGCCACTGTGTGCAGAACGGGGTACAGGTAAAACTAGATCACACGCTTACTTCATTCCAGAGTGTCTCTGGTGGTTCAACACATGGATTCACCTATCGACTCTCCAAGACTAAGTCTACTCTTCAATGAGATCTTTACACAATTTCCTTTTTCAAATCACACTTGATTCTTAGTCATAGGGAGAGTCTAGCGATGTTCTCTGTCTCAGGCCACAATTTTCAGAAAATGAGAAGATGAAGATGGCTCTTATTTTTAGTTTTTAAAAGGCTTTCTTGCAAAGCTGAAATCCGCATGCCTACTTTAGAGGTCCATCTAAAAATCTCTGTGGCTCCCCATTCAACTATGTCTGTGACTCTTCTTTATGAAATGCATTTTCCTAGCTTTAAAGGATCAAGGCCCACTGCCATTGCCTCCTGGTTGAAACTTCCAGTAACTACTATATAAGTCTACCCCAGGTGACCAAAAGTGGCCCACAGTCACGCCCAGTTCTGTTCCTGGCAGAATGTGTACTCAACATTTGAGGTGATTTTGGTTTCTATGTGTACTCCTCTCAGGTTCCACTGTTAAAAAAACTACCAATTACCACTTGTCTGCTGCTTCCCTAGGAGTTTTCTTGCTTTGCCAGGAATTCCCTTCTTGTTCTTTTCATCGTTACCAACAAATGACCTGTTTACAAGTTTCATTTTTGTCTCTAATGTTGTCAGGAAGAAAAGGAAGCATCAAGGATAGAAGAAAAGACTGCTTTTCAGAGTCTTAGAGCTTCTTAGCTATAATTTTAGTTTCTGAGAAAGACTGTAGTCTAAATCTGAACATTCACTTCACAAAATAAAAGTACACAAAAGGAGAGAGAAATGGTAGTTCAGACAAAATTAGGTACTAGGAGACTATGCTCATTTCACTACTGATTTATTACTCTGTGTGAGGTACAGTATGTATGTGTGAGTACATGCATGTATTGCTGTGTGAGGTACAGTATGTAAATACATGCATGTATTACTTTGTGTGAGGTGTATGTATGTGTGAATACATGCATGTATTACTTTGTGTGAGGTGTATGTATGTGTGGGTGAATACATGCATGTATTACTCTGTGTGAGGCATATGTATGTGTGTGTGCATGAATACATGCATGCATTAGTGCCTGTGAAATGCAGAGAAAATTGGGTGTCAGACTCTCACTGAACTTAGAACTTAGTGATTCAGATAGGTAAGCCCTTGGGCTCTCTTGTATCCCCCTCTACAACTCTGAGATTACAGACATGTGGGTGCTGGTTATCTGAACTCAGGTCCTCAGGCCTACGTAGCAGCCATCTCCTAGGTCTATGATCAACTTGTCACCCATATATGTAAGGCACTGGTACCAAAAGGTGCCTTCTAAGGCACTGTGGCAAAATGCTAGTCTAAAAGCAGGAGTGTGCATGTGTGTGCACGAGCACTCGTGTGTGTGTGTGTGTGTGTGCATTTTTAAATTTATAAAATTTCAAGTATGAATACTATGCCCATGGAGTTGTTAGTGAGTATAAAGTGTTCCTTCCACAGAGATCATTCTCTATCACTGTTTGCCATTTACTCCTTCACCTATGATCAAACACTTTACTACTGCAAAAGCAAGGACATTTGTGTATAAAAATAGGCAATGAGGATCGATTGGGTGGTGTGCCATTTCCGGAAACAGCTAATCACTGGGATGATTAAGCTAATCAAGTTCTATTAAGATCTACTGAAAAACACTGAAGGTGATTCAAAGAGTGGAAAGCCTGAGAAGAACATTGATGCACAGGAGTGTGCTTGATACATTCACAAGCTGAAAGATGTTGCAAAAACAAGAGTTCCACATTGAGATTTTTAAAAAGACTGAGCCTAATTAAAAAGGGATTTGGGATAATTATTTGAACACTATACTGTAAACACTAAGATAGTTTTAACTGCAAAGAGATGAGTTTTTTTTCCCACCCCCAATATTCAAAGCTGAGAGTCACGATTAAAATGAACCATTAAGGTTGAAAATGTGTTATAGTACTTGGATTTGTTATGATTTTTGTTCTAAATAGCCAACAGTACAGACACTGAGTACTAATCTTGAGGCTTTACTAGAAAATATTGCTATATTCAGTCCGGGTGGCAGGTACAATCTATTAAGTAGTGTAATAACGATTGCAATAGGAAGAAATATGAACAGATCAGATGTTAAAAGTAAAAGGTAAGAAAACATCAAGTTGATGGAAAACTGACACGAAGACTCTGAGTCCTTTGAATTAAAATTTTAGCAAATATTAATTCATGTGTCAGTTCCTAGCAGCAGGGACTAAAAGGTAACAGGGCCATTTAATCTATAGGCAAGAAAAATGAGGGAAGAAAATGAGGCTCTAAAATAGGGGGAATAAAAGAGGACAAAAATGAAAGAAATAATGGTGTGTATGTGGGGGTGCAAACTGGAGATTTGGGGGTGTCTGTGAAGATTCTTGAGGTGAAGAGAGGACAACAAACACATAATGTATGAAAATGCCACAGAGAAAACTCCTATTGCATGCTAATTAAAAACAGACAAACAAAATGTGTCAGTGAGAAGGCCTGGGCAACCTATGGGGCCCTGAGCTGTGGATCAGTGTCTATCCCTGGTATACAAACAGTCATTGTGTGCCCATAACACAAAGAGGGATGCTCTCTCAGCCTGGACTCTTAGGGGAGTGCCTGGACCCTACCCAGAGTAAAATGACAGACTCTAGATATCCCCTATGTGGAAGGAATTGGCAATAGGGTGGGAGGCTGGGGGGGAAGGGGAGTGCGGGAGGAGGGAAGGGAGAGGGAACTGGGATTGACATGTAAAACAAGCTATTTAAAATTTTAAAAAAGATATAAATAAAAAAAAGAATGAACAATGAAAATGTAATAAATTTGACTTTCTTAAAAAAAAAAAAAAAGAGACAAACAAAAACACGAGAATTAGAAAAAGGCCGGTGGCGCAGCGGTAAGGGTGAATGAAGAGTGGAACTGACTCCAAATGCACACACCGACTGTGTCTGAGGTTACGAACTTTGCTACGCTTCGAGGCTCACTATGAATAAAACGCTTAACAAGATGGCTAGAAAACCTTAGCACGGGAACTCAAAAGTTAGGATGACGCAAGATATTACACGAGGTCTGCTTTTAGCGACCGAGTTAGGCTAGTTGTCAACACAGCCCTGGGGTCCTAGGACACAACAGGTAAACAACGCCTTCTCATCAGACTCTCGATCGACAGTCGTTCCAAGTTAGACTCCCATGATATCTCACTGCGCAGGTTCTTCAAAGGTGCTGTCGTGGGCAGAAAGGCATTAATTGCGATGTGGGTTTCCAAACCTGCCAGAGCAAGTTTGAATCACCTAACCTGGGAGGGGAAAATAAAAAGGGAATGTCTCCCACACTTCTTACATCTAAGGAGGTCGTAGAAGCTAGACCTCAGGGCCCACGAGAACTTCACCCAAACCTCCCCGGTAAAACCTGCAGGGCTCCCGGGCCGCAGCGCAGCGTCGGACGAGCCCTCGCCCAGCAGCCCACGCCGCCGGGTACCTGATGCTCCCGCTTGGCCGAGGGCTCGGCTTTCACCTCCGTCACAAACACGCACGGCATCTTCCGCTGCACCGAGCCCAGGCGGCTCATGGTGCCCACGGCAAGCGTGTGTGCACGGCGCTGGGTCCCGGCCTGAGGAAACCCTTCAGGCAGACAACCAGAGACCACTGCTGGGTGCAGCCGGGTGATCCAAACAGCGCCGCCGAGGTCCACCCCGACGAGGGGCGGGGACACACTCCCGGAAACGACCGCCTATTCGCGGCGCATCCTGGGAATTGTAGTGCGGCTGTGAGGCTACAGAGCTGGCTCCCCTGCGTGCAGGAGTCACCTTTGTTTTGATGACCAATTTAAAAAGAAAAGAGAAAAGATCCATTACCCGGTGTTGTGTTCTTGGCCACAGCTTTGTAACAGTGATTTTTCTTTTGGAAATTAGCATCCAGTTGTAAGTGATGAATCACTTTAGGATGCAACTTAGCGCGTTTCTCTTGAAACTCATTTGTCTGCTTTTTCTTAAGAAATTAAAGGGATTATAAACCTGGAGAAGTTTTGAAAGAACTTCCAGACATTTCCTAATGTGCAGACAGAAAGCTTGATTTCACAGGAAGAGCAATAGAAAAACGCTACAATTAACAGAACTGGATTTTTTACGCTTCTGTTTAAATTAATCATTATACAGTGTATAATTTGGTTCTTGGTGTCCTTTCCGATGAGTAAAATTTAGACAAATCCAAAACCATGGAAATATCAACAAACAGTACTGTAAAGTTTTTCCTGGGAATCCAACAAAGGCTTGAGCTAAATATATAGCTTGCTTTACTTGACTACCTGTCCAAAATGACATTTGACTGTAAATAAAACTGATGCTTATATAAGAAATAAATACTATATTATAGTAGACCTAGCTCACTGAAGCCTAAGACCATAGGGAGATTTTTGACCTTACCATCTTAGGTAATTGGAAAAGCCAATTTTTATTTCTGTAATCGTTTTTATCATATAATTCTAATTTATATTTCCATAACTGCTTTATGAGTATGTATCCAACTGCCCGGCATTTTACTTACTTAAGCTTTTGGAAAAAATTAAATAACTTGTCTCCCTTTGAAGTATCTATACATCAGGGGACTCTCAAAGAATAAAGTATCCCTAAAAACAAGTTCATAGTTTTGTGATTACTGGATTCACAGTGGAGGCAGAGAGTGAGGAAGAAGTTGGCCATTTTACAATATTTCTCTTCTGGTATATAATTTTTATCATAGGCAAACATACCCAATTTTATACAAAACAAAAGAAACTGAGGGGTTGGGGTAGAGAAAGACTACCCACATGGTTCTGGCTTTGTGGTGTTGAAACCAGAAATTTCTTAGCCTTTTAAAGTCAAGCTTTGGTAACTTCTTTGAAACTCCAGAAAAATCCTAAACAGCAGCGTGTCTCTTGGGTCTCAGACAATCAAATGACCTTTCCAACTCTCAACTGTCACTTCCCAAACTGCCACAGAATATTCTAGATCCAACATTCTGCCATTTCTTAGAAAAGATGATCTTCCAAAAACATTCTACTTGCTTTAAGCCTCTCTCTGGAAGGACCCAGCAGCAATATTTAGGTTCCTTCACCATCTAGAGCAAGGTTTCTGATAGAAACAGAAGAAGCCTTACCAGGAGAACATCACCGATCAGGTTACAGTTGTAAACTGTGTCCCTACTCTGAAGGATGGCAGCCATCAGCTTCTCCCAATTCAGACACAGCAGAGCTGGTAGTGGGACCCCTGGCCACCAACCTTAAAGTGATACTGCAGGATAATCGGAAGATTTTTCTTCTCTGATGTATTAGTAACCTAGCACACACCAAGAAGAAACTCCATCTGTCTGTCTTGACCTGCCTGCACAAGCCAGGATTTCTGGATCTGTTTTTGAAGACAATTTTCCTATCACCTTTCATTACAGGGAGAATCATAGGTTTCTGTAAAAGACTAAAATGAAATCCACAACAGGATGGAAATGATGTCAAAGTGAAAAGTAAAACTAAGGGATAGAAAAAGGAAAGAGGAGGGTTCTGGGTATCCCAAAGACTAACAGAAGATGCCCATTGTGTGTTGCACAATGAAAGGTCTTTTTGTTTTTTGTTTTTTTTCTTTTGAATCCCTTTGTGATTTTGAGCTGATTTTGCTATGTCTAGTGGAATGAGAACTACTCATCAGCTATTGAGGTAAAAGCATTTTTCAGTCATTTCCATGTGAAATCACTTAATTCAGCATTAATAGTGTTTTACACAACATCTTAAAGCCACCTAATGAAACTTCACACTTAGTCATGAACCCCTCTGGGTGAGATGAACACTTGAAGACACTTCTTAGAGGAGTGTCTCCAACTTGCCTACTAAGATGAGCACCTTGCTCTTCTAGAGTTAGAAGGGCAAACCAAAAGGCAAGGCTTATGTTTATTTACCAAAAATTTCAAGGGGTTTCCCAAGTCTTTATCTATTCTTTTACCTATAACATTACCTCATTCCTTTTATTTCAGAGTTACAAGCAAAATAACCTTTGCTAAATTTATTTTAGTTCTAGATTATTACTCTAGACCACTGGACTCAAAAAGTTCATGGCAATTTACCCTGTTTCACTTAAAGTGGAATTCCATGTTTGTCTTGATCATTTGAGATTTCAATTAAAAGCCTGTAATAATTTAAAAACATGCTTTGATTCAGTGTGCTCAGTCATCTCCAGCTGACTTCTACGTGACCTATGATGAATAGTCTTCATTTCTGCTAGGTTCTGATTCTTATAGGAAGGATGCTTGGATGAAGACTTTAAAAACAGATGATTGAAATGTCTCCCTCTGGGAATCAGAGGCTACATATTGTTTTCAACAAATTCTCCAAGTTTTCAAGCATGCTGGAAACCCTTGCTATCAGATGAAGCTAATCCCCGTCTTATGATGGATGGAAATGGAATAAAATCACTGGATGAATAGGTACTCCTGCTTATTTCCATGTACATTTATTACTGTTACAGCCTGGCTATGATTTTTCCTAAGTCGATGTATATAGATAGCACCAGGTCCATATTTAAATAATTGTATCTATTTTCCTGTATATAGATAGCATGTTTATGTTAGTTTCATTTCAAACCACATATAGAAACAGCTATTTATTCATGAAATACTTACCAATTTTAATTCTGAAAGTATGAATTTGTGTTCCTTCTTTAACCATAACACTGAAAAATAAAGTACAGTGTTAAATTTACAGATAATCTTTTTTCATTCTTGATATATATATATATATTGGGTAAGGAAAATATTCCCTTAGGTGGAGTAGCCTACAGTTACATATGAGGTCATTTATGATGAGCAAACAATGGATTATGTAACAATGGGGAAAATTCTGGAAGTTTGAGTTTGTGTGATTACTAGTAACCACTTTCAACATTTCTGCAAAGCTAGAGAAGGTATCTTCTAATTTCAATTTATTTAAGAATTATCTATTGTGTAATATACTGTCAACAGGAGGTCAGTTTTGAAGGAATACTACTGATAGCCTGAAAGGCTGTGGAAAAGAACAATTTTCCCCCTTACACACTGATAGTTCTTATATTTGCGTTCCTGCAATTTGTACATATTTATAAAAATCAATCATTGGATTAGCAGCAAGAGATTGAAAATGGCAGAAGTTGGGAATGACTGCTATTTCTTTGTTAATTCCACATGCATAAAGGTAAATATTGTACAACTTACAGTACACATGCTTAAGCTTTTTCGTAGAATGAAGGAAGAAACAGCAATAAAAAGATACCTTAATTCTGAAGTAAAAGCCTGTGTATTTTTGATATCCTGAATTTATGTGAGGAAATATGGGTTAATTTTAAATTATTATGTATTTAAAATTCTTCTTTATAGTCAGTTAAATGACAGTTTTCATATAACATTTTGCATATATTATTCTTTAATATATTATTCTTTAAGCATTAAATTCCTAATTCTGTACACTATATAATGGTATTTACAATATAGCATATTATTTTGGTGAATATAACTTCAGTCATATATTATTAAACACTTGAATTCAGATTGCTATCAATGGTGTAGTATATATTTCCTTATTTGAAATTCATTAAAACAGTGATTGCATTTTTCCTGTCAGAAGTCTGAGTAACAGCAAATATTTCAATACCATGTGAAGAGAGATAGAATGTAGCATAAAAAAATCATCCACAGTTAAAATGTCTTAAGTGGAAAATTTGAATTGGCATTAATGGATATTGAAAAACGAATAAATGTGGAAACTCATTTGTTGCTCACGTCACAAATGAACATAAAAATGATAGATGTTCTGTCCAAGCAAGCATCTTTCAGTTCTGCTAGAAACCTAGACTCAAACTTTTTGGCCACGAGCATTCAACAAACTTTTGTCATGTTACCTTTCCAAGAGTTCTTGAGTGATGGACATTTTGTTCCAGATTCAGATTTTTGTCTTTTTTCTTATTTTACCCCCAAGTAATTGATGAATAGAACCTTCTAAGGAAATGACTACTAGACAGAATTTAGAAACCACTATACCTTACATCACATCATGTCTCTAATATACTATGAAAAGTTTATTTTTAAGAGTAAAAACAGAAAATGAGTTATGAACACTATGGCTGTTGACAGTAGTGAAGCTGTGATGTTAAATATCAGTTTGCCTGAATGCAAACTCATTATCCTGTGCTTTGGGAATGCAAACTCCATCTCTGAAAGGAAAAGAAAGTGAATAGATAGAAAGAAGACATAGACTATATTTCAAAGAGAAAGGGATGGAATGGAATGTTGTTATTGCTTGCCCTTCCCCTGTCTATGAGAAAGTGGTTTACAGTTTTCCCAACTATGAGTATATGCATAAAAGAATGTAGAAATAGCAGGCCATTGGCATAATCCATATCTACTTTGACTGGTATATAAAATACCTGTGTAAATATATTAGTCAGTTGTTTGTTGATGTGGAAATTATTTCACCATATCACACAGTTGAGAGGCCACTTACTTTCTTGGCATCAACACAATTAGCAGCATCCCCAAAGACTGCTAGTCTTAGTGGTTGGTAGAACCTGTCTTCACATGCAGGATGTGGTTAGTACATGGTAGACACTTGCCAAGAGAAATAAAGCTTCCCTGTCACTATATTGCAATCAAGGGAGTCTCTGCTCTCCCATCTTTGCTCTTGTGGATTCTGAGGGCACACTTAATGCAAAGGACAGCATTTTGAGAGTAACTTGGGATGAGTCAACTTGTGGTGAGTTAACTTGTGGTATGTTGCACTGTTTGATGACCTTTTCTTACCATTTCCTCACTAAAAAGAGACAGAGTTGGGGACAACTTAGTCATTGCAAGCCTGTATTGATAGTGTATGTTTTCAGGATTCCAATTTTACAGACTCCTTCTTTTTTAATTGCTTAACATTTTGCTATCAAACACTAACATTAATATAGTGTATCTTCTGCACTGTTGATTTCTTAGGGTTCCCAGTGCCGATTCAGACACTGTGAAGAAGCCCTTGGCAGTGACACTGTGTGCTCATTATGGAGAGAGAGAAAATGTTTAGATCCACTTTGCAGATTTAGACACATGGAAATGCAGGTAAAATGGCTGATCATTTTCACTAAAATATTCTCCATCCTTCCTCATTGCATTAAACTTTTGTAACAAAATAGGGAAAAAAAAGGTTCTTCCTCCCCCCAAAATTTAAGTGTTTTTCACTTTGATCAAACTAAACTTGTAGAAAAAAAAGAGAGCATTTTCTCTTAAACAGAAAACTTTAGAGGTGGCAAAATGGAGGAAACATGATTCTCAGTCAGCAATTTAAGCTATTCTTGTCACACAGCGTTTGTGTTCTAACAGCCTGCATTTATTGTGAGTACCTAAACATTGTGTTTTCCCCACTTCCTTTTTGTAGCAAAACTGCAGCATTTCATGTTTCTGGGAAACCCAACCTCTTGGTTGTGTGAAGATCAGTTGTATCTTTTACCACAGCAAACCCCGAAATATCAATGGATTATTTTTGCCACCAAGTAGCAGTGAGTATATCTGTAATTACTGCATATCCAGTGTCAATGCTTAAGGAGGCATAGTTGCATACAACCAGGTGAAAAGTGCAGGAATCTGTCATAGGTGTGGAGAGCTAAAGCGTGCGCTGGGTTACACATCAATGTTCTGTCACAGCAGCTGTCTGCAGTGATAAGAAAATGCCCTTTGTGGTGAGGCTTGACATAGATTTTTCCCACAACACAGAGGACCTTGGATCTAAGGGAACCTTGTTGGAGAGATTGCTGATTTCAAGGTCTCCCTGATGCTGCAGCAACCTCCCTCTGCTACAGTCACTATTTGTCTCTGGTGGAATAGTCTTAGATATGAGCAGAATAAGATATTAGTCCTTTGGGAGTTAAAAGATTAGTTTCCTGTAATTCAATAAGTGGGTAGCTAAAACTTTAGCCTTTTTATTACACACTTTGGGAAGCTTTTGACCTCATAAAGCACATCCCATATGCAATACTTTTATTACTGTTTCTCTTTCTCAGTATACTGAAAGCATCTGGAGACTGGGGAACATAATTTCTTTGCCATTGCTTTGTAATATCTGAACCATAAAGAAAATAACGTGGAGGAAATTGGTTGCTTAGATAAATGGGTGGGGTGTGAAAACTTACTCTGTTGAAAGTACTGAAGCTATGTAACGGATTAACTTGGCTTGGTTAGTTTACAACAGTATGGTTTTTATCCAGAGAAAAACAATCCCATGGCATTATTTTTATCTGGTAGTTTGATCCCAGGGATTTCACTGGCTCTTTTAAGACCAGCAGGAAACAAAGACTGCTTCCTCTCAGAGCAGAGCTGAATGAGATGCCTGTGTAAATGACAATTGTTCATCTTCCCACTGTTAAAATGAGCTCTGGGCTAGGTGCTCTAGTGTTATTGGGTGGGTTGTTCTTGTGTTTTGTAAATAGAACTTGCCTTCCTGGTACTACCAACTTTCCCAAAAGGTGTTATGGCTTCACCTGAACACTTGATGTAAGCCTCCGTTCACTGAGTCTAACCCTTCCCCCTAAATATTTTATCTCATGAGAAAATATTAAAGGGATGTGTCAACAAATAATGCCCAGTTTCCTTAAATCTCCTTGACTTTTGGGAAGACAGGAGAGAGTTCCCCACACTCACAACACTATCTAGCCAGCATAGTGCACTTTTTAAAAAATTTGAATAGAGCTAATTTCATGCTGGCTTTTATTTGTTTATGTCAATCAGTGTAAGGGACTATAGACTGGCACTCCTCTGTCCTTCTGCCATTTTTACTCATTCGTCTCCATTTTGCCTTTGTCAACACAATTCTATCTTCTCTGAATTTTTCTCTCATCTTTCACACTTTTATGTAAGAAGTTTTCCCTTGAGGACTCTGGTTCTCCTATGGCACTCTTCACTGTTGGATGACAATTCCTCACCCCAAATCTCTCTCTCTTTCAAATCTCAAGTGCCACCAGCTCTAGTGTAAGATGAGGGATTTTCCTGGTTTTTGCTGCCAATTTCAGACTGTTTCTGACATTTTTCTCTAATACTGTCCAGCATGAATCTGATGAAAAGTATTTCTATTATTTTGTTCCTTAGTTCTGTGCCATTGTCTTTTGCTTTTGCTATGTTCATCTATCTTCCATCTGTTTTCAACAATATGCTACGTGTAGATCATTGTTACGTTAGTACCACGTTACTAATTCTTGGTAATTTCAATATGAAAATATGTGCTCTATCATCACGCTAGCTCCAATCACTTAGCCCTGTAATACCTTCTCATGAGTTTTCCTGGCAAACCAATGTTTTGCACACACTTGCCAATCTGTTACCATTCACTAACTGCAGCAAACCATTCCTACAGCCATAATATTGTTACATGACTCCCCACTCTATTGTGTCTGCAGCCGTTAAACTGCTCGTGTCTACAGGAAAACACATGACCATACTGATGGAGTTTTAGATTCTTGACCACAGACCTCAAATGAGTCCACACTACTGACTTCAACCATGCTCTATGTTAGTCCCCATATACATCTGTTTTCGTCTAGAATTTGATTTTGTATTGTCTTCCTTCTCATTCATCTTCCAACATCTCCTCATCCCAGATGGTGACCTTAATATCTTATTGAAGAACTTAAGGAATGAGTAGGAAATTTCTACAGGTTTCCATCTACCCATGTAACTACCAAAAGTACTAATATCCTTTTTACACTTACCATAATGAACTATCATTGTCTATCTAGTCTATCTTCCCACTTGGTAACTAAATGAACATAATCTCAGCAATTCTTCCACACAAACATTTTGAATCTTACCAAATCATTCCTTTCATCATACAAATACGTATTTATCTCTTTATTAGTGAGATAGTATTTCTTCTCAATCCAGTTTCTCACAAGTAGCTACTCCATGTTGTTGTTGTTTTTTCCCACTGCAGTGTCTCTTAAAGTATTTGTTTATTCTTGCTGTAAATATTTTCCTTCCCGCTTCCTGCTCCTCTGTCTTTATAATCTTCCTCTCTTTTCTAATAATCAGGCTTCTTTGGCCCCTCTACATTATAAAATACACTAGTCAAATCTGAGTTCTTACGTAACTTGAGATAGTAGAAGACGTGGATACATTTGACATCTCTTTCTCCTGTCATACAATTCCTTAGCAGCTTGCAAACCTGAATACTGCCTTCATTCTATAACTGGTGTGACTTGCCCTTGCCAGTTACGCCTTGTGGGTAGTATCCCAGGAGGTTGTAGATTTCTTTTTTTCTGTCTCCTCTCTTGTAATATCATCCCATCTTATTTTTATTTTTAATGTTTTTAATCACATGCCATTTATACATAACATTGAGTTCGTTTATATTGTCACACTTGTACATAATGGGTCTTGATCATTGTCACACCTCTTTACTATTGTCGCCTCTCATCACTTTTGTCCTCTTTCCTTTTCCCCACTAGTAATTCTTTTAGGTTTATTGTATATTTATTTGTTCCCAGTCCGTGTCTTTGTAAGTGTATGTACACGTGTGTGTTCAAGTGCACCCACCTGAGTGCAAGTAGAACCCAGAAGAGGATGTCAGATAGAGTTACAGTCCATCACGGGACTCCAGCTTGTCACGTGGGTGCTAGGATCTGAACTCCATTCCTCATGGTTGTACAGGACATGGTCTTAGCCACTGAGCTTTCTCTCTCCAGCCTCAACTTTGTGGTTTCAATGATTCACACATCATTGACTCTGTTCATGCACCACTCCAAATTGAGACCTCCCCCCACCAACCATGAGATGTCTGAACTCAGCTCCTTAGTTTATCTCTTGATGTATATGACTCACGAGCATCTCACGTGTCACATGTTTAAGACTGACATCATGATTTTATCCATACTCTCTTAAAACTGTGCCATCATCACTGTTTCTGACTCATTTTGACTGTAAGTCCAGTCTTGCAGTTGCTTAGGTCATCTGAATCATTCCCCAAATTTCTGTCATATCCCACATCTAATCCATACAGAGACATAATTCTGCCATTCAAGCTATGTCAGAGTGAGACTTCATCACCATCTGTGTAATCTCCACACGGATCAAGCCACCATTATTGCCTTATAACTGTATTGTTACAGCAGCTTCCCGTTTCCCCCTGCTTTCTCTCTTTCTGTCTATTCAAAGTACAGTACCTACGGTCTTATGATCAAGCAGGTTTTAGTCCTCTACTCAGAATCCTCCAGTGTCTTTTCATCTAATTCAGAGAGGTCAGAGTCCTAACGAGAGCTTGAATTTGGAAAGTTATTTGAGCAAGTACTCTGCTAGTTTCCCTGAATCCAGATACTTCTCATTCAGCTCCAACTGTCTGTTTCCCTGTTTGCCTTTCCTGGAGCATGTTAGTCTATTCCTGTTTTCAGGGATTTGCAGGAAGTGCCCTTTCATGGTTACTTTTGTGGAGAGCTACTTTATTTCTTCAAAGTTTTGCTCAAATATTGCCTTTAATGAGGTCTAAGTGTAGCACCATGATTGCAATGTAGCCTGCTGCCCCATCTCCCCAATATACACTTCCAATTCTCCTTGCCCCTTCTAGTTCATGTTTGCCACATCCCATTAATTTGTCAGATGCAGTATAATTTGTTTGCTCTGTGCATTGTTTATTGTCTAACGCTTCCTTGTAGAATAAAAACTCTGTGAGACCAAGCATCTCTGCTTCATTTACCAATGTTATACACTTAACAGAGGCACATTGTAATTGTTAAAATGTGTTAGGCTGAGGATGTAGCTCAGTAAAGCAGTGCTTGCTAGTCCTGCTCCTCCTAAACACCTATAATCCTGGCACTTGGGTGGAAGGAAGATGATGCAAGGTTTAAGGTCATCCTCAGTTGTGTACACGTGAGCGTGAGTCCAACACTGTGACTGTGAGTCCAACACCGGCAGGACTGCACGTCTCAAAACAAAACAAAGTGATAAAGTAAAGTCACTCTCCTCTCACAGATCTCTTTTGTAAGTAAAAGTAACACTTGTGATCAGTTTGCACTTACAACTTCTCGGCTTACAATGGGGGTTTATGTCAACCAACCTGCCATAAGCTGAACATGTGCTTAGTACTCCCAAGCCCCAAGAACACCCTCCTATAGCGCCACAGTACACTATAGACAGAGTCCTTTGCTTCTCGATTATGTTGCCGACAAGGATCTGTGTTCACAGGCACTGCCCAGTGCCAACAGGATTAGCCTGAGAATATTGTCATCTTGAGAGAAGATTAAAATCCAGAGCTCCAAGTTCAGTTTCTGCTAAATGCCTGTCGCTTCGCAGCATTGTAAATTTGACCCATCCTAAAGCCAGGGACCAAATGCATAGTGACACACCACACAAAATGTGTGAACTCACCATCCAGTTCATCACAATGACAGAGTATAGCAAGTGACACTCTCCCCCTTAGTTACTGACAAAATGTTGATGCTTCTCAAGTAAGTCTAATCTTTCTAAAAATAAGGGAAATGTTTTAATATGCAATTAATTAAGAAGACAATGTTTAAGGGGACAGGACTATATCACAGTTGGTAGAGTGCTTGCCTAGCATACACAAAGGCCTAGGTTTAGACCCCAGCCCCACATAAACCATGTGTAGTGGTACCCAACGGTTAACCCAGTTTTGGGGAAGTAGAAGCAGGACAATCAAAACCAGCCTGGCTACAAATTAATGTGAGTTTGAGGCCAAGAGTGGATACAAGAGGCCCTGTTTCTTCTTTTCTTTCTTTCTTTTTAAAATAGTACTTAAAATTTTTTATTTATTTTATTTGTATGAGCTTTGTCTGAATGTATATTCCTGGTGCCTGAAGAGGCCATATGTGGGTGTTGGATCCCTTAGGAATGGAGTTACAGGCAGTAACTGCTATGTGAGTGCTAGGAATTAAACCAGGCAGGGCAGTGGTGGCACACGCCTTTATTCCCAGCACTCGGGAGGCAGAGGCAGGTGGATTGCTGTGAGTTCGAGGCCGGGCTGGACCGATAGTCTTCAAAACAATACAGAGAAACCCTGTCTCATAAAACCAAAAAAAAAAACAAAAAAACAAAAGGAATTAAACCCAGGTTTTCTGCTAGAGCAGTCAGTGCTCTTAACTGCCGAGCCCCTTCTGCTTTTCTTTTTTTAAAGACTGTTTTCTTTTAAATGTAATATTTTGTTGTTTAAAACATTTATATAGTGTATTTTGACAATGTACACCACCCACTTCCCCTAACTACTCTTAGATCCACTCCTCACCTTCCATCTTTCCACCCACAGTTTTGTGTTGTTTTTTGTTTTGTTTTTGTTTTTGTTTTTGTTTTTGTTAGATTTTAAATAACCCATCTCGACTATATACTCACGGATTTCTTCTGTCCATATACTCATGGATCAGTGGCAATCTACTGGACTGTGATCAGCCTACCAAGGGCCACACTAATAAAGCAAAATCATTTTTCCAGCTTCAGAAATCATTAACTGTCAAGCTCTTCGGTTAGGAAAGGGGCCTTGGAACCCCTACCCCTCCATACTGGGATGCTGACTGGTTTGATTTGGAGCAGATCTTGTTCAACCACAGCTACTGTGATCTGATGAGTCCAACAGTTCTGTCTCATCTAGAGGATATGAGACCATTTCTGTTTTCTGAGAGAAAGAAAGAGAAGAGAGAGAGAGAGAGAGACAGAGACAGAGACAAGAGAGAGAGAGAGAGGAAAGAAGGAAAGGAAAGGAATGGAAAGGAAAGGGAAGGGAACGGGAGGGGAGGGGAGGGGAGGGGAGGGAAGGAAAAACAAAAAGAATGGTGGGTCACTGAATGTATCAGTAACAGTGGTTGAACAGACTAAAGCATTGTGTTTTCTCTGTAGACACCACCTTACAGAAAGAAAGTCAGGAAGGAAATCCACCCCCAAGCCAGAGTCAGGAACCTCTGAAACCCATGGAGAATGTATCACGGCCCATTCATAATCCATTAGTTTTAAAAACTAACTTTGAAGAAGAGGAGGAGGAAGAAGAGGAACAAAATGGTTAGTACCCCTTTTCTTGGATTACAGTACACATGTAAAAACCCACAGTATTTTCTATATGCTCCTCAGCTATTAGAGGCTTAGACTGAAATATATATCTTGTTGATCTTGTTGAGAAAATACTAATATTATTAACGAAATGAATTGTGTTTTGTAATTTATTCTCTGTCTGCACATGTTTATGCTGCTTTGGACTAAGAGGTTTTGTTGTGTGATGGCTGGGATACATATGTCATGATTAAGTGCATGTACTTACAGACATACAGATAGACTCATAAGCTACAACTGTTGTGACACTGATGTACATACATCTATTTCTCATGACATTTACTCCTTTGAGATTTAAGGATCCAGGGAATAGCTTGTAATTGATAAAAGACTGTTGGTCACCCATATTATCCATGATATTTTGTAGAGAAGTATGGACAGAATTAGTACCCATATGTTCTGCATCATGGTCCTTCCCTATCCTCATACATCCTCACAGCACAGTGGACCCATTCAGATAAACTTCGATGAACACCGGAAAATGCAAATTTACTTTGTCTCTGCCCCGTATCTTTCTGTGGGTACCAACTGCCGTAGCTTCTGTGCTTAGGAATGCACAGGGTTCTTCACTGTTCTTTTTGTCAGGGATCATCTCTTCCTCTCTTGTGCTCACATGCTCTACCATACATCATCTCAGTGAGTCTGTGCTGTCAGCTTCTCCTTTTAGGACACAGAACACAGAATATATAATTTCTCTTTGATGATTCTTTCAAATACTAAACACGGAGGCATTTGGAAATACAAGCTTGTACTTTTTATTTTTTTTACTTCAAGCATTAGATGAAGAACAGTCCATCCATGAAAACAATATTTGGGATTTTTCTTTCTGATTTATAAATTTTCAGATTATTTGGATTTGGGACAATTTAATTTAAAAAAAATATATCCTATAGATGCTTCTAGTTTATGGACAAAGACACCCGAAGAGATTGAAGAGAAAAGAGCAATAAAGGAGATGTGTTACAAATCTGGTAAGAAATCAAACATTTATGGGCTTTCTTAAGATTGACAGGCTCCCCATGCTAACCATTCTCTTCTCACGGGAGTTTAGGTGAATACTATAGATTCCATGCTCCTCCAGACGCTTCGTCATCAAAAAGCGTAGCTCCTACAGTGGAAAAGGAGTTAGAAAAGCCTTTGGAAAATGGCAGTGAATTGCAAGAAGGTAAGAAACGAGACACTAATATTCAAGCTGACGTGTAAGTGATACTTTGTGTGTAGACCCTGATTTGTTTTGTACAGAGCACACCAGATCAGGATTAAATGATAAATTATGCATCTGTTTTGGGAGTGAGGAGGAAGCTTTTTACTGGATGACCCAAATTTCCCATGAAAGGCTACTGTTAAGAGGTACAGGCAACTCTCACTCCACACAAGAATTCTGTAAATAATTTGCCTTTCTGTGTCTGCAGAACATCTCTCTGTGTAATGGGACTTGCTCTTTTGTTCTGAATGGAAAGTGTCACCCAGATCAGTATGGACAAAATAAGGTGGCAAAATGATGTCAGTAGCAGAATAACAGTCTGTCTATTGAATGAATGTCTTTTGTGTATCAAGCAATTTTAAGGCAGTTTGGACGGGAAGCCCTAGGCTCTTTCTTTCATGATGCATTTCCTTTAAGCAGGTCTGAGTTTTCTCCTGGTCAGCACCTTGTCTTTGAAGGCTAGAGAAAGAGCATTCATTGTATTGTGTATAGAAAAGCGGGACCTTGAAGAAAAGTTCACAAGCATTTAAAGTTTATGTAGGCTCCCTGGTTTCAGAGTGAGCTTGTGTACATATTGTAGTGGTAGAAAGAGAGTTTAATTGCTCCTGATACTCTAGAGGGCAGGAAGGAGGGAGGACACACAGAGAGAGGAGCTAGCAGAGAGAAGGCAGAGCAAAGAAAAGAAACGAAGAAGCCGAGAATGGTCGGATGGATACAGAGCAGAGCATCTGTACTCCTCCCCTCTGCATGTGGCAAGCTGTTTAAACGGCTGGCAGAAGGTGGCAGCAATAGACCATCCGAAGGGGGAGCAGACTGGAGCCTGTGCTAACCAGATGCCAGAAACCTTAAAACAAGCATAAACAAAAGACAACGCTACCATTCAAATCTAAAAATGGAAGATTATAAAACAAACGATGTATACAGGTGTCTACATATAAATATTGCCTTGTGGTGCTGTCAAAAAGTTAATTACTGAACTCCCTGTTCACTTAGATCAGTGGCTCTCAACTGTCTAATGTGATCCTTTAACACAGTTCCTCGTGTTACGATAATCCCCAGTCAGAAGATTATTTTTGTTGTTGATTTATAACTGCAATTTTGATACTGCTAGGAATTGTATTGTAAATATCCGTGTTTTCTGGTGGCATTGGGTGACTCCTGTGAAAATGCCATTTGACCCCAAAAGAGTCATGACCCACAGGTTGAGAACTGCTGACTTAGACAGTAAATGTAAATACTTTAGTACTTCTGGGGTTTTACTTACTATCAGAGTAATTATGAACACTGCCATCACTATTTTCTGGACTGTGGCAAGTGAAGGTAAGATGCCCTCACTCTTACATAACCATAGCACAATAACACTGTTTTTGTTTATGCCGCCCCAAACTTCACCAGCTACCCACTGGTATCCACAAAGTGAATTCACTCTTTCTTGTATACTAATCCAGAAGCTCATACTTCTTTAGGTTACTGTGTCTCTTCTCATTCTGATGCCACAGCTTATTTTCAAAGTAGATTTATTTGGATATATACAATGAAAACTCAGAATAATTAAAGTATCAAGTATCAGTAATATGACTTTACTGTTTGCTAAATTAATCAAGAAGTGGCAGAAACAAAAGAAATATTTCAAGTTTATTACAATAAAACACCAAATAAACTAAAGAAATTACCCTCACATAGTAGTGTAAGACTGTTTATACCTCACATTGTCATTTCGTTACTAATCCAAATAGGATGACAAACTTCTGCTCTTTTATCATTTACAAAATTAGCATGAAATAAATGTGCTTATATATTGTTCACCAGATCACTAATCAAATCATGTGTTTATTAATGTTTAAGCTACTTAGCCATCACTGTGAATTCTATTTCAATCTTATTTATAATGTAAAGGTTGCTGGAGTGACTTTTTATTTCTCCCATTGTAGGGGATGGTCTTACAGTTCCAACAAAGTTTAGCCTTTTTGAAAGGCCAGGTGAGGCAAAGACATCATTGGATAGGAAACCAAGGACTGACATTGCTGCTTTTGAAAACGGAGGTAAGCTAGATGTTTCCGAATATGTTATGTTGTGCCCAAATTCTGAACCCCAAAGTTACCAAGAGGCCCTTTTCTATGCAAAAGCAGAGTCTTTTACTGCAGTTGTTTAACGAGCTAACCCCATTAGCTCGGGCCTTTCATCCATTCACCAAGTTGGATGGCTGGAGAAAGACCCCTAGAAACCATGAGGCAGGGATTTTAAAGGGCAGCATAAGGGGAGTGTCTAGGGGTATGAAACAGTCTCAGGATTGGTGCACTTCCAGGTTTGGGTGACCTGCCCTGTATTGATTGGTTAGCTGGTTGTTATGGCCCATAGGCCCTCCCAGTGTGGCTGCTATGCTCTGCACATCATTGTTGTGCACTTGTCCATAAAGCATGCCCAGAGCCGTAAAGCACAGCCCTGCCAGCTAACTTCTGATTGGTTCCTTGTCATGATGTGGCAGGTTTCTGACCTCCTAGTAACCAGGACAGGAGTGGCAAGGTCATTCAAGCACATGTTAGCCTGTCATGGCTGCTAAAGCAGCAGGGGTGGGGTGGGAGGGAACTGGCGGTGGGTGGGGGGAACGTGGTCACTACAATTACTTTCAGAACTAAGTTTTCACCCTTGATTTTTTTCTATTTCCTGTTTGATACAAGATTTTATTTGGAGATACATCATAAAATAAGATGTCATGAAAGGTTGGCACCTTATGGGATCCTGTCTTTGAGGGCCTTTACTTGGAACCAGCCAACTTGCCCAGTCTGTACCTGAGGTGGGGGTAGGGGGGTGGAGGGTGGATTGAGAAAAGACTCAAAGAAGAAGACAGAAACACAGTATAGAGTCAGGTGGTCAATTCAGTGAATACTGAACTCCCCAGGTTTATTCTTCAACATTCTTAAATACCCCAACCAGAAGGGGACTTGGCAGAAGACTTCTATTATCATGTATAAGAATCAAACAGACTCTCTTTCCTTAATCCTTCAAGCATTTGGTAACCACACCTGTTATCTGGCCTTGAGGGTCAAGAGTAAACACACCCAAGTCCAAGTCTGTTGTTATTTAGATAAGACATCCACTAGTAAGGCCAAAACACCCAGCAGTAACCAAGCCTTAGTTAGATAAGACATCCACTAGTAAGGCCAAAACACCCAGCAGTAACCAAGCCTTAGTTAGATAAGACATCCACTAGTAAGGCCAAAACACCCAGCAGTAACCAAGCCTTAGTTAGATAAGACATCCACTAGTAAGGCCAAAACACCCAGCAGTAACAGTAACCAAGCCTTAGTTAGATAAGACATCCACTAGTAAGGCCAAAACACCCAGCAGTAACAGTAACCAAGCCTTAGACTACTTAGGTCTTTTGACTTAATAAGGTCAGTTTTTAACTCTGGCCTCGAGGCATGATGAAGCAGAGCCATTTTATGGGCCCCGACAGCATCTGTACCAAATGCTGGGAACTTACACTCCATGTACAGGGCAAGACATTCCAGTTTCCATTTCATTATGAGAAATCTGGCATGGCTGTGTGCATGTTCAACTTCAGTTATAATTCAGATATTAAGCACATGCAGTAATGTGCTAATAGATCCAAGTGCAGGGAAGGGGGTTAATAAAAGCTTGGAGAAAATTATGACAGTTATGTTTGAGTATATATGTTTCATTTACTCCAAGATTATCTTTGTTTATCATAGCTTAAATATTTTAAGACTATACTGCTTATTAGCATATGGGGAAAATCTATCCTCTGTTAGAGATATTAATTTCTTGAGAAAATGTAGACACCTTTTTTTGATACAGAGAAAAGACTGAGAGGAAGAATATATGTCAAAGATGAAAGGAGGCTGAGAAAAGTGCCAATAGGTACCAGCAAGACTGCAGCATGTTGGAAATGCTCTCCACAAGCCTCACTTTCACCTGCTTCTAGCCTTTCCTTCTGTCTACCTTCCGCCCGTGTGCTAATTTGATCCTTTCCTCTTCTCCCCCCCTTCCTCTTTCCTCTTCACTGTGTCTGCAGTAGACCCATGGCATCATTGGTTACTTTGAAGCAACAAGTCCCAGCTCTAGTGAGAGAAAGAGCAAAGTTTGCATTTTATACTTTGGCAAAACATTACGAAACTGTTTCGTATTTTGTTTGGGAAAAAGTTATTTTCAGTCATTGACACCCTAACCCTTTCATGTAAAACATTAGCATTCTTCATATGTATTTCTTGCTTTCTTGAGACTTAGGAAATATGAGAAACAGCATTGCACTTTCATTATTCTTTCTAATAATACCGCGAATAACCACCAGTTTAACAGCAATACCAAAGGACATTAAACCTCTCAGTCTCCTGGGAGACTGGCCTCCTGACATAGTGAGTCTTGTTGATTCTCCAGCTATCATAATATTCTTTGTTCAATTACAAACATCCCTAGGGTGTCTGCACATACTAAATTCACCATTTGATTCTTTTAAGTAGCTTATAGAACATCTTGAGAGGAAAATGGTAAATGTAAAGTTACAGTTGTAGCTAGTGAGTTCATACTTACTTTAAACATATGAAGCATTGTTTTTTAATTTTACCATTTTAAATGTCTTCTTGAACTTTAAATTTAGTGAATTTGAGGTATATAGCTTGGAGAAAAATTCACATTCATACCCATCTGTATAGACATATATATTTTTTTTATGAACTCATTGGCTACCTTGACATCGTCTTTTGTGAAGTTGCTCTGTTATATACCAATGCCACTTAAATCAGCTTTTTATTACCAGTCACTAATGGATTAACAAAGGCGATGATGTCTGCCCCCACAGTTTAGTTTTACATTTTTAATTACTATTTAAATGGAAATGTCCAGTTTGGGCTCCTTCAGTTAGAGTATTTTAGTTTAGTATTTAAGTTGAATTGTATGAGACATATCCACATCGTTGACTGTTGCAGTAACTCTTAGACATTGCTGTAATTTTTTAATATATACATGTAATTTTCATACGTATACATCCATATGTATATAAGGAGATAGTACATATAAGCATTTACGTGCACCTATTTAAAACACTATATATGGATGCATTTCTTTCTTAACACACCCACACACACACACACACACACACACACACACCAGAGGGGGGTGAGGTGGGGAGAAAGAATTCCCATTATTTGCAGTAGCTGTAAAGATGGCATGAACACTGAATGAGCAAATATTAAACTGTCTGTATTTTCAGAGAGTAGACAGACTCCAGAAGCATTAAGTGACTCTGCTCAGGCTCGTCACTAGGCAGGTGCCAGTGTTAGGATTCAGATCCCTTGCAGCTTCCCTTGCATTAGAGAGATGGCAGGCTGCTGTGCTGTCCTTCTGAAAGTCCCATTCTGTGCCTTATCTCTGCATGAAAACACAAGCAAGAATGCTGAAGCCCATCACCTCGCTGGACCTCATTAAGGAATGTGTGCAGCTGAGAATTCAAATTCTCACACTCTGTGTGGTGTTTGTGAAAAGTACCAGCAGTACCAATAATAGACTTCGTTTCCAGCTTGTGGCTATCCGTCCCTTAAATTTAGCTTATCTGTTGGATAGCTTGTAATACCTCATTGTCATTTTAATTCACATTTCCCCGATTATTAATGACATTGAACACATTTTCATGGCCTTACTGTCTACCTCGACTTCTCTTTTGCCTAGTTGTTCTATCTCAATACCATTTAAACTTCGCTTTTTTTTTTATGAGTTACTCTAGATACAACTGGAATCCTCCTGCTGACCTGAAGTCTTGCTTGCTAGTGCTTCCTCTTTGCCCCCTTTAAATATAATTCTACCTTCTCTGTGACCTTTTAAAGAATTCCCCACCTAAAAATTCTGAATCTTTTCTTTTTTTGTAATAGGCTTGCTATTATTTTTTCCTACCTTGCCTTTTTATAATGCTTAGATCATTTTCAATTTCCTCTGGTTTTGATAAATGTGTTTCCTAGTACACCTTCTTAGCTTTAATTAGATGCTGGACATTGCAAGGAAAACACTACAGAATGTCTGCCTGAAGTTGCTTTCTCATGGGAAGCTCCGTGGGCAGCAAGGGAGCCTGCTGCACCATGTGAAAGGGACATACTGGTTGACCTATTGTTTGTCCTTTCTTTCAAGTAACAGTGGTCATCCCAAAGACGAGACCATCCCTCCTAAGACATAATCTTTCTGGCTTTTAACTGAGAGCTCATTGAACTAGTCATTAAGATCTCTCTGCCCTAGGGGAGGCTCCCACTCCAGACTGTGCCTCCCAGATAGTACAGGACTACTGAAATTTCTGACTAGGGTTTGAGGCTCTCAAGGCTATTTTTTTCCAATGGTACTTTTTTATTCTTTGAGTATTCCATTCGTGCATATACCACCTCTTTGTAAATTCTACCCTTATTGGCTCCCTTCCAGTTCCTTTCCGTTTGCCTGTACCATCTTTCCCCTCCTAGCTTCATGTGCCCTTTCTAAACATGCAGAGTCCACTTGGTCTCCTTGTATGTACATGGGTGTAGGAGTCTTTTGGAGCATAGGTAGCCTCTCTAGGATCACCTCTCTGAAGAAAACTCCCTCCCTCTACCTCAGCAGCTTTCACTTTCCTATAGTTCTTTGTCTAGGGATGGGACTTGATGAGTTCCTCTTCTGTCCATGCTGGCATTTTGGTTGGCCTGATCTTATGCAGGTCTTGGGCATGCAGTCACAGCTTCTGTGAGTTAGTGTGTGTGTGTGTGTGTGTGTGTGTGTGTGTGTGTGTGTGTGTGGTTGTGTGTGTGTAATGGTACTGCCATGCCAGGCAAATATTGTTTTGCTGCAGACATCCACTACCTCTGCCTTTCACAATCTGCCTTCCTGCTTTTACATGGTGATCACTGAGCCTTTTGGGTTGAGGGAGTGTGGTACAGATGCCATCTTCTGAGTTGGGCACTCTATCATCTCTTATTTTTTCCATGTCAACTACTTGTGAGCCTCTATATTCACCTCCATCTACTGAAACACACACACACAAACACACACACACACACACACGCACACGTGCATGTGTGCGCACGCAAGATGGGAGCTATAGACAGGAAAATACATGTATGTACATATAAACACATCGCACACACAAATGGTTATTTATTTATTTTAAATTTATTTTTATTTTATGCACACATTTGTCTGTGTGAGGGCATCAGATCTTGAAGTTACAGACAGTTGTAAGCTGCCATGTGGATTCTGGGAATTGAACACAGGCCCTCTGGAAGAGCAACCAATGCTCTTAACCACCAAGCCACATCTCCAGCTTGAAGATAGTTACCTAAAACAAATAATTTTTTTTGCTCAGTAGAACAAATTGCGTGTTGAATGAACTATGAATCTTATTTGTAGTATTTAAAGCTAATATGTATATTTACATTGAAAAAATATAGAAGACTTTTAAGGAAAGCATAACTGTTTTCGTGTATCTGGAGATTTTACATGAAGGACAAGTTACATTTACTATGAATATCTCTGAAGATCTCTATGTTAGAGGGAAGTTAATTTTGTTGAACATGTGAATTTTCTTGCAATTGTCTATATGTAAGCTTACATACTGGCCGCATAAATAACATAGCTAATACACATGCACTAACCTAAGCATCTGTGATAGAATATGTATTGATACGAGAATAGAATGATCTGAGACATGTTTAAACAAAAGTGGATATCAGAGATAGTATATCATTCCTCTATTGAAAAGTAGTCATGTGTATCTTGTCACCATTGCTACCCCTGACTGGAATATTTTTTTTCAGGAGGTGACTGCTATGCTCCGCAAAGGATCATATTTCTTGGAGTGGATGAAAGTGAAGCATTAGCTGAAGTAAAAGAAATCACCTCAAAATGTTCAAATGTCAAAGGTAATGAACCATGTTATAAAACTGACCCATCTGTACTTTGGGTAGATAAATTAAATGGACATCTTAGATGTTATGGAAACCAAATGTAATCAAAAAGGTAATATGATGAAAAGCACTGAATAGGACACCAGAGCCCCAAGGCTCTGAACTGGCTGTGCGCTTAATTGTTTTAAGTTTTATAGCCTGTTTCCTAGCGTGGAAAGTTCATCTGTTGGACTGTGACATTCCAAGGAGGAGTTGTTCAGATGTACAGTTATTGGGCCCCTTAAATGGCAATACCAAGACCTTTCAATTTTTAAATTTTTTTTTAGCAACTTAAAACAGAGTGACTGAATCTGCTTAGAAACATTGTTCATGAACATTTTGAAGAGACTCATTCTTATGTTGACATACCCATTATATAATAATTGCATAACAACACCTGTGAACATTCCAGTGACACAGTCAATGTCTGCTCGAGAGCCCCATACTACTCTGTCCTGCAGCTGGGCACGCTGTGGTGGACAGGCGAGCAGGAAAAGACATCTGTGTCAAGTCATTTAGTGAAAAATTATATGTAAATCTGTCTCGTATTCAAAGTTAACTTTTCCCCCTAATCCATCACAGAAATTCTTGGGGGGAAACCCCCAACTGTATTAACTTGGAGATCACTAGCTAGCTATGTACAAGTGCCTAGATTTAATTGTAATTAATGAACGTTCTAAATTCAGCATTTCAACTGCAGTAGCCCCCACACCAAGTGGTAAAAAGACACACATGGCTGCTGGCTATTATGTGGAGTGGCACAGATTGAGACCATTTTCATAAGTGTGGAGAGATTATTGGCTAGTCCCTCTGCCGAGCACAGAGCAAATGAGCGTGGTCCTATTGAAATTGTCTTGAGAACCTAAATGAGCATATTCCCTGTAAAATATACAGTTTACTGAAAAATTTCAAGATGTCGAAACACAGAAATCCCACTTGTGCATTGAAATGATAGCTATAGTTTTCAGAGTTTTTAAAGTTTTATCAGTACTTGAGGGACAGTGTGGCAATTAGATAATTTTAAACGTGCATTCTAGAAAATGACACACATATATAGTAGGTGTGCCCATCTGAAGTGTTTCTTTTACTAATATTGACATATTTATAATGTTTTATTTATTTTTATTTTGTAATTTTATATGTATGGGTGTTTTGCCTACATGCATGTCTGTGTACTCTTTACATGCAGGACTCACTGAAGTCAGGAGAGGGCATTGGATCCCTTGAACTGGAGTTAGAGACACTTTGAAACTGCCCTATGGGTGCTGGGAATTGAACCTGAGACCTCTGGTAGAGCAGTAGTAGGTGTTCTCAATGGCTGAGCTATCTCTCCAGCCCCCTAATATTCACATTTTATTTTCTTAATTTGCTTTAGAAGAAAGCAAGGACAGTCTACATCCAAAGCGCCCCCTAACTACTCGCCTAGTCCCTGCAACACACGTATTAAATGCTACTGAGAACATCAGCGTCAAGTGCAGAGAGAACCCCTCCTCAAGTAAGACACTGCTTCTGTCACTTTCAGACCTTGCATTCTGTTGTCTTAGTATGGGTGTAGCTTTCTTATTTTCAATAAAATCTGAAAAAGGAAAGGAAAGGAAGAAGCGTGGTTTGAAAATTCTGCCATTTGAAGTAGTAAACGAACAATATTTTCCTTCTAAATCCAGGGTATAGATTGTGATAGGCCCTAGTGAATTACATCCACCAGTTTAAGGTACATATTAGCATAAAAGTAAGCTGCCAGTGCAGGAAGGGCATTGGCACAGCATGTTAGTTTTTGCCCATCGTGGAACATACCGGCAGCTTTGCAATTGTTCTGGATCAGTTTTCTCTGTTTGGCTTCTCCTGGGCATTTGGTGCTCTGAGCTGCTTCTTTGATGGAATCTGCCTTGTTCATTCTCTCCTTCTCCTTGTTCCTTGTTTCATTTGCTGAACTCGTGCTAATATTCTTAGCTCTCAGGCCCCGAAAGAGAACCACAATAACTTCCCTCAGGAAACTCATGTTAATAGTACTTGTTAGAATTTTGGATGTTGGAATCTGAGGTGTGGGAGTTTGCGAGTGAGGTATGGGGAGGAGGCAAAGATTCTGAGGGCTTAACACTAAAGCTAAGTTTGGGAGCTAAGGAAAACACAGGCTCTTCAGCCTGCTAAGGAGAGCTATGTAGTCTGTACACTGATGCTCACTTTCCTTGTAGTCATTTGTGAATAGCAGAATATTTCTACAAAACTGGCTTAAGAATCTCTGAAAACTATTCCTTAGAAAGCCTTGAAAACTGAGAATGCATGCAGACTTTTTGACATGCGTGTATCCACACGACATGTGAGACGAATATGACAGGAGGCTTACACTTTCTTGTAGTCAGCTTTGTTCCAACAAACTATCTGTGTACTCAAGAGTGAAGCACTTTAAAAAGGACAAGGTGACATTCATTAAAAGTGCTTTGTGTATTAACCTAACTCACTGAGAAGTAGCAGTATAAAGTACAAAGAGATTTATTTTGAAGATCATGAGTATGATCTTAAAATAGCATTATGTGGAGATTCGTAATTATGATTGGAGTGCACTTTTCTGTTATTTTAAGGAGCCCATGCATTCCTTTGGAGAACAACAAAAAACATTGTTAAAGGAAAGCAATTTATTGAAGTTTTTTTTCTCTCATTAGTGTATTTCCAAAAGGGAATATTTTTTGACACTTAAGAACCAGTCATTCTTTGTTCTAAAAGCTAGTTTTAGAGTGGCACACTTTTGCTTGACGTGAGAATGCACAGATGGGTAATTATCACCTCAGTCATTTTCAGATAAAAGCATCTCTTAAAAACTGTAAAAATTTGTATCTTCTCCAAGTGAATGATGTCCAGCCAGTGAGGAAGCCTCATTTTAAAGGTGTGAAGAAAAGAAAATGGATTTATGATGAACCAAAGAACTTTCCTGGCTCTGGAATGCGGAGAGGTAGAATATCCAAGTGTTTGATATTTCTAATTATGATTTTCATAGAGATTAAATATTAAATATTTCCCACTGCAAGGAAAAATGATTGCCATATAACTTGAAGTCTACTTTAAAGGTTAACCCAACTCTTCTCTGAATGCCATTCTTTAGCTTAGACTTTCTTCTATTTTGCTTCCCCATGCTTCACACGCTGTGCATTTTTATGAATGAAAGTCTGACTTGTTTCATCCCTCATCTCTACCCTTTTGATTTACAGCAGGACACACCCCAAATCCCAAACATAAAATGAGTTACCATCACCATAATAAGAACCGAAATGCTGAGAACGCCTCCTATATGCATGTCCAAAGAGATTCAGTAAGGACTGTCACACTGAACACCCCTCCCAGAAGCAGGCCCACAAGTGGGTCCTACAACAAAGATGATGTCAACAAGGAACCCAAACTCAACCTCTGTCCAGGTGAGGTTCTCTACTGATGTGGTTGGCTCTCAATTGCACTTTGCCTTAGTGTAGCATTTCCCATGGAAAACTGATCTCCACGCCTCCTCTCACTGCTTTTCCTGGACCAGCATCATTGTAACATCTTCGATACTAACTGTCCCTGAGGAGACATGCACATGATTTAAAGGACATGGAAGAATACTCATGCTGGGTGCTGATGAGGTGACACCGTACCTCCTTAGAGATTTCCTCCACACACTGCACTTTGTTCACCCTGGGTAGTTCTATTTTACTAGGGAGGATTATTCTTACGTGGTTGACATTTTCTTGTTCCACTAAGTGCACTGTTCAATTATGACTGTCAGATTACCGCCCTGTCTTTTCTTGAGGACATCATGATTACTTTCTGAAAGGGTTGGTTTGAGGGTTAACTGCAATATTTCTGACAACCTCTCAACTCTCCCACCATGCCCTTCTAAATCGTTTCATTATGGAAGGGGAAAAGGCATCGTGTATGTCAGGAAGTACACGGCCACAGGGGAGAATTTCTTTTTCTTCCTGCTTTAGATGAATTTCGCTCTTTTGAAGTTGGGTTTTAGTTCTCTTGATTTAACAAAATGTCATTCAGTTCTCTGTAATCCACATTCTGGCTTTGTATTCACAGTGTAGTTTGTGAGTTCCACTAGTCAAGAACTTCAGGAAATGTAGGCAAAGATTCTGTCTGTCTTTAACAATTTAAGTAGATGCTTCTTTTTAATTGTTTTAGAATATAATGGTGTATGGATGTGTATAGAAAATGAGAATGCACTGAGAAGAAACTTGTTAATTGTATTGCCAAACTATTATGCTATGTATTATTTTTTTCTGTAATACTGTGGTAGCTATGAAAACAATGCACACTAGCACAATGTGTTGCCAAAGTGTAGATGTGTGTGAACTGGATGTGCCAGCAACTATATTGGACTCTCCTGTGCCTCATTCATGCAAATATCAACACACACACACACACACACACACACACACACACACACACACACAAACGACGCAACAAAGAAAATCCTTGATAGTATTATGAGTCAAACTCTGAGACCCATAGATGTAGGCAATATCCCTGAGAATGCAATCTAACAGTGATAAGGAGTAGACAAAAGCATGTCTTTATAGACAATTTACTCTCTCTCTCTCTCTCTCTCTCTCTCTCTCTCTCTCTCTGTGTGTGTGTGTGTGTGTGTGTGTGTGTGTGTATGTGCATGTGTGTATGTATGCACCTGCTCTGGCTTCCTGGGGCCTCAAGTTCACCATTTCTGTAGTCAGTGTTTTCATAGAGGACACTTCCTGGAAGTCTTTAAAATAAAGTTTAAAAATATTTGCACAGTGGGTAATGTATTGTCTGAAACATTGATTTTCTTTTATGTTTTTAAGATTGCGTAATATAATTATATCATCTCTCCCATCTCTTTCCTCCTTCCAAGTCCCACCCCCATACACACCCCTCTTTGCTCTCTTTCAAATTCCTGGCTTCTCCAGACATTCTTAAAAATGTCATGGAACAAAGTTGGTGAAATACTGTATCCAGACCCAGTTCTGTCTTCTAAACTAAGCTCATGGGATAGAGCCTTATTTAAGGAAATGAAGAGTAAATTAATAGATCAGTAACCATGCTTGCTGATCACTTAAATGGGCTTAATAAACTCACTTGTATCTCTATTGACTTAGTTTTCAAATGGTAGAGGAAACAAGTGGAGGATAATTCTTGCTGCTGAGATATTTATGGATTTGAAATGCTCTTGGAATATAATTGTTGAATTCAGCAATATTTATTTGCTAGCAGTCTTCTTTTTTATTTTCTCAGATAAGCATATGTCCACATCATATAATGGTTCAGCTTGGCGAAGAAGAATTCCTTTTTCAAAAACATATTCAAAAACGGAAAAGATATATCCAGGTAAGCACTCACTGGTGACTTTTAGTGTGCCATGTAGTCCTGGAAATAAATTACAAGTTCTTAGGTATTAAAATAAAATGTTTCAAGATCACTTCATTACATATTAGTCCCCTAGCACAGTGGCAATTTAATATTACTTTGCCTCATGGGTTCAGTTTTTCCTCTTTATGTGTTACCAGAAAACCTCTTGATTCTGTTTATTCTTCTCTGGGTTTTTTATTTATCATGTTACACTTTTTTCCTCTCCATCAAACAGAGCAATGTAATAATTGCATATGTTAAGCTATAATATATAAAAGCATATTTGACCTGAATATGAATTGCTGTATTAACCATAGGTAAATGTAGGTTGGTATAGGCTATCAGTCCATGGATTTGATCACCAAAGAGGTTATCAAGTGACTGTATTCTCCCCCTTGTTATACACTTACTCACTAAGGGAGCAAGAATGTTTGGAATCAATCTCAGGTTAGACATTTATAGAGGTCCTGACTACAGGTGGGTCTTTTGCTTAGAAATTCCAGTGAAAACTGCTCCTCAGAAATGAATCTTTCAGAAGAAATAATTCAGATAGGGAACTTATATCTAAACGAATATCCTAGTAATTTTAAAATATTCTGGTTCCATAAGCTCTTATACCAAGGCCTTATAGAAGGTTCATATGAAGACTAGATATTTTCCTTTCTCCAAAGTAAACAGCTTATATGACACTTTTTAAAACCTCATTTGATGTCAACTGTGAATTGGTAACCAGGATTGGTATACATATATATACTGCAGACAACTCCTATCTTGCAAACCAAAGTATGCCGCAAGAGAATGTTGATACAGCATTATTTAACTGACTATTTTTCCTCTTAACTTTGGCTGGACAGTTACATGTGATCAAACACAATTTCAAAGGGAAGAGAGGAGAGAGAAAACAAAAGTGAGGTTATGATGAAAATTCTTGAAGGAACTAGGCATTTCTAAGTTACTGCTTTTCTTGCGATGGTTTCCTTCTGAGAGGGATGCATTTGGAATGTTAAGGATATGTGCTTTACTTTAGTACAGTCAGAGTGGTTAATTTTGTACCTCAGTGGCCCCCAAAACCAAATAGTTAGACTATTTGGGAGATGGAAAAGTACTTCAGAATGTGAGTGCATACCACCTACGTGTAGCACATAATGTTTGCATCCGTGCGGGACTCCATTGTGCTTCAGGTGCAGAGCAGGGGAAAGAGCTCTGGGAAGAATGTCTCAGGGTCATGTGGTTAGAGGAAAGGCAGGCCCGGTCTCACATGAGAGGTTGAAGACAGCTTCTTGAGAATTCTGAGTGTCAAGGTTACATAGGTAGGCATCACACAGTCCTGTGAGGCATCACTGGGAGACAGCCCTTGAGAGAGAGAGAGAGAGAGAGAGAGAGAGACAGAGAGAGAGAGAGAGAGAGAGACAGAGACAGAGAGAGAGAGACAGAGAGAGAGAGAGACAGAGAGACAGAGAGACAGAGAGACAGAGAGACAGAGAGAGACAGAGAGACAGAGAGAGAGAGAGAGAGAGAGAGAGAGAGAGAGAGAGAGAGAGAGAGAGAGAGAGAGAGAGAGAGAGAGAGAGAGAGAGAGAGAGAGAGAGAGAGAGAGAGACCAGAGAGTGAATGCACAGTGTCCTGGTTACAAGTATGGGGATGTATGTACTTTAGGGAGACATGCTTGTTTTGTTGAGCTCTATTGGAGTCAGAGTGGCACCTAGCTGTAATCACAACAGGAGACAGAGACATATGTAGATAGTAGCAGTCCAGCATCCAGGGAGCAAACCTTTGTTCATGGGAGCATAATCTGAGGATCAGGGGCAATGTCATCTCCTGGGAGTTCATTAGAAATGTGGAATCTCTTACATTACCCCTGCTGGGGCAGGGTCCCATCTTAGTAACACGGCCAGGTGACTAGATTGCATGTTAAAGTTTGTGAAACCCTAGGCAGGTTAACTGGCCCAAGACCCAGTTACATCAGCTCTGTCAAAATTATGTATTCTCTCTTTGGCAGCTACCATTCTTCTTGACCCATCCCAGAAACTAGGAACAGCAGCATAAAGATTAGGGAAGGAACAAAACTCTAAGGAAAACCTCTAAAATGGGACTCAGTTATGAAAGGGAAGTGACTTAGAAATGACTGAATTTGTGTACAAAGGTCTATTAACTCAGGAAGAATGGGGACTTACATTTAAGATCTCCATATTGTAAAATACTTTATAAAATGAATAGTATTTTACAAAGTGCAGCTTGATTTTCTTACATGCTTCTGATTGAAAAATTGGTAACTCCCAAGTCCATCCTTTCCAGTTGTTGTTGTCATCCTCAGAAGGAAAAGAGAAAGATTAACTTGTGTTTCTTCCCACACATATTCTTGCTAGGGCACAGAACAGCCATTGTGACATTTCCCAGTGGGCAGATGGATTGCTGGAGGGAAGAAACAGAAAGCACAAGCTGCCACTTGCCCACTCCTCTGAGGCTCAGCAGCTAAGACCAAGGGAATGGAAATGGACCTGGGAGTCTTTTGAGAAAATGTTGCAGGATGCTATGGGTGTAGGGGGAGAGGAGAGGAAAGGGTTGGTTGCCTATGAAGATCTGGGACAAAAGATAAAAGTCTTCCCCTGTGGTCACAGGTCCATCCTGATAGGTACATATCAGAGGGAAAGTGGAAGTACCTATCTTCATATCATAGAATGTTCATTCCATTTATTCTGGGTGACCCCTAAATGCAGACTTATGTGCAGCATTAATTCATTCTCCCCCTAACCCTCCATCTAAAATGCAATGCTTCAAAAGTACTGAGAAGAAATCTAGTAAGCTTTATTGGCATTTTCAAAAACAATAGAACCACTAAGGTTGGTTTTGTTTTTGCCTTTAGATTTCATGGTAACTAACAAAAGAAATATGAATTAGTGGTCCCCCAAATCAAAATGTAAAGAAAATGAAATGTTTTGTGTGTTTTATTATTAGAGCCACGAAGAAATGGGAGTAAGTAAACTTGGAGGTTGAGAGACGAGAAAAATGAGAAAAGAGAAAAGTGCCAGCCATCACCCGATTTACAATCAAAAATGAAAATTCAAAGAATGCGATATTCAAGTACTCCATAGTATATAGTGGATAGCCAACGATGATAAAATGCAATTCTGAAATAAGATGCAGGAAGAACATTGTGCTCTTTCAAAACTGATAAAATGCCAATTGCAAACAGCTGCCTGTTTATTGATGTATGTCTGGGATTCATTCAATACATTACCACAAACACTTAATAAAATTTCAAAGTTTGACAATTAAAATCATTCTTTAATCTTATGCAAGTTAGATTGCATAGAGCAAGGAGTAGAACTGTTTTGGTCTCTGCTGTTTGTGATAGTCTTTGTGGAAAACAATTCTCATTTTCTTTCTTTTACTGAATTTTAGGCAGGGCTCTTAGCAATAACTCAAAAAGCAAACACAAATTCAACAAAGTCCCAGGCTTGCAGTTGGCGATGAATACCTTGGAGGAATTTTCATATAAATACTCTTTGATGTATCAGATAGAGACAAAGTTAGTTTATCATGCAGGGAAGTTGCTGAACAGTATCTTTTAATTGGCAACTGCAAAACCTGTCTGCTGAGGGGGGCTGCACTCAAAACTGAAAAGTGAAGATTTTACTGCTACAAAACAAAACTTATATGATCACAATGAAGCAATAGTTCCCATAAGTATTACTGAAGTTTCAAGGCTTCAGTAACTCCAGAAATGCAGACCCAAGTGAGATGCCAGGCAAGTGGTGTCTCAATCACACACTCAGTTGTCAGAGGCAGGTAGATCTCTGAGTTCAAGGTCTATCTGGTGTACACAGTGTGTTCCATGTCAGTCAGGGCCACACAGTGAGACCCTGTATCAAAAACATAAACATTCAAGTGAAGCATCGCCTGGAAGCTATTTAATAATTACCTTTCCATTTTAGGATTGTGAATTTTGAATAATAAATTTTTACATTAAGTTTTGAAATTTTACTCAAAATTATGCATTTTCAGCATGACTAAAACAAAAACATGGTTAGTTTTCAATTTTAAAGAACAATATTAAGTCAATGTAAGGCTTTTTTTTAATGAAGCGCTCTAGCATTTACACTTCTGTACTAGGATATTTTATATTTTCCCAAGTTTTCTGATTTTGAGCTACCTCTTACTAATTAGAGTGAAAGCATTATTCTTCAAAGAATTTTATTTAAAACATCATTTGACCCGACCCAGTTCCCATTTGTGGTATGATGAACTCCAATTCTGCTCTAGCGCTCCCCATGCTCTCCCTCTCAATAACAGTGGGTGTGTTCAATCTGTTTTTCTGAGTAGATCATGGAGAAATGAAAACTATGCAGATGTGCATATGGATGAGACACGCTAGTTGGAAGCTGATGGGGGGACATAATAAACTCAAACTATATAATCCATTTGGTTATAATCAATAAATAATGACTAAATATACTCTCATATGATTATTAAAATGATTTTCTAAAAACTCCCATGGCAAAGATGAAACAATAAAGTTTTTATTATATTTGGCAATAGATGTTAAAATTCTGCTTACCAAATTAATGGAATGTAGTTCTCAACAGATCTGGAAAAGAGGAATCTCTTAAATTGATGATGGGTCTCTAAAATTCTCCACTAAACATATTCATTGTCAATGATAAGGAGTTCTCCAAAGCTAAAGATGAAAACAGAGTTTGCTGTTACTGCCTCGATTTAATCTTGTGCTCAAATTCTTAATGGACAGAATAAGATGAGAGAAAAATTTCATTAACAATTGAAATTAAGGGGAAATATTTATTGCTCTTAGGTGATACTATTTTCTATATAGAAGTGCCAAAGTATTTAAAAATTATCAGGCTTATCAAGAGAGATTAACAAATTTTGCATATTTGAATGATATAAAAAAGTCATTTGCAGTGTTTTTTGTTTTGTTGTTATTTTTGAGATTGTAATTTAATTATTCTATTTCTCCCCTTTCCTCCCTCCAAACTCTCATATACCACCCCCACAATATTCTTCAAATGCATTAATTGCTATGGAACACATATGTATTTGTATATATACATATATTCCTAAGTAGAAACTGTTCAGTACACATAATGTTTCTTGTTTTTTTTTTTTTTTTTTTTTTTTTTACGAGACAGGGTTTCTCTGTATTGTTTCGGAGGCTGTCGGTCCAGCCCAGCCTCAAACTCACAGAGATCAGCCTGCCTCTGCCTCCTGAGTGCTGGGATTAAAGGCGTGTGGCACCACCGCCCTGCCGTATGTTTTTAGTGCTGACCATTTGGTACTGGATAAACAATTGGTGCACTCTTTCCTGGGGAAGACAAAGTCTCCTACTCCTAACTTTTCTCAGTTGCTTGTAGCTCTTTGTGTAGCTCAAGGATTGAGGCCTCATAAGCTTTTCCCCATCCAGTTTGGCATGTCCATTAGTGCTATCCTTTTGTTTGGGTGGTCATATTGGCAAGACTTTATGGGTTTAGCATTTTTATAAACTAGCACATAGATTTAAAACAAAGCAGGTGAAATCAATATATTTTTTAATCAACAAAGATTAAAGGAGCAAAATTAACCAATAATTGCAAAGCAATGTCATTCAGCTATTAAGAAAGATGAATTAGTCATTTGTGGCATCATAGATATATCTGTAGGACACTGTGTGACATGAATAAGCCAGACATGAAATATAGATACCATGTTTTATCTTTCCTGTTGGGGGTAAGTAAAACTTCTGATAACAATTCAGGATAACAGCTATTAGAAGTTGGCAATGGGATGGGGTTGGGGGGGGTGGCGTGAAGAAATTTTGGATAAAAGGCACTAAAATCCAGATAGAAGGAATAAATTCTAGTGCCCTGCAGCATAGAATGACAGCTAGGGTTCACAATTATGTAGGCTGTGAGGTATAAGCTGCTTGAAACTTCCAATGTAAAGTAATGGCTGGGAGCTTGCTAGTTAATTTGTCAGGTAAAGATTCTTCCCTCCAGGCCTGGCAACTTAAATTCTTACTCAAGGGCCCAATGTTTGAGGAGGAGAATTGACTCTATCAAGTCACTCGTGATTTGGCCAGTGGACAGTGAAATATCACAATCCAGTCCATTAATAAGTATAGTTGTAAATTAGACATCTATCAAAGATTCTAACGTTCAGTCGCCTGACTCATTCAGTACCCTACCCATCAAAGTCCTCTGGTTTTTCTCAGGAAACCTCAACCTTTTCAAGTAAATACAAAATCTCAGAGTGTCCGAAATAGTTTAAGATAGTTAGCAACAAAGACGTTTAAGATGTAGGTTGCCTCTGAAGGGCAAGAATGATCTTCAAACTACCGAAAGTTAAATTTTAATTTCTTACTGAATAGTGTAGACACTGATACAATATTTGTCAATACTAAAGGACAGTATACAAAGCATCTTCCATGAACTTTCATGCCTATGTAAGGTGGTACACAGCAGGGAAAGCATTGTAGATAATGCAGAAATGAGTGATTGCTAATTAAATGTGAGACAATGAAGACAATGAAGATAATGGATTCCTAAACTCAAACAACAACCACAAATGGGTTTTCAGATGAATCAAGTACTTATGTAACAAACTTAACTAAATTTTTATAAATGCTCTTTGTTTGATATGTAACTGCGTCAGAGCACATATATAAATGGACCCCTGAACAAAATTTTGATAAACTCAAGTTTACAATTGTGCTTGCCAATATTTGATTAAAACAAAAATAAAACATGTTTCACTTCGTTTTCTTTCTTTTTTTCTTTCTTTCTTTCTTTTTTTTTGCCTAAATTCTCTTTGTGTTCACTCAAGGGGCCCAACTAATTTGTTTTCAGCTCTAGTCTTTGGGTGTATTGATGCTATTGTTAAGGAAGGCTCACTACACAAAATCTTTCTTTTGAAAATAATTTTTTTTTTGCTACCGGCTATGATTTGACCTGGAAATACAAGTCCTAAGTCTACAGTTTCTTTAGATTTGTAATTATTTTGTCACAAGCTGGTGTCTCTATTGCCCGGGGAAAAAAAAGGAAAAGAAAAGAAACAGCATTTGGTTTGCTCCTGGCACAGAGGCAAAAAGAGAATTGGTGCCATTTGTGAGGCTATTAAAACAGGCCATCCCAGGAAGGCAGGGAGGACTCTCTGTTCCAGTCCCATCTGCTTGGAGCTTGCTTTTGCTCGTGTGTGTGTGTGTGTGTGTGTGTGTGTGTGTGTGTGTGTGTGTGTGTGTGTGTGTGGTGTTTGTGTGTAGATAACTGAACCCTTCTCAGAAATGATGCTGAAGGTTTTTCTCCCCAGGGAAAGCATGGCCATACAGCAAGTTATAGGAGCTTAGTGGGCTGGTTGAAGAATTGCCAATGAAGTTAGCAAACTCGTAAGGCATGCAGCCAGACTGACTTGAGGCTCCTGGGTTTTCCATGTGCTAGCTGTTTGACCTTGGAGGTGATACTTCATCTTCCTAAACATCAATTTTCTTATTATCAATAATAGTTTTCTGACAGGAATGTGCTGGGCATTAGAAATAATATGAGAAATATCATGAGTCGTTCCTGGTGGGTTTTGGTAAATGGTAAGTAACCCTTAATGAAAAATATCTGATGGTGTTTCCTGGAGTTATATTGAGAGACACTCCACATGAGATCAGACTGAACCAGAAAACTGAAATTTAAAAATAATAAATTTGTTTAAATACTCCAAATACAAGGAAAATAGTTCATGAAATACAAATAACTAAATATAGGGGGAAACACAGAGTAAATCTAGCCTTTTATGTTAATTTTGCCTACTGAAAATGCAAATCTCCTTTATCTGGCATGCTTCTCCATTATGCCAATGTCCTTGAATATTTTAATTTTAAGTATAATAGTCCTATTATTTTCACATGTAAATTTTATGTTAGATATAGAGGATAAAATTTTAAAAGGTCAAATCTGCATCATGACGGCTAATTATTTTGATATAGTCTAAGGGTTTCTTTTTTCATATTTTTTATTTAACATTTTACACATGTCACACTCTGTTCCCTCTCCCTCCCCTCCTCCCCCACCCCCAATCGTCCCAACCCCTCAACCCCACTCTATTCCCCCTCTGCTCCCCAGGGAGGGCAAGGGCTTCCATGAGGGATTTTCAGAGTCTGTCACATCATCCTTGGAAGGAACTAGGTTCTTCCCCATGTGTCCAGGCGGAGAGAGCATTCCTCCATGTGGTATGGGTTCCCAGAGTCCATATGCATGCCAGGAATAAATACTGCTCTACTCTCTA